TTGAACTGGGAACCCGTTTACCAAATGTCCGATGTAAATACAGCTTGTTTCTGGAAATGTTTGCCAAACTGTACGACAAATACTGTCCAATCAGAAAGTGCTCGACACACTACACAAAAACTCCCTGGATGTCAAAAGGGCTTTCGAAAAATGACCTGTACAGACTATTCCTCAGACACAGAACTATAGAGGCTGAGCAAAGGTGTAAACTAAACAAAAACAAATTAACAGCATATTGAGAGTAAGTAGAACAGAATATTATAATGATTTATTAAAAAGAAGAATGATATTAAATGAATTTGGAAAGTGTTGAACACATTGGTCGTGGTTCTAGCAGCCCTAGTTATCCAGAGCACTATGTGGAGAACGACACACATGGTTATAATCACTTCTTTGTTCATGTTGGACCAGAACTGGCTAAAAAAATCCCTTCCCTGCGAAGTCTACAACATAAAGACATTGACATGAAAACAGTGCAGTGCTGCAGAAGAAGAAGTTAAACCGTTTACGCACATCTGTAAGCAAGCAAGCAAAGTTTATTTATATAGCACCTTTCTCAGACAGAAGGTCACAAAGTGCTTCACATCAAAAACAAGCAATAATTAAAAACACAAGAAAAAATTACACAATCAAACAACAGTGGAGACAGTCATATCAGCCCATAAAACCGTACTTTCAAAACGCTCGACTGAACAAGAACGTCTTTAGTTGGGATTTAAATGTATCAACAGAGTCAAGTGATCGTAGAGAGAGCGGGAGATTGTTCCAGAGTCTAGGTGCGACAGCCTGGAAGGATCGGTCTCCTCTGGTTCGATAACAAGTGCGAGGAACCATCAAGAGATTTTTATCTGCAGACCTCAGAGAACGAGAGGGGACATAGGGCTGAATCAGATCTCTGATGTAAGAAGGCGTCTGACCATATAAGGATCTAAAAGTCAGCACCAAGATTTTAAATTGAAACCGGTAAGACACCGGCAGCCAGTGGAGGGCTTTAAGAATTGGGGTAATATGAGCCCTTCTATTAGTGCAAAGTTAAAATCCTCGCTGCAGAGTTTTGAACCATTTGGAGACGAGACAGCTCTTTTTTGTTTAGACACGAAAATAAACTGTTGCAATAGTCTAAACGTGACGACACAAAAGCATGAATAATGAGCTCCAAATCATTACGTGACACAATTTTCCTCAGTTTAGAGATGTTCCTCAACTGAAAGAAACAATTTCTGCTAAGCTGTTGATCTGTAACTTATCTTTCCAACTCTCCCTCACAAACGAACACTGCTAAAGTGATCCCCATCTTCAAATCCAGAGACTGTCTGGGTGGAGGGAAAGAACAGAGAAACCAAACATGTTCAGAGAGCACTTTCCAGATGTGGCTACCCCAAGTGGTCTTTTACTAAAGCCCAAAGGACGAGAAAGGCCAGAGACACAGTCCAACAGACAGAAGAAAGTAGGAGGAGAGGGGTGTCCTTACCGTATGTGGCGGGAGTTTCAGAGAAACTACAAAGAATATTTAGGCAACACAAAATCCCTGTGTATTTCAAACCTTTCAACACGTTAAGACAGAAATTAGTGCATCCCAAAGACAAAACACCCAGACACAAACAGAGCAATGTGGTGTATTCAATTAAATGTAGTGAAGAGGAGTGCACTGACCACTATATTGGAGAAACCAAACAAACTCTACAGAAACGACTTTACCAACATCGTAGAGAAAACTCTAGTGGGCCACAGTCGGCTGTTCATCTCCACCTCAAGGCCTCCAACCACACGGTGGATGACACAGAGGTTAAAATTCTGGCTCGGGAGAAGAATTGGTTTGAGAGAGGAGTGAAAGAAGCCATTTTTGTGAGGAAACAAAAACCTTCTCTTAACAGAGGAGATGGGATAAGATTTCTTTTGCCTCGCATCTATGACGACATCCTAAAAACAACGCCCTAACTTGGGACAAGGTCAGTGACATGCTAATGAGTTAGGAGGGGTGAGACCTGCACTCCACTTGAGCATCCCAGCAGACAATAGGTCTGTGACATGCTAAGGAGTTAGGGTCGTTAGCCTCAGCAGGGTCGTTAGACCTGCTCCCTTCTACATCAGACCTTAGATTGTTTATGAGTTTGTTTCAGGATTAGGGTGTGGCTTACCACACCCATAGGTTATAAATCTCCAACGTGCAGTTTGAGAATTCATTCCCTGAAGAAGTCCTTTGGATTGAGGACGAAGGGAAAACTTGCTAAGAAGTACAGATAATGGGTGTGTGTGTGTACGTGCGTGCGCATGCGTGTGTGTGTGTGTGCGTGTGTGTGTGTGCGTGTGTCTGTGTGTGTGTGTGTGTGTGTGTGTGTTTGTCTGTGTGTGTGTGTGTGCGTGTGTGTGTGCGTCTCTGTGTGTGTGTGTGCGTGTGTCTGTGTGTGTGTGCGTGCGTGTGTGTGTGCGTGCGCGTGTGTGTGTGTCTCTGTGTGTGTGTGTGCGTGCGGGTGTGTGTGTGTGTGCGCGTGTGTGTGTGTCTCTGTGTGTGTGTGTGCGTGCGGGTGAGTTGTCCTGTCTTGTACCATCGGTGGTTGTTACTGTACTTTACAGTAAACATTTGTATAATGTGATTGTGCATTTACCCAGTGTGGTGTTGTTTCTGTCTTATTGTGTGTCCTGTGTCTGGGTGAGGGGGGTTGGATTAATATAAGCATTTTGCTTCCTCCAACCCCCGTATGTTGTTTCCTGTAAAATGATGTGTGCAGGTTTTGAAATAAATCATTCATTCATTCATTCATTCATTCATTCATTCATTCATTCATTCATTCATTCATTCATTCATTCATTCATTGGGTATGATAGAAATCCTGCAGCCACAGCGGCCCTTCCTGGACGGGTTTGGACACCCCTGATCAAGACGATTGGTCCTCCCAACTGTCAATCATTCTGGTGATTCATGCTCGTCAAATAAGACCAGAGAGTTTTGTTCAGAAAGTGGAGAAGGAGGTTCTTTCCTAAGAAAACTGGGAAATCCCCCTTCATATCTCTAAGAAGAAATGTAATTGAAGACTCGTAAAAAACATTACATAATAAAACTAACGTCTAATCACATGTTGGGTTAATATTTCGTATGGAATCATATGTTATGGTTGTTTTCTCAGTAATGAATAACATGTCATTGTCGCCCATTACCATTTATGCTGCTATTTGATAATAATTTATAAAATAATCTCAGGGGCCACTGGAAATGGTCTTGCAGGCCGGATCTGGCCCCCAGGCCTTGACTTTGACACCTGTGGTGTACCAGCTTTTTATTTGTAAAGTGCTTCACACATCTTTGAAAAATATGCACAAACATTTCAACATTAAAAATCCAGAAAGGCTCATTATTTACTTAAATGTACAGATAACAAAGGCCTCATAGTGCCTCCACTCGCAAATCATGTGACTGGATCCTCTGCAGTGATTGGCTTTTGAGGCACGCATTCGACCAATGGGCATCTCTCATGTACCAGAACGTTTCTTTTTTTTACCCAGTATCAATACTCAATGATAATGTGTTTTAGTTTTGTTCTATTTGTCTGCTCTGATTGAAACACGTGAACCTGGGACCTCTAACAACATTTGCTAAGCCCATTGTTTCAAACCTTGGAGTCAAAATGAAAGCTGATCGTAAATTTGAAAAGCAAATAAGTGCAGTGGTCCAGTCCAGTTTCTTCCATTTAAGGCAACTTGTTTGCTTGAAATGTGGACCCACGCCTTTGTCACGGCTCTGGACTGTAAGGCCTTGTGCACAAGTACCCGTCCTCAGGAACATGGAAGTCTGACCCAGTGGGGGCGGGTCCCGCCCCATAGTGGCCAAAATGACGTGCGCCGATATGCTGCAATACCACCCCGGGCCTGTGGGGGTGGACCCGGAATAAGAATTAGCCAATGCTAACATATAGCATTTTCTTACCTCTGGAAAACGTCTTTACAGGATGGTCCAAAAGTTGTCTCTTGGCCCAAAGCTCCGTTCCACATGTGTGTCAATGCTGAGGGGAGTGTTCTGGACCAGTCTAGTTTAGTCGCTGTGGACTTTAGAAGTCTCTCGTTTAAATGAATGGAGCTCGTGCAGCTGACGCATGCGCAGATGCGTTTTTCACATTTTCCAGCCCCCGCGGCCATTTTGAAACTGCCCACAGACCGTGGAAGTTGTGGCCCATTAGTTAGAACGGTGGAGATGTTTACAGTGTATGGTCTGAACACATCTCTGCTGTCAACCCTTCATTGACTTCTTTGATTTTAAAGTCCTTTTGTTTTTTTGCTCCTTCACTTACTCTCTGGTCAGGCTCTGCTCTGGGTCCTCCGACTAAACGGAAACTCAGAGATCCAGCTTTTTTGGTTGTTGGTCCTGGGTCCTGGGTTCGAATCCCGGTCGGACCAGGGCCTTTCTGAGTGGAGTTTGCATGTTCTCCCCGTGTCTGCGTAGGTTTCCTCCGGGTACTCCGGTTTCCCCTACCACTAAAAATATGTACAATAGGTCTGGCATGCGCCTCCTGTTCGGCGACCCCGCTCCCATCTCTGTGTGGAGTGAGAGGACAAGTGCCCAAAAAAATAATAACAATTGTAAACCGCTTTGTGACTCTGGTCTGTGAAACATTACTTACTTACTAAATGATGGAATGAGCTGCCCCTGTGTGTGAGACTCTGACTTACTTCCTGTTTTTATGTCTCGTCTTAAAACTCACTTGTTCTCATTGGCTTTTAATTGATTTTGAATTGTTGATTTTTTTGCTGTAAATAGTGTGTTTTTGCCACTGCTTTGTAAGTAAGTAATGTTTATTTATATAGCACCATTCACAGACCAGAGTCACAAAGCGGTTTACAATTATGGGCATCTGTCTCCCACTCCACACACACAGGGGGCGCTGTCAGACCTAATGTACATGCCTTGTATTCTCTGTGGTTTTTATTAGTGTTTTATAAATAAACTGGACTGGACTGAAGAACAGAGGTCTGTGACAGAAGTTACAGAGAGGAGCTTTATTAACATGTCATGCAGATGAACAGAATCCTGTGGAGAAACAAGTGATTCATAAAAAACAACACAACTCATTCTTCAGTGATGTTTGACTCGTGTGGATGAAGTTCTAGACCAGACCAGACCCAGACCAGACCAGACCCAGACCTTCATGATGGATGTTGAATCTTGACAGAATCAGAACACAGTGATGCAGCTGAGTAAAACTATTTTTACAAAGTGCTCGTGTCGTGTATGTGTGTCATGTGTGTATGTGTGTGTCATTTAATGTTTGTATGTGACATGTGTGTGCATGTGTGTGTGTCATGTGTGTATGTGTGTGTCCTTTAATGTTTGTATGTGACATGTGTGTGGGCATGTGTGTGTGTATATGTCATGTGTGTGTCGTGTGTGTGTCATGTGTGTCGTATGTATGTGTGTGTGTGTGTGTCATGTGTGTGTGTACATCATGTGTGTGCCTGTGTGTAGGTGTGTCATGTGTGTGTGTACATGTGTGTGCATGTGTGTGTGTACATGTGTGCGTGTGTGTGTGTTGTGTGTATGTGCGTCGTGTGTGTGTGTGTCATGTGTGTGCATGTGTGTGCATGTGTGTGTGTGCATGTGGGTGTGTCGTGCATGTGTGTGTGTGTCATGTGTGTGTGTGTACATGTGTGTGCATGTGGGTGTGTCGTGCATGTGTGTGTGTGTCATGTGTGTGTGTGTGTCATGTGTGTGCATGTGTGTGTGTATGTGTGTGTGTGTGTGTCATGTGTGTGTGTGTCATGTGTGTGCATGTGTGTGTGTGTCATGTGTGTGCATGTGTGTGTGTCATGTGTGTGCATGTGTGTGTGTGTCATGTGTGTGCATGTGTGTGTGTCATGTGTGTGCATGTGTGTGTGTCATGTGTGTGCATGTGTGTGTGTCATGTGTGTGCATGTGTGTGTGTCATGTGTGTGCATGTGTGTGTGTATATGTGGGGACCGGGCAGGTCCAGGCCTTGTGGATCAGAAACAGACCCAGTCCTAAGGCCCAGGTGCGAGTGGGAGACAGCAGCAGAGCCGTCAGTCCATACGTCTCCAACAGGAAGTAACAGGAGTGAAGCTGCCAGCACAGGAGCAGCAGCATGGTCACATGACCACACACTGACCCAGGCAGGGAGGGGGGCCTCAGGGAGGGAGGCCTCAGTCCACTGCAGCGATGGTGCAGCGTCCAGCAGAGGTACAGGGTCAGAGGCATGTTGTAGAACAGCATCTGGAGACAGGACCAAGGGTCTGTGTCAGTCTATATACAAGGGTCTGTGTCAGACTATATACAAGGGTCTGTGTCAGTCTATATACAAGGGTCTGTGTCAGTCTATATACAAGGGTCTGTGTCAGTCTATATACAAGGGTCTGTGTCAGTCTATATACAGTATATATTACAGAGGTCTGTGGCTCACAGAGGTCTGTGGTTGATGCAGACCATGATCCCCTGGAGCCTACACACTGGTGGTGGAAACAGGGCTCCAAGTCTGAACTTCCACTTAAGCTTCATGTGCTACTGCAGGGGTGCTCACACTTTTCAGCATGCGAGCTACTTATAAAAGGATCAAGTCAAAATGATCTACCTACTACAAAAATGCAAATCATATATTTATTTCAAAAAATATTCTTTATATCTACAATGTATGTTTATTAGACATAGACAATTGTTTATTGTCTATGTTTTGTATTTTAATTAACTCTGTTATGTATTATGTATTTTAATTGTATTTTTGATTGTATAAGGACTACAGATGGAAATTAGCATTGTGCTAAATCTGGGGCAGCCATCTTTTTAATGTACCTGTCCGTTGTCCTTTTAAATAAATAACTAACTAACTAACTAACTTATGTACATGCAAAACAGCATGAGCCAATATAGCACAACACAACACAATTACCTATGTACATTTTTTGTCATTACCCGAGTTTACTCTGATGACTTGCACTGAATTGAATCGGCCAGGGATGCATAGTCCGGAAAATTGGTGGTAACTCGCTGACAAGTTTGTCGTGGTTTAGCTTTCCTGCACTGAGCGCGGTTGTTTGCGCATGTGCAGTCACCTAAGTGTCAGTAAAACATTACTGAGTAAAACACAGATGTCATTTGACTGTGGTGCCATGTCCATGTGCCATGCCTGTTTTTTTTAAATCCAAATATTTCCCCTCCTCAGTTTATAAAATAATTTGCATCCACACATCTGCGTTATCAATCACATTCGTAACATTCCAAACATGTGCGTCTAAAGCCGTGTTCAGACCGATCGCGATGGAGGAGTCAGGGGCGAGTGATTTACATGTTATGTCTATGGCCGGGTGCGCTCAGGAGCGAATGACAGGCCGGCGGTGCGAATGACGAGAGTAGAGCGAGGCGAACAGGGCGTTTTGAACGAAAAGAGCGGAACGAAAGTGGCGAAAGGGGCGTTTGACGCGCGCCTAGAGCCATTTCGCCTCCACCGCCCTACTCGCTCGAGTTGAAAAATCTGAACTTTTTGGTCAATTCGCGGGGCGTTGACCAATCAGGGACTGAATCGAGCAGTGACGTAGCATTGAACCGCGGTGGAGACGAAGCATCTTTTATCTTATTTTATCTAACCCCCACCTGAAACGAGCTTATCGTGTCTAGTTTGGCATAAATAACTGATTAGTTTGGCATAAATCTAAAAGCTAAACAGTGGCACAATGGCTTTACATGTAAAGTACTTGGATTATAACATTTGGAATCTTATTTATTGAGAACCGCTTGATTTACTAACCGAAGACAGATGGACAGGCGCTCTGCAGGGGAGAGAGCGCCTGTAGTTGGTCTCCCGGACGGTGATCCGAGCCCCAACGCGGGACAGCAGGTCCTCAAACTGGGTCCTGGACACACGGAAATACCGCTGGAATCGACCGTCATCCAGGCGCAGCTCCTGGAGCAGATGGTGGTACTCCCCATATTGGGAGCGTCTCTGGAGGATATCGTGGACCCAGAGACGGCGTCGCTGCCGCCGCTGTTCGGCTTTCCACATTAAATAAAGTATAGTGACTCGTTCCAGAAAATCAAAGCCCGCCATGCTGAGTTGAACAACAACCGGAACCGGCAACTGGCCATAAGCTCCTCCTATTGGATGACGCGGCGAGGCGAAATCTCGACGAAAATCCGCAGGCGAACAGAGCGAGTAATCGCCGCGATAGAAGCGAGTGTCATCAAATATTCAAGCGAAAAACGCCTGGCGTTTGATGCGATTTTTTTGCCTCCATCGCGATCGGTCTGAACACGGCATTACGTCCTGTCCAGCGTTGGGGAAAAACACAGAAGTGGGCGGAGCTTTGATGCAGACGCCGGTAACGGCACTTTTACAGTCATAGAAGACACTCAGAGTAAAGACGTATGTTTACAAGCACTGACCCCGTCCTCAGCCCTGGTTTGGTTCTGGTTTAGTCCTGGTTTAGTCCTGGTTTAGTCCTGGTTTGGTTGTTTTCAAGCGTGAGTCCCCGCGATCACTTTGCTGCTCTCTGATGTGGAGGGTGTTCGCTGCTGCGAGCATCTCACAGCGAACAGTTTTTAAGGTAGTATGATCCATGCTTCAGTGATCAGAGGAATTTAGGGGGGTACTGTGGCGTGCGAGAACGCAAAACTCCGGTTATCTCTGTCTACACACAAATGCATTAACAGAGTTTTCAAAAATCTCCACTTTGCCCGGAGTTTTTTGTATATATTCGTTTAGAATGTGTAATTTTTTATTTATTTAATGCGATCTACCAATACTACCTTTGCGATCGACTGGTAGATCGCGATCGACGTATTGAGCACCCCTGTGCTACTGGTTTAAACATACACATGTGTCTCTATCTGGTGGCTCCCTGGTCTCTCTCTCTGGTCACTATCTGATCTCTCTCTGGTCCCTCTCTGGTTTCTCTCTCTCTGGTCTCTCTCTCTCTGGTCTCTCTCTCTCTGGTCTCCCTCTCTGGTCCCTCTCTGGTTTCTCTCTCTCTGGTCTCTCTCTCTCTGGTCTCTCTCTCTCTGGTCTCTCTCTCTCTGGTCTCTCTCTCTCTGGTCTCCCTCTCTGGTCTCTCTCTGGTTTCTCTCTCTGAGTCCAGACCTAAACCCAAATGAAAATCGTATCTAATCTGAAAGAGCACGCGCTGTTTTGTTACAAAACGAGTGTTCTTTAGATGTGTTCTTTCGGGTTAGACTCAAAACAAACAAACTATTACCTCATGTATGAACACATGTTCATCCATTACAGAGAGGGGGCAGTATCATGCTGTAGAGCTCACCTGTATGTTCATCCATTACAGAGAGGGGGCAGTATCATGCTGTAGAGCTCACCTATATGTTCATCCATCACAGAGAGGCGGCAGTATCATGCTGTAGAGCTCACCTATATGTTCATCCATCACAGAGAGGGGGCAGTATCATGCTGTAGAGCTCACCTATATGTTCATCCATCACAGAGAGGGGGCAGTATCATGCTGTGGAGCTCAACTGTATGTTCATCCATCACAGAGAGGGGGCAGTATCATGCTGTGGAGCTCACCTGTATGACTCCCACCACGTACGTCAGACTTCCCTCCAGGAAGTGTCCATCGATGACGACACCGAAGGAAAAACATGCTCCACTGTGACCATCGATCATCTCCCCCACGAACCAGGGCCCTGAGGGCAGTACGTACATGAACATTTGGTCCAGTCTCTGGTCCGGTCTCTCTGGTCCGGTCTCTCTGGTCCGGTCTCTCTGGTCCGGTCTCACTGGTCCGGTCTCACTGGTCCGGTCTCACTGGTCCGGTCTCACTGGTCCGGTCTCACTGGTCCGGTCTCACTGGTCCGGTCTCACTGGTCCGGTCTCACTGGTCCGGTCTCACTGGTCCGGTCTCACTGGTCCGGTCTCTCTGGCCCGGTCTCTCTGGCCCGGTCTCTCTGGCCCGGTCTCTCTGGCCCGGTCTCTGGTCCGGTCTCAGGTCTGGACCCAGACTCACCGAAGGCCGTGCTCAGGTTGAAGAGCAGCAGACTGTAGTAAAACCAGTTTCTCTGAGACAGAAGCTGCAGCGAGGAGCAGCAGGAGGACACCAACCCTGCAACAACGAGACAGCTGATTGGACACAGGCAGTGGACATGTGACCTGAGGGGGAGGGGCCAAACAGGGCTTCCTTATATGGGCATTTCCTCCAATGACGTTAGCTAGGAACGGTTTCTAAGGCAAGCTGGAACATCAGCGTAAACCCTGTGGTGATGTGTTAAAACTAGGGGTGTGACAAATATCGCAATTATTTTTTTGTTTTTACTTTTTTTTTTTTGAATTGGTATCAATACTTAATATATGGCTACATTACGCATCTCCATTCTATTTATCATGAAATAAAGAGTATTTTTTCTTTTATTTATGCGATGCCATAAATTGGCATATTGTATATTTCTGACCAATATATCAATAATTGTCATATCGTGATAAAATCGTTATTGTGATATTATCGTTATCGTGAGCTTTGTATCGTGTATCGTATCGTATCGTGAGGTACCCTTAGGTTCCCACCCCTAGTTAAAACCCTGTGGTGATGTGTTAAAACCCTGTGGGGGAGGGTCCCGGCTCAAAAGTGGCCAAAATGACGTGCGCTGACATGCTGCAATACCACCCCAGGCCTGTGGGGGTGGACCCAGAAGAAGAATTAGCCAATGCTAACATATAGCATTGGCAGACCTTTCGAAAACGTCTTTACAGGATGGACCAAAAGTTGGCTCTTGGCCCAAAGCTCCGTTCCACATGTGTGTCAATGCTGAGGGGGGTGGATTTTTTTGGACCACTCTAGTTTACTCGCTGTGGACTTTAGAAGTCTCTCGTTCAAATGAACGGAGCAATTTTCTTGTGGGCGGGACCACTCGCGGCCATTTTGGATTGCTCCAGTAGAGCACATTTTTTGGCCCATTAGTTAGAACGGCGGAGATAGTCGTGACTCTGTCCGTTCATATATACAGTCTATGGTTTGAACCCTGGGGTGATGTGTTTGAACCCTGGGGTAGAGCTGCAACTAACGATTATTTTGTAATCGATTAATCTATCGATTATTTTTACAATTAATTGAGTAATCGCTTGGCTGTGAATTGTGTAGAAAAAAAATATTTTTTCATCACAAAAAGCTAAAGTGGCAACACTCGAGGACGTATTGATGGCGTAAACTTAAAGTAAATGTTTGTAACAGGCTCTTTGTGCTAATTCTGCTCTGATTGGATGAGACGGACAGATATTCATGAAATTATAAAAACAAAGTCGGTTTTAATCAAAAATACTACATTTTCATGTCATTTTTGCTCTGTTTGAGTCCGTGTGAACCAGAAAACGATTAATCGATTACTAAAATAGTTGTCGACTATTTCAATAATCGATTAGTCGTCGATTAATCGATTAGTTGTTTCAGCCCTACCCTGGGGTGATGTGTTTGAACCCTGGGGTGATGTGTTTGAACCCTGGGGTGATGTGTTTGAACCCTGGGGTGATGTGTTCTCCGTAGAGCGTGACCTTTGGGCTGGACACCAGTGAAGCGCGTCCTCCGGAACAACAGCAGCGCGCCCACGTTCAGCAGAACCGTGACGGCGAACGCGACTTTCCCCAGAACGTGATGATCGGTGAGAAGGATGAAGGACTGAACAAAACCGAAGCTTAACGTCAAATTGTCCTCCAGAGAAAAATGCTGCTGCTTCACCACGGAGCGCCCGGAGGAATCCTGAAAGACGAGATAGCAAGACAGCTGCGTCAAGACAGGATGTGATCTCTAACATGTTCAAGAACTGTTTCAGATTTTAAGTTCTGTTTTAATCTACAACCTGGGGTTATGTGTTTAAACACAGGGGTCTCTCTGGCCTCTTTTTCTGGTCTCTCTTTCTGGTCTCTCTCTCTGGTCTCTCTCTGGGCTCACTCTGGTCTCTTTCTCTGGTCTCTCTCTCTGGTCTCTCTCTCTGGTCTCTCTCTCTGGTCTCTCTCTCTGGGCTCTCTCTCTGGGCTCTCTCTGGTCTCTCTCTCTGGGCTCTCTCTGGTCTCTCTCTCTGAGCTCTCTCTCTGGGCTCTCTGCTCTCTCTGGGCTCTCTCTGGTCTCTCTCTCTGGGCTCTCTCTCTGGGCTCTCTCTCTGGGCTCACTCTGGGCTCTCTCTCTGGGCTCTCTCTGGTCTCTCTCTCTGGGCTCTCTCTGGTCTCTCTCTCTGGGCTCTCTCTGGTCTCTCTCTCTGGGCTCTCTCTGGTCTCTCTCTGGTCTCTCTCTGGTCTCTCTCTCTGGGCTCTCTCTGGTCTCTCTCTCGGCTCTCTCTGGTCTCTCTCTCTGGGCTCTCTCTGGTCTCTCTCTCTGAGCTCTCTCTGGTCTCTCTCTCTGGACTCTCTCTGGTCCTGACCTGTGCAGTGATGCTGATGGTGTGGAGTCCAGTGGAGTACAGAGAGGGGTCCCACTGCAGCACATACAGGGGCCCCTGGGCTGAGCGAGCGGGCCCCAGGTCCTTCCCGTCCACTCGCACCAGGACCGAGGAGACGGGGACATCGGAGAACACCAGCAGTCTGGGATCAAGTCAAAGCTGCTCAGACAAACTTTATTGATCCCAAGTTCAGGAGCTTCTATATTTCATCTGGGGCTTGTGTTGTTCAGCTCTTTGTGTTGCCTTGAATTGTGCTATACAAATAAGCTACATCACGTCGACAAAGGAGAAGTGCTCACTCCCATAATGGCTCTAATGTGTAGGTTGTATATACATGTATTTAAAGCTGCATTGTGCCACTTTTCTCTAATCATAATAATAATACATCCATTATTGTATAATAATACATCCACAGCACTTTTCAGGACACTCAAAGACACGTCAGATATCATTCTTTCACTGCAAACTACTACTGTAGCCACAGCTGCCCTGGGGCACAGTGACAGAAGCGAGGCAACCAGTCTGTGCCATCAGCCCCTCCCACCACCACCAACCATTCACACACACACCAGACTCATTCCAATGTGGGAGAAGTGTCTTGCCTAAGGACACAACCACAGTTTGGCACTTTACAGACGCAGCCGCCCCACTGTGGCACCTGCTGTTCCCAGAGGTCTCCCATCACAGTATTAACCAGGCCCTGCCCTGCTTAGCATCATAGCTCTGACGGGATCTGGGCCTTGACCCTCACGTTGCCATGGAGATGCTCCGTCTGGTTTGAATAATTCTCTGATATAACATGTACAATATTTAATCACAGATATGAGCCAGTGCAGACCTGGTCCAGACCCAGTTAGTCCTGGTTGAGTACCTGATGTGGGTGGACTTGCCGATCCGCTCCAGAGGCTCCAGTCCTGGGTGAACGTACTGAGCGTCTTTGGGGTTAGTGATGACGACCACGGGCCACAGGTCGAAGGTCACGTCTGAGAAACTGAGGAGGTCATGGTCTAATGCCACTACACGGAACCTGCAACACACCACAGACCAGTCTCTCTCTGGTCTCTCTCTGGTCTCTCTCTGGTCTCTCTCTGGTCTCTCTCTGGTCTCTCTCTCTCTGGTCTCTCTCTCTGGTCTCTCTCTCTGGTCTCTCTCTCTGGTCTCTCTCTCTGGTCTCTCTCTCTCTGGTCTCTCTCTCTCTGGTCTCTCTCTGGTCTCTCTCTCTCTGGTCTCTCTCTGTTCTCTCTCTCTGGTCTCTCTCTCTGGTCTCTCTCTCTCTGGTCTCTCTCTCTCTGGTCTCTCTCTTGGTCTCTCTCTCTGGTCTCTCTCTCTGGTCTCTCTCTCTGGTCTCTCTCTGGTCTCTCTCTGGTCTCTCTCTCTGGTCTCTCTCTCTGGTCTCTCTCTCTGGTCTCTCTCTGGTCTCTCTCTCTGGTCTCTCTCTCTCTGGTCTCTCTCTCTCTGGTCTCTCTCTCTGGTCTCTCTCTCTGGTCTCTCTCTCTCTGGTCTCTCTCTCTGGTCTCTCTCTCTGGTCTCTCTCTGGTCTCTCTCTCTCTGGTCTCTCTCTCTCTGGTCTCTCTCTCTCTGGTCTCTCTCTCTGGTCTCTCTCTCTGGTCTCTCTCTCTCTGGTCTCTCTCTCTCTGGTCTCTCTCTGGTCTCTCTCTCTGGTCTCTCTCTCTGGTCTCTCTCTCTCTGGTCTCTCTCTCTCTGGTCTCTCTCTCTGGTCTCTCTCTCTCTGGTCTCTCTCTCTCTCTGGTCTCTCTCTCTCTCTGGTCTCTCTCTCTGGTCTCTCTCTATTCTCTCTCTCTGGTCTCTCTCTCTGGTCTCTCTCTCTGGTCTCTCTCTCTGGTCTCTCTCTCTGGTCTCTCTCTCTGGTCTCTCTCTCTGGTCTCTCTCTCTGGTCTCTCCCTCTCTGGTCTCTCCCTCTCTGGTCTCTCTCTATTCTCTCTCTCTGGTCTCTCTCTCTGCTCTCTCTCTGGTCTCTCTCTCTGGTCTCTCTCTCTGGTCTCTCTCTCTGGCCTCTCTCTCTGGTCTCTCTCTGGTCTCTCCCTCTCTGGCCCCTCTCTCTGTTGTCACCCTCTCTCTGGTCTCTCTTTCTCTGGTCTCTCTCTCTCTGGTCTCTCTGTTCTCTCTCTCTGGTCTCTCTCTGGTCTCTCTCTCTGGTCTCTCTCTCTGGTCTCTCTCTCTGGTCTCTCTCTCTGGTCTCTCTCTCTGGTCTCTCTCTCTCTGGTCTCTCTCTGTTCTCTCTCTGGTCTCTCTCTGGTCTCTCTCTGGTCTCTCTCTCTGGTCGCTCTCTCTCTCTGGTCTTTCTCTCTCTGGTCTCTCTCTCTCTGGTCTCTCTCTCTCTGGTCTCTCTCTCTGGTCGCTCTTTGGTCTCTCTCTCTGTTCTCTCTCTGGTCTCTCTCTCTCTGGTCTCTCTCTCTCTGGTCTCTCTCTCTGGTCTCTCTCTCTCTGGTCTCTCTCTCTCTGGTCTCTCTCTCTCTGGTCTCTCTCTCTCTCTGGTCTCTCTCTCTGGTCGCTCTCTCTGGTCTCTCTCTCTCTGATCTCTCTCTCTCTGGTCTCTCTCTGTTCTCTCTCTCTGTTCTCTCTCTCTGGTCTCTCTCTCTGGTCTCTCTCTCTGGTCTCTCTCTCTCTGGTCTCTCTCTCTGGTCTCTCTCTCTCTGGTCTCTCTCTCTGGTCTCTCTCTCTCTCTCTGGTCTCTCTCTCTGGTCTCTCTATCTCTGTTCTCTCTCTGGTTCTCTCTCTGGTCTCTCTCTGTTCTCTCTCTGGTCTCTCTCTCTGGTCTCTCTCTGGTCTCTTTCTGGTCTCTCTCTCTCTGGTCTCTCTCTCTCTGGCCTCTCTCTCTCTGGTCTCTCTCTCTCTGGTCTCTCTCTGTTCTCTCTCTCTGGTCTCTCTCTGGTCTCTCTCTCTGGTCTCTCTCTCTGGTCTCTCTCTCTGGTCTCTCTCTGGTCTCTCTCTCTCTGGTCTCTCTCTGTTCTCTCTCTCTCTGGTCTCTCTCTGGTCTCTCTCTGGTCTCTCTCTCTGGTCTCTCTCTCTGGTCTCTCTCTCTGGTCTCTCTCTGGTCTCTCTCTCTCTGGTCTCTCTCTGGTCTCTCTCTCTCTGGTCTCTCTCTCTCTGGTCTCTCTCTCTCTGGTCTCTCTCACCGTCTGTTGTCCATCCAGTCTCCCAGCTCCAGCTCCAGAGTTCCCTGTGGGTGTCTGCTGTGTAGCACAGGTACGAGACCCCCCAGAGTGTGCAGGTGTCCACAGAGGTACGCCAGAGCAGATCTGTGGAGAGGCCGGCCTGTTACTATAGCAACGCTCAGCCACAGACCTGGAGCGGCTTTTAGTTCCATCCACGCCAATATCAGAGGCCTGTGGCACAAACATGTAGCCCCGCCCCTTCTGCCCAAACGCTCCCAAACTCAAGTTCTGACTTTGGCAAAAAGTATAATGGAGGCTGTTGAATCTCAAGCGTGTGTGTGTGTGTGTGTGTGTGTGTGTGTTTACCTCATGAGTGTGCGTACTCCTGGTGCCGGGGACACGATGGTGGACGTTGTGTAGTGTCCAAACCAAATGGACTGATTGGAACTCAGAGACTGAAGCCGGAACGAGTCCAGGACCTGCACCTGCGACTGAAGGAGACACACAACTGAGCCAGTGACACACAACTGAAGGAGACACACAACTGAACCTGATCCAGAGTTCCTGTGGCCTCAGAACTAGTTCTTTACCAGTGATAATAATATTAATAATAATAATAATGTGTCTTATTCAGTATTTTTCTGAACTCTCAAAGTCTCTTCACATCATTCTCTCTCTCCAAACACAGCAGTGATAAACTACTGTAGCCACAACTGCCCTGGGGCACACAGCCTGTGCCATCGGCCCCTCCCACTGTGGCAGGTCTCTAGTGATGTGTGTGTCCATGTTACACACTGACATCAGGTACACACTTTACATTTGTGCTACATAAAAAATAAGACATTTTCTCCCAACATCAGACTAAAATACATTTAACTTTGTATAAAATACATTTAACTTTGTATAAAATACATTTAACTTTGTATAAAGTACCAATACTTTTACTTATTTTACTTTTAACTCAGTTGATTTCCACTTTAACTTCTCGTCGATCGCAATTTTAGAGACGTCTTTTTTTACCCTGTTCCCAAAAATCATATATTTTGTTTTTCCCCAGTTTAAGCTTAATTTATTGTCTGTAAATAAATGTCTTAATTTAACCAATTCCTTTTCGATGGATACATGTATGTCACTTACATTTCTTCCAGAGTGGAATATACTTGTGTCATCGGCAAATAACAAGAATTGTTTGATGTTTGATGATTCACAAATATCATGAATAAACAGAACAAAAAGCAGCGGTCCAAGAACAGATCCCTGTGGGACCCCAAAAACAACGTTTTTATCATTAGAATGAAAACCATGTGTATGTACATACTGCTGTCGGTTTGTGGTGTAACTTCTGAGCCGTGTGTAGGGCGCCCCCCTGAGGCCAAACTCAGATCGATGAATACCCCAAAGAATATTATATACAAATATATAATACAGAATATTATATACAAATATATAATACAGTATATTATATACAAATATATAATACAGAATATTATATACAAATATATAATACAGAATATTATATACAAATATATAATACAGAATATTATATTCAATTATATAATACAGAATACTATATACAAATATATAATACAGAATATTATATACAAATATATAATACAGTATATACAAAATATAATACAGAATATTCCTTACAGAATATTCCTTTCTTTTCCAGGCCCTGTCCTGCTTAGTACCTCGTTTACTTTAGAATGTTCTGGAAACAGCAGCGAGTGTTTCTGAAACTGTTGCTTTGTGTTTTATTATTTTTATTTATTTTTTTCTGTCTGAGATATTTCTGCAGTTCAGTGTTTTACACTGGTCCATTCCTCTCTCTCTCTCTCTCTCTCTCTCTCTCTCTCTCTCTCTCTCTCTCTCTCTCTCTCTCTCTCTCTCTCTCTCTCTCTCTCTCTCTCTCTCTCTCTCTCTCTCTCTCTCTCTCTCTCTCTCTCTCTCTCTCTCTCTCTCTCTCTCTCTCTCTCTCTCTCTCTCTCTCTCTCTCTCTCTCTCTCTCTCTCTCTCTCTCTCTCTCTCTCTCTCTCTCTCTCTCTCTCTCTCTCTCTCTCTCTCTCTCTCTCTCTCTATATATATATATATATACATACCTGGTTGAGGATGCCAAAGAAGTTGTAGGGCCTCTTGGGGCCCGGGGTCAGAGTGGCGTCAGCGCAGACGAACGAGTAGTTTCCAAACGAAGTCCTGTGCACGTGATGGAACGACCCAATCTCCTGGTGCGCAGAGTACTTCCTGGAGGAGGTGACAGAGAGGAGGAGGTCACAGAGGAGGCGGTGACAGAGAGGAGGAGGTGACAGAGGAGGAGGTAACAGAGGACGAGGAGTTCAGAGCAGGAGGCAACAGAGAGGAGGAGGTCAGAGGAGGAGGTGACAGAGGAGGAGGTCAGAGGAGGAGGTGACAAAGAGGAGGAGGTCACAGAGGAGGCGGTGACAGAGGTGGAGGAGGTGAGAGGAGGAGGTGACAGAGGAGGTGAGAGGAGGAGGAGGTCAGAGCAGGAGGTAACAGGGGAGGAGGTCAGAGGAGGAGGTCACAGAGGAGGTGGTGACAGAGAGGAGGAGGTGAGAGGAGGAGGAGGTAACAGAGGAGGAGGAGGTGACAGAGGAGGAGGTGACAGAGGACGAGGAGTTCAGAGCAGGAGGCAACAGAGAGGAGGAGGTCAGAGGAGGAGGTGACAGAGGAGGAGGTCAGAGGAGGAGGTGACAAAGAGGAGGAGGTCACAGAGGAGGCGGTGACAGAGGAGGAGGAGGTGAGAGGAGGAGGTGACAGAGGAGGAGGTGAGAGGAGGAGGAGGTCAGAGCAGGAGGTAACAGAGGAGGAGGAGGTGACAGAGGAGGAGGTCAGAGGAGGAGGTGACAGAGGAGGAGGTCAGAGGAGGAGGTGACAGAGAGGAGGAGGTCACAGAGGAGGTGGTGACAGAGAGGAGGAGGTGAGAGGAGGAGGTAACAGAGGAGGAGGAGGTGACAGAGGAGCAGGTGAGAGGAGGAGGAGGTCAGAGCAGGAGGTGACAGAGGAGGAGGAGGTGACAGAGGAGGAGGTCAGAGGACGAGGAGTTCAGAGCAGGAGGCGACAGAGAGGAGGAGGTCAGAGGAGGAGGTGACAGAGGAGGAGGTGACAGAGGAGGAGGTCAGAGGAGGAGGTGACAGAGGAGGCGGTGACAGAGGAGGAGGAGGTCAGAGAGGAGCAGGTGACAGAGAGGAGGAGGTCAGAGGAGGAGGTGACAGAGGAGGAGGTGACAGAGGAGGAGGTCAGAGAGGAGGAGATGACAGAGGAGGAGGTGACAGAGAAGGAGGTCAGAGGAGGAGGTCACAGAGGAGGAGATGACAGAGGAGGAGGTGACAGAGGAGGAGGAGGTCAGAGAGGAGCAGGTGACAGAGAGGAGGTCAGAGAGGAGGAGGAGGTGACAGAGAGGAGGTCAGAGTGGAGGAGGTGACCGAGGAGGTCAGAGAGGAGAAGGTCACAGAGGAGGAGGTCGGAATGGAGGAGGACAGAGAGGAGGTCATGGAGAACACAGAGGAGGTCACAGAGGAGGAGGCTACAGAGGAGGAGGTCAGGGAGGAGGAGGTGACAGAGGAGGAGCTGACCTAAAGTAGTTGTTGACGCTGTCCAGGGACATGATGTTGAAGGCGTCTGGAAAAAAGCAAAAGAAGAAAAGTTTGCACAGACAAACTTTTCAGGGAGGAGGTGCAGTGGGGGTCGAGGAGGTGCAGTGGGGGTCGAGGAGGTGCAGTGGGGTCGAGGAGGTGCAGTGGGGGTCGAGGAGGTGCAGTGGGGTCGAGGAGGTGCAGTGGGGTCGAGGAGGTGCAGTGGGGGTCGAGGAGGTGCAGTGGGGGTCGAGGAGGTGCAGTGGGGGTCGAGGAGGTGCAGGGGGGGTCGAGGAGGTGCAGTGGGGGTTGAGGAGGAGCAGTGGGGTCGAGGAGGTGCAGTGGGGGTCGAGGAGGTGCAGTGGGGGTCGAGGAGGAGCAGTGGGGGTCGAGGAGGTGCAGTGGGGGTCGAGGAGGTGCAGTGGGGGTCGAGGAGGTGCAGTGGGGGTTGAGGAGGAGCAGTGGGGTCGAGGAGGTGCAGTGGGGGTCGAGGAGGTGCAGTGGGGGTCGAGGAGGAGCAGTGGGGGTCGAGGAGGTGCAGTGGGGGTCGAGGAGGTGCAGTGGGGGTCGAGGAGGTGCAGTGGGGGTTGAGGAGGAGCAGTGGGGTCGAGGAGGTGCAGTGGGGGTCGAGGAGGTGCAGTGGGGGTCGAGGAGGAGCAGTGGGGGTCGAGGAGGTGCAGTGGGGGTCGAGGAGGAGCAGTGGGGGTCGAGCAGGTGCAGTGGGGGTTGAGGAGGAGCAGTGGGGTCGAGGAGGTGCAGTGGGGGTCGAGGAGGTGCAGTGGGGGTCGAGGAGGTGCAGTGGGGGTCGAGGTTATTTTCTTAATGTTAATAAGAAAGTAACAATTGTTTAAACGTTGAACGGTGACGGTTGCTCCGTGGGTCATGTGCAGAACCTCTGTGCTCCGTGGGTCATGTGCAGAACCTCTGTGCTCCGTGGGTCATGTGCAGAACCTCTGTGAACCTCTGTGCTCCGTGTGGTGTGCGTTTGTTTTGATTCTCCCTGTGACAGTTTTACAGACGGCCAACCTCTGATTGATTGCGGCTAAATTAGCGGAAAAGCTAATCTAGCGGAAAAGCTAAGCTAGCGGCAAGCGCTTTCTCGCTGCCCACTTTGTGAGATCACCATGGCAACACGCGCAGAGCTGTCTGCTGTTGTGACGCTAAGGCTGGCATCTTGTCCAATGGTATCAGTACGAGTCCAAGCCCATGGTATCAGTACTAGTACAAGCCCATGGTATCAGTACTAGTACAAGCCCATGGTATCAGTACTAGTACAAGCCCATGGTATCAGTACTAGTACAAGCCCATGGTATCAGTACTAGTACAAGCCCATGGTATCAGTACTAGTACAAGCCCATGGTATCAGTACTAGTACAAGCCCATGGTGTCAGTACTAGTACAAGCCCATGGTATCAGTACTAGTACAAGCCCATGGTATCAGTACTAGAACAAGCCCATGGTATCAGTACTAGTACAGGCCCATGGTGTCAGTACTAGTACAAGCCCATGGTATCAGTACTAGTACAGGCCCATGGTGTCAGTACTAGTACAAGCCCATGGTATCGATCCTTGTTCCCTAGTTTATAGTAGTAGAGGAAACCGGAGCATCTGGAGTAAACCTAGGCAAACACAGGGAGAACATGCAAACTCCACACAGAAAGGTCCTGGCGTCCAACCACAGCTCTCCTTGATGCGTTACCATGGTTTCCTCGGATGTCGATCCACTTGGTCTTCTGCAGGACCCCGGAGCTCTTGAGGACCTGGTGGTAGTTCTGCCACTCCACCTCGTGCTGCAGAGAACCCACTTTACTCTGGGTCTTAGCGTCCGTCAGGTCCCCTGCAACAGAGGTCAGAGGTCACACCTGCATCTGCCCCTGAAGAGAGGTCAGGGGTGAGGATCGCAGAGAGGTCAGGGGTGAAGACCACCCCTCCCTCCTCATGCCCCTCCCCTCCTCATGCCCCTCCCCTCCTCAGGCCCCTCCCCTCCTCATGCACCTCCCCCCTCAGGCCCCTCCCCCCTCTGGCCCCTCCCCCTTCAGGCCCCTCCCCTCACCTGTTGCCAGCACCAGAGCAGGGCTGATTACGTTCACAGTCTCAGAGCAAAACTTCTGGAAGTCGGGGATCCTCTTGGGGTCGTGGAAGCGGCTGATGTGGATGTCCGAGATCTGGACAACAACAATAATAACAATAACAGTAAAGCTCTTCGCTTGTAAACTACTTTACATCTGGCAGAAGTCTCTATTAGCGAGAAATTCTGAAGACTCTGTCTCTGGTCTCTCTCGGGTCTCTCTCGGGTCTCTCTCTCTGGTCTCTCTCTCTGGTCTCTCTCTCTGGTCTCTCTCTCTGGTCTCTCTCTCTGGTCTCTCTCTCTGGTCTCTCTCTCTGGTCTCTCTCTCTGGTCTCTCTCTGGTCTCTCTCTGGTCTCTCTCTGGTCTCTCTCTGGTCTCTCTCTGGTCTCTCTCTGGTCTCTCTCTGGTCTCTCTCTGGTCTCTCTCTGATCTCTCTCTCTCTGATCTCTCTCTCTCTAGTCTCTCTCTAGTCTCTCTCTCTGGTCTCTCTCTCTGGTCTCTCTCTCTGGTCTCTCTCTCTGATCTCTCTCTCTGGTCTCTCTCTCTGGTCTCTCTCTGGTCTCTCTCTGGTCTCTCTCTAGTCTCTCTCTGGTCTCTCTCTCTGGTCTCTCTCTCTGGTCTCTCTCTCTGGTCTCTCTCTCTGATCTCTCTCTCTGATCTCTCTCTCTCTAGTCTCTCTCTGGTCTGTCTCTGGTCTCTCTCTGATCTCTCTCTCTGATCTCTCTCTCTCTAGTCTCTCTCTGGTCTCTCTCTCTAGTCTCTCTCTGGTCTCTCTCTCTGGTCTCTCTCTCTGGTCTCTCTCTGGTCTCTCTCTCTGGCTCTCTCTCTGGTCTCTCTCTGGTCTCTCTCTGGTCTCTCTCTGGTCTCTCTTCTCTCTGGTCTCTCTCTCTGGTCTCTCTCTGGTCTCTCTCTGGTCTCTCTCTCTGGTCTCTCTCTGGTCTCTCTCTGGTCTCTCTCTGGTCTCTCTCTCTGATCTCTCTCTCTCTAGTCTCGCTCTAGTCTCTCTCTGGTCTCTCTCTCTGGTCTCTCTCTGGTCTCTCTCTGGTCTCTCTCTGGTCTCTCTCTCTGGTCTCTCTCTGGTCTCTCTCTGGTCTCTCTCTCTGGTCTCTCTCTGGTCTCTCTCTGGTCTCTCTCTCTGGTTTCTTTCTCTGGTCTCTCTCTCTGGTCTCTCTCTCTCTGGAATCTTTCTGGTGTCTCTCTCTGGTCTCTCTCTCTGGTCTCTCTCTATCTGGAATCTCTCTGGTCTCTCTCTGGTCTCTCTCTCTGGTCTCTCTCTCTGATCTCTCTCTCTGATCTCTCTCTCTGATCTCTCTCTCTGATCTCTCTCTCTGGTCTCTCTCTCTGGTCTCTCGAAACATAACTTAAGTTCAAAGTCTGGAGGTCACAGCTGAGTTTCCGTAATGAAATCATAATAACATGGGGTAAATAATAATAAAAATAGTATTAATAGCAGTTTAGTGATGGGGCAGAATCACCTGAATGAACCAGAAGACATTGTCCAGAGTTCCTCCGGGAAACGGTGGTGTCACGTCTTTTCGCTTGTGTCGCGTCTCTCGTCGTTTGGGCCACGCGGTGTCGTAGCGCTCCAACAGTCGCGACGCGAAGAACGCGAGTGACAAACCCACAACCAGCACCGCGACGAACAAGCGCAGCATCTTGTACCGCGAGCCCACCGCGCGGCAAACCCAGCGCGAGCCTACCGCGCGGCAAAGAGCCCGCCGCGCGCACGGAAAACCCACCGCGCGGCAAAAGACCGCACGGCAAAACCACCGCGCGACAAAACAGCTACATGACGCGCGGCAGACGCGCTCAGAGCGGAGGCCTCCAAGAAGGAACAGAAGAGCAGAGGTGTTCCACACACTGCAGAGGAGCAGGGCACACTGCGCATGCGCACCTCACCTCATCCCATCGCCATTGTTCCGGAGCAGCGCACAAACATAATTCACAAGAGGAGCGCAGGAGTGGGAGGAGCTACGCCGCCAGTGAAGTGCTTCATGTGAATTGAGGACGAGGAGAGGAGGGGCAGCATCATTCTGTGGGGCTGCTTTTCTTCAGCAGGGACAGGGAAGAGTGTCCGAGTTGATGGAAGGTGCCTCTATGGATGGTGTTTTGTGTGTCAATAAGAATACGGTCTGAAGGCATTATGAAGTGAGCAATCTGGGGATTTTAGAGCTGAATTCAAACCTCTTATTCAGCAGTGTGTGGTTAGCACTGAGCTGATCAGAAGATTCCTCCAGGTGCTCCGGTTTCCTCAGTTCTGAATTGAATTAAAGCGTCTGGTATCCTGGTGTTCGGGGCCTCGCGCGGCCCCCGTGTGGAGGGAATGGGAATCACCAGTATCAACAGAAGGCTGTGGTCTGTAACGTGTGCTATTTAAATAAAGATAACTTATTTACCTTCTTCCAAAATGGATCAAATTCTTATGATTTAAACGATTTCAAATTCTAAACCAAAACATAAGCTGTGCACAAGTCTTCACCCTGAGCCCAGCTCCAGTTCTCACTGGACCTGCGGAACCAGCTGCGACCTGAGGAAACAGTTGGGACCTGAGGAACCAGCTGGGACCTGCGGAACCAGTTGGGACCTGAGGAACCAGCTGGGACCTGCGGAACCAGTTGGGACCTGAGGAACCAGCTGGGACCTGCGGAACCAGTTGGGACCTGAGGAACCAGCTGGGACCTGAGGAACCAGCTGGGACCTGAGGAACCAGCTGGGACCTGCGGAACCAGCTGGGACCTGCGGAACCAGCTGGGACCTGTGTGGACCTCCAGACTCTTTATGGCTCGTATCTGGATATGAAGACATAATCCCAACAATACAAGTGGCTACATTCTTCATAAGAGCAGAATGTAAAGAATGGAGAAGTTTAGCGTAGCACAGACACACGCAGCTCAAAGAAACAACAAAGCTTTAAAATCAGAAATGCCACAGTTCAGTTACAGGAGAATCTTTTTGTTGTTGCAGTGACCTGGATTTGCACACAGAGGGCCCGGTCCTCAGTGGCCCCCGGACACAGAGGGCCCGGTCCTCAGAGGCCCCCGGACACAGAGGTCCTCCGTGCTTATGTCGGAGGCTGTGACAGTTGAAGTGGAGGAGGATGGACACTTCTGCGCTGCTGTGAAGCCCATGCGCGCTCCCGAGGCTGTTGCGAGGGGCGATGGCGTCGAGCACGCGCACGTCACGTAAAGCATCCGCCGCAGAGAGATGCGGCAGGAGCTACGCACGCACTGTGGACGCCGGGGTGAGACTGGAAGCGAGTGGACATAAGAGGACACGAGGGGACACGAGACATCAAAGACCTGCGCAAATCTGCCGTGGACGCGTGCGTGAGGTGAGTCATAACCGCGAGTCGCCGCGTGGACGCGCCCAGAGCATCACTGCAGCGCATCCGTTCTGCGCGTGCGCGTGAGTAGACTGTACCTCTGTCTTCTGTTCACTGTTGTCATGGTCTGCGTGGGTTTGCGTGTTCTCCCCGTGTCTGCGTAGGTGTTTGCGTGCGTGTGTGTATGTTTGTGCTTGTGTATGTGTGTGTGGGTGTATGTGTGTGTGTGTGTGTATGTGCGTGTGTATGTGTGTATGTGCGTGTGTATGTGTGTGCTTGTGCTTGTGCGTGTGTGGGTTTGAAAGAGACAATGTTGTGTACATAATAAATATATGTTATTGTTTAATTGTTGTCATCACTATAATCATTGCTATAGTTATAACAACAATAAATGTAGCAGGTATTTTGGCCCATTCTTCCTTTGGACCATTCTTCCCTGCAGGACAGTGCTGTGTTGAGGCTGTTGCTGGGACAGATGTTTTACGAGCCTCTCCTCTGTTGCCTTGCGATGTGTTTGGGATCATCGTCATGGAAACCACGTTTCATATTCAATGCTGTCACTGATGGAATAACACATGGCCCCATTCCTTAACACTCGTCCGGGCCCCTCTGCAGAAAAGCAGCCCCAGACTAGGGATTCAGTATCGGTATCGGGGGCCAATATGGGTATTTTGTAAGGATCGGATATTATCAGATTTGTTAAATATTGGGGAGTTTACATTTACAGAGTTCACACTCTGGTTAAGTACTGGCTCTTTGTGGTCATTCAGTTCTGCACCAGCTCTTTTCTTTTTGTTTTACTGAATGTTGAGCTTTTTGATAAATGTTCCTCTTTGATGTTTCTTTTATTTTAAGTTTATTTTAAAGGTGAAATATTCAATACTGATGTGATTCTTACCTATGACTTAACTCAGTATGTCTGTTAAGCAAAAGCCAAACAATATTTTTGAACATTTTAAAGTAATACTGGTTGCCAAATTTTTAATGCTTTGAAAATATTAGAAAAAATTGGATCGTATCGGATCGATATCGGCAAAACAATATTTAAGAATATCGGAATCTGATCGGATTACAAAAAATCGGGATCAGTACATCCCTACCCCAGACAATCATGTTTCCACCCCCACAGAGGCCCTGGTGTTTTTGGGACGTTGCACACTGTTCTTCCTCCTCCAGAGACAAGAGAGTATAAAAAAATGCCATCAAGATTCTAATGGATCTCTCCTGGATCTCTCTTTTAGACACCCATTCTGATTGGTCAGAAGCGCTGTCAATCTCTCTTCAGCTGGTGCGTCAGCTGAAAAAACATAACAAACAACACGTTTCCTCAAGTTTCCAGCTAAAAACTATATAGACATTAGTACGGAAAACTTTGTAAAGGGCAGTGAAGTGACTTGATAAAGGGCAGTAAATTACTTTATAAAGGGCAGTAAGTGACTTTATAAAGGGAAGTAAGTGACTTTATAAAGGGCAGTAAGGTGACTTTATAAAGGGCAGTGAAGTGACTTTATAAAGGGCAGTAAGTGACTTTATAAAGGGCAGTAAGGGACTTTATAAAGGGCAGTAAGGTGACTTTATAAAGGGCAGTGAAGTGACTTTAAAAAGGGCAGTAAGTTACTTTATAAAGGGCAGTAAGGTGACTTTATAAAGGGAAGTAAGTGACTTTATAAAGGGCAGTAAGGTGACTTTATAAAGGGCAGTGAAGTGACTTTATAAAGGGCAGTAAGTGACTTTATAAAGGGCAGTAAGGGACTTTATAAAGGGCAGTAAGGTGACTTTATAAAGGGCAGTGAAGTGACTTGATAAAGGGCAGTAAATTACTTTATAAAGGGCAGTAAGTGACTTTATAAAGGGAAGTAAGTGACTTTATAAAGGGCAGTAAGGTGACTTTATAAAGGGCAGTGAAGTGACTTTATAAAGGGCAGTAAGTGACTTTATAAAGGGCAGTAAGGGACTTTATAAAGGGCAGTAAGGTGACTTTATAAAGGGCAGTGAAGTGACTTTAAAAAGGGCAGTAAGTTACTTTATAAAGGGCAGTAAGGTGACTTTATAAAGGGCAGTGAAGTGACTTTATAAAGGGCAGTAAGTGACTTTATAAAGGGCAGTAAGGTGACTTTATAAAGGGCAGTGAAGTGACTTTATAAAGGGCAGTAAAGTGACTTTATGAAGGGCAGTAAAGTGACTTTATAAAGGGCAGTAAGTGACTTTATAAAGGGCAGTAAGTGACTTTATAAAGGGCAGTAAGTTACTTGATAAAGGCAGTAAGTGACTATATAAAGGGCAATAAGGTGACTTTATAAAGGGCAGTAAAGTGACTTTATAAAGGGCAATAAGGTGACTTTATAAAGGGCAGTAAAGTGACTTTATAAAGGGCAGTAAAGTCATGTTAAAAGGGCAGTAAAGTGACTTTACAAAGGGCAGTAAAGTGACTTTATAAAGAGCAGTAACTGACTTTATAAAGGGCAGTAAGTGACTTGATAAAGGGCAGTAAGTGACTTTATAAAGGGCAGTAAGGTGACTTTATAAAGGGCAATAAGGTGACTTTATAAAGGGCAGTAAAGTGACTTTATAAAGGGCAGTAAAGTCACGTTAAAAGGGCAGTAAAGTGACTTTATAAAGGGCAGTAAAGTGACTTTATAAAGGGCAGTAAAGTGACTTTATAAACGGCAGTAAGTGACTTTATAAAGGGCAGTAATTGACTTTATAAAGGGCAGTAAGTGACTTTATAAAGGGCAGTAAGTTACTTTATAAAGGGCAGTAAGGGACTTTATAAAGGGCAGTAAAGTGACTTTATAAAGGGCAGTAAGGTGACTTCATAAAGGGCAGTAAAGTGACTTTATAAAGGGCAGTAAAGTGACTTTATAAAGAGCAGTAAGTGACTTTATAAAGGGCAGTAAAGTGACTTTATAAAGGGCAGTAAGGTGACTTTATAAAGGGCAGTAAAGTGACTTTATAAAGAGCAGTAAGTGACTTTATAAAGGGCAGTAAGTGACTTGATAAAGGGCAGTAAGTGACTTTATAAAGGGCAGTAAAGTGACTTTATAAAGGGCAGTAAAGTCACGTTAAAAGGGCAGTAAAGTGACTTTATAAAGGGCAGTAAAGTGACTTTATAAAGGGCAGTAAAGTGACTTTATAAAGGGCAGTAAGTGACTTTATAAAGGGCAGTAAGTTACTTTATAAAGGGCAGTAAGGGACTTTATAAAGGGCAGTAAAGTGACTTTATAAAGGGCAGTAAGGTGACTTCATAAAGGGCAGTAAAGTGACTTTATAAAGGGCAGTAAAGTGACTTTATAAAGAGCAGTAAGTGACTTTATAAAGGGCAGTAAAGTGACTTTATAAAGGGCAGTAAAGTGACTTTATAAAGGGCAGTAAAGTGACTTTATAAAGAGCAGTAAGTGACTTTATAAAGGGCAGTAAGTAACTTGATAAAGGGCAGTAAGTGACTTTATAAAGGGCAGTAAAGTGACTTTATAAAGGGCAGTAAAGTCACGTTAAAAGGGCAGTAAAGTGACTTTATAAAGGGCAGTAAAGTGACTTTATAAAGGGCAGTAAAGTGACTTTATAAACGGCAGTAAGTGACTTTATAAAGGGCAGTAATTGACTTTATAAAGGGCAGTAAGTGACTTTATAAAGGGCAGTAAGTTACTTTATAAAGGGCAGTAAGGGACTTTATAAAGGGCAGTAAAGTGACTTTATAAAGGGCAGTAAGGTGACTTTATAAAGGGCAGTAAAGTGACTTTATAAAGAGCAGTAAGTGACTTTATAAAGGGCAGTAAAGTGACTTTATAAAGGGCAGTAAGGTGACTTTATAAAGGGCAGTAAAGTGACTTTATAAAGAGCAGTAAGTGACTTGATAAAGGGCAGTAAGTGACTTTATAAAGGGCAGTAAGGTGACTTTATAAAGGGCAATAAGGTGACTTTATAAAGGGCAGTAAAGTTACTTTATAAAGGGCAGTAAAGTCACGTTAAAAGGGCAGTAAAGTGACTTTATAAAGGGCAGTAAAGTGACTTTATAAACGGCAGTAAGTGACTTTATAAAGGGCAGTAAGTGACTTTATAAAGGGCAGTAAGTTACTTTATAAAGGGCAGTAAGGGACTTTATAAAGGGCAGTAAAGTGACTTTATAAAGGGCAGTAAGGTGACTTTATAAAGAATCAGAATCAGAATCAGAATCATTTTTATTGCCATGTAAGTAACAGGAGGTCACAGACTAGGAAATTGCTTTGGCTCAGTGCAACAGTCAAAAAGAGATAATAAAAATAAGAATAAAAAACACTTCTAAAGAATAAATTTAAATTTAAAATAGAGTTACAGTTACTATTTACAATATACAAGTGCACATGGTGCACACAATGTAAGGTGACAGCAGTACAGTGAAGTAAAGTGACGTATGATGGGCAGTAAAGTGACTTTATAAAGGGCGGGGGGACAGGTTAAGAAGTGTTCAAGAGTCCAACAGCAGAGGGGAAGAAACTGTTCTTGTGGCGGGAGGTTCTAGTCCTGATGGACCGCAGCCTCCTGCCTGAGGGGAGTGGTTGGAATAGTCCATGTGCAGGGTGAGAGGGGTCGGCTGTGATACGACCAGCCCGGCCTCGAGCTCGGGCGACGTACAGGTCCTGCAGCGATGGAAGGCTGCGGCCGATCACTTCCTCTGCAGAGCGCACAATGCGCTGTAGTCTCTGTTTGTCCCTGACTGTGGCTCCAGCGAACCACACGGTGACGGAGGAGGTGAGGATGGACTCGATGATGGCCGTGTAGAACTGCACCAACATCTGTGCAGGCAGCTTGGCTTTCCTGAGCTGCCGCAGGAAGTACATCCTCTGCTGGGCCTTCTTGATGAGGGAGCTGATGGTCGGCTCCCACTTGAGGTCCTGGGTGATGGTGGTGCCCAGGAAACGGAAGGACTCCACAGAGGTGATGGGGGAGTCCATCACGGAGGGTGGGGGTGGGGGGACAGTGCTCTTCCTGAAGTCCACAATCATCTCCACTGTCTTCTGGGCGTTCAGCTCCAGGTTGTTACCACTGCACCAGGACACCAGCCGGTCCACCTCCCTCCTGGAGGCGGACTCATCGTTGTTGGAGATGAGTCCAATGAGGGTGGTGTCGGCCGCGAACTTGATCAGCTTCACGGAGTCGTGGCTGGCAGTAAAGTGACTTTATAAAGGGCAGTAAAGTGACTTTATAAAGGGCAGTAAAGTGACTTTATAAAGAGCAGTAAGTGACTTTATAAAGGGCAGTAAGGTAACTTTATAAAGGGCAGTAAAGTGACTTTATAAAGGGCAGTAAAGTGACTTTATAAAGGGCAGGGTAACATGTTAAGTGTTCAAGAGTCCAACAGCAGAGCGGAAGAAACTATTCTTGTGGCGGGAGGTTCTAGTCCTGATGGACCGCAGCCTCCTGCCTGAGGGGAGTGGTTGGAGATCTTTGATCTCTCCTGGATCTCTCTTCGATCTCTCCTGCATCTCTCTTTGATCTCTCTTTCATCTCTCCTGGATCTCTGATGGTCAGTGGAAACAGATGTGGACATGAGCTTTATGGGAACACTATACCTCTGTGAAGCATGGGGTGGAAACATGACGGTTTGGGGGAATGGGCCAAAATACCGGCTACAGTGTGTCAAATCTACGGGAAAAGTTTGACCTCTGCCAAGGTTACATTACATAAAGAGTTGAACTTTTGTCATTGGTCAAATCAGTCCCTCCAGAATTTTGCGATGTGCGACCTGCGACTTCTTCTTTTGGTAAATTATATTTTGAAGTACTGTGTGTTTTATTTTTTGTGTACTTTGTGTACTGCTGGACAAACCTGTTTTAATCTGTGGTGTCTCTGTCCAGGCCTCGTGGATTCCCCCTGATGCCCTCCTCTGCCTCCCCCTGATGCCCTCCCCCGTCCTCACACCATGAGTGGGGGTGTGGAGCAGAGCGACCTTCTGAGCGTCTCGACTCTGGTCAAAGATCGATGGAAAGTGGTGAGTCTGAGGAGGACAGGGCATTTTGGCTCTGATGAACAGTCGATAACAGTGTTTTTTACGCGTGTTTCAGACAAAGAAGATTGGGGGCGGAGGCTTCGGTCAGATCTACGAGGCCCTGGACCTCCTGACCCGAGCCACAGTCGCCCTGAAGGTGGAGTCTGCCCAGCAACACAAGCAGGTCCTCAAGATGGAGGTCGCAGTGCTGAAGAGGCTGCAGGGTAAGGAGGGGGAGGGGGGGGTGAGGAGGGGAGGAGGGGACCTGGGGTGAGACCCTGGCTGGAACAGGGCCATTCTGAGTGGGGTTTGCATGTTCTCCCTTTGTCTGTGTAGGTTTCCTCCGGGTGCTGCACTGTGGTGACCACTGACAGTGCAGGATGGGTCAAATGCAGAAGGGATCAATAAAGTGAACGTTAGCGTCACGTTAGCTTGTACCGTTACGGCGCAAAGGTCTCTCCTGGTTAAATAGAAGTCACTATGGCCTCAGTGTTTGTCAGAAAAAGGGTTTTTCTTCACTCTTTGTGCGTGTGTGTTTTAGACTTCATCTCTTCTTCTTCTTCAGGTAGAGAACACGTCTGCCGCTTCGTGGGCTGTGGGAGAAACGAGCGCTTCAACTATGTGGTGATGGAGCTGCAGGTGAGGGTCGGGGGTCAGAAGTCAGAGTCAGAGTCAGGGTCAGGGGTCAGAGGTCAGGGTCAGGGGTCAGAGGTCAAGGTCAAGAATCAGAGGTCAAAGTCCGGGTTAGAATCAGGGTCAGGGTCAGAGATCAGAGTCAGGGTCAGGGGTCAGAGGTCAGAGATCAGAGTCAGAGTCAGAGTCAGGGGTCAGAGGTCAGAGTCAGGGTCAGAGGTCAGAGTCAGGGGTCAGAGGTCAGAGGTCAGAGTCAGGGGTCAGAGGTCAGTCAGGGTCAGAGTAAGGGTCAGAGTCAGGGTCAGGGGTCAGAGTCAGGGTCAAAGTCAGGGTCAGGGTCAGAGGTCAGAGTCAGAGGTCAGGGGTCAGAGGTCAGTCAGGGTCAGAGTCAGGGTCAGGGGTCAGAGTCATAGTAAGGGGTCAGAGGTCAAGCTTGGTGACCCCTGTTGGCTGTTCCAGGGCCGTAACCTGGCAGATCTGCGGAGAAGCGTCCCCAGAGGAACCTTCTCCATCAGCACCACCCTGAGACTGGGGCGCCAGATCCTCCGCGCTGTGGAGAACATTCACTCTGCGGGCTTTCTGCACCGTGACATCAAACCGGTGAGCGCCAGATCAGACCAGAGAGTGCTATGTTGTGTGTGTGTTGTAGTGCTTTGTGTGTGTGTTGTGTATATGTGTATATATGTGTATATATGTATATATATGTGTATACCTGTGTATACGTGTGTGTATATATGTGTATATGTGTGTATATGTGTGTATACGTGTGTATATGTGTGTATATGTGTGTATACGTGTGTATATATGTGTATATGTGTGTATATGTGTGTATACGTGTGTATATGTGTGTATATGTGTGTATATCTGTATATGTGTGTGTCTACGTGTGTCTGTGGCTGTGTCCTTGGGCAAGACACTTCCCCCACATTAGAATGAGTCTGGTGTGTGTGTGAATGGTTGGTGGTGGTGGGAGGGGCTGATGGCACAGACTGGTTGCCTCGCTTCTCTCAGTGTGTCCCAGGGCAGCTGTGGCTACAGTAGTAGTTTATCACCACCGTGTTTGGAGAGAAAGAATAATGACACATGTGAAGCGTCTTTGAGAGTCTAGAAAAGCGCTGTATAAAACCGATGCATAATTGTTATTATTATTACATGTGTGTACATGTGTGTGTACATGTGTGTGTACATGTGTGTGTACGTGTGTGTGTACATGTGTGTGTGTATGTGTGTGTGTACATGTGTGTGTACGTGTGTGTGTACGTGTGTGTGTACATGTGTGTGTACGTGTGTGTGTACGTGTGTGTGTACATGTGTGTGTACATGTGTGTGTACATGTGTGTGTACGTGTGTGTGTACATGTGTGTGTACGTGTGTGTGTACGTGTGTGTGTACATGTGTGTGTACATGTGTGTGTACGTGTGTGTGTACATGTGTGTGTACATGTGTGTGTACGTGTGTGTGTACGTGTGTGTGTACATGTGTGTGTGTACATGTGTGTGTGTACATGTGTGTGTACGTGTGTGTGTACATGTGTGTATCTAACCTGGCGTCCTCTGCCTCAGTCTAACTTTGCCGTGGGTCGCTTCCCGAGCTCGTGTCGCACTTGCTTCATGTTGGACTTTGGTTTAGCTCGACAGTTCACCAACTCCAGCCACGAAGTCCGACCGGTGACTATCTATACTCTTATATATACTGTTAAATATACTGTTGTACTTACTGTTATTTAGACTGTTATATATACTGTTAAATATACTGTTGTACTTACTATTATTTAGACTGTTATATATACTGTTAAATATACTGTTGTACTTACTGTTATTTAGAGTGTTATATATACTGTTAAATATACTGTTGTACTTACTGTTATTTAGACTGTTATATATACTGTTAAATATACTGTTGTACTTACTGTTATTTAGAGTGTTATATATACTGTTAAATATACTGTTGTACTTACTGTTATTTAGAGTGTTATATATACTGTTAAATATACTGTTGTACTTACTGTTATTTAGAGTGTTATATATAGTGTTATACTGTTATTTAGACTGTTATACTGTTATATACACTGTTTTCTATACTGTTATGTATACTTGTATATATACTGTTTTCTATACTGTTATGTATACTTTTATATATACTGTTCACTCACACAATCATATAAACTGTGTTGAAGCCACGTCCTGTCGCAGGATTCAGAGGAACTGTGAGATACGCCTCAGTGAACGCTCACAGGAACAAGGTGAGGCCCTGTGTGTGTGTGTACTACTGTTACTGCTGTTACTGCTGTTACTATTGTTACTGCTGTTACTATTGTTACTACGGTTACTATTGTTACTACGGTTAGTATTGTTACTACGGTTACTATTGTTACTACGGTTACTATTGTTACTACGGTTACTATTGTTACTACGGTTACTATTGTTACTACGGTTACTACGGTTACTATTGTTACTGCGGTTACTATTGTTACTGCTGTTACTGCTGTTACTGCTGTTACTGCTGTTACTACTGTTACTGCTGTTACAGGAGATGGGTCGCCATGACGACCTGTGGTCTCTCTTCTACATGCTGGTGGAGTTCTCCGTGGGACAGTTGCCATGGAGAAAGATCAAAGACAAGGTCAGTGAGCACTACGCCACCTGCTGGAAGAGAGGGGGATTACACTCAGGTATTGATGTCACCAATTCTGGTGGGAGGGGGTCAGGTGATGTCATGATGATATCATGATAATGTCATTATGATGTCATGATTTTGTAATGATGATGTCATGATGATCCATCCATCCATCCATTTTCTACCCTTTAATCCAGGGGGGTGGCAATCAGAGATGCCACCCAAGTCTCATAGCACCAGCCCCTCACTGACCCTCCGCAGGTGGTGAGTCCACAGGAGGGATGTCATGATGATGTCATAGTGATTTCATGACGATGTCATGGTGATGTTATGATAATCTCATGGTGATGTCATGATGATGTCATGGTGATGTCATGGTGATGTCACACAGGAGCAGGTGGGCCGGCTGAAGGAGACGTACGACCACAGACTGATGCTGAAACATTTACCTTCAGAGTTTGGACTTTTCCTCGAGCACGTCTCCAACCTGGACTACTTCACCAAACCGGACTATGAGGTGAGACCTGTGACCTCTGACCTGTGGAGGTGGACCTGCCCTCTGACCCCTGCCCTCTGCCCTCTGACCCCTGCCCTCTGACCCCTGTCCTCTGACCCCTGCCCTCTGACCCCTGTCCTCTGACTCCTGCCCTCTGACCCCTGCCCTCTGACCCCGGCCCTCTGACCTGTGACCCATGCCCTGTCCTCTGCCCTCTACCCTCTGACCCCTGCCCTCTGCCCTCTCAGCTCCTGCTCTCGGTCTTCGACAGCAGCATGCAGACCTATAACGTGGTGGAGAACGATCCGTACGACTGGGAACGAAGTGACGCCTCAGTGACAAACACAGCAGGATCCACCCCCCAGCACCTCACCCGCCTCACCCCCGCACACATGGGGTGAGTGATCGTTCATGGTCTCCAATCTATGGCCATGTGTGTGTGTGTGTGTGTGTGTGTGTGTGTGTTCATGCAGACAGTGTGTGTGTGTGTGTTCATGCAGACAGTGTGTGTGTGTGTGTGTTCATACAGACAGTGTGAGTGTGTGTGTGTGTGTGTGTGTTCATACAGACAGTGTGAGTGTGTGTGTGTGTGTTCATACAGACAGTGTGTGTGTGTGTGTGTGTGTTCATACAGACAGTGTGTGTGTGTGTGTGTGTGTGTGTGTTCATACAGACAGTGTGAGTGTGTGTGTGTTCATACAGACAGTGTGAGTGTGTGTGTGTGTGTGTTCATACAGACAGTGTGAGTGTGTTTGTGTGTGTTCATACAGACAGTGTGTGTGTTCATACAGACAGTGTGAGTGTGTGTGTGTGTGTGTTCATACAGACAGTGTGAGTGTGTGTGTGTTCATACAGACAGTGTGTGTGTTCATACAGACAGTGCGTGTGTGTGTTCATGCAGACAGTGTGAGTGTGTGTGTGTGTGTTCATGCAGACAGTGTGTCACAGTTGTGTGTTCTGCAGGATGGCCTCTCTCCTTCCCGCGGACCTGCTCCGTGAGAACACAGAGGAGGTGGTGCGGGACGAGCGCCTCAGCGACGGGGACATCCTGCTGCAGCGCCCCCTGGAGGCCGAGGGCTGGGAGGAGCTGGACGGAAACCGCAACCGCCTGAGGCCCAAGGTACCAGACCCAGTCTCTGTCCTCGTCCATTTTAATTATGTACAACAGACTCGTTCCATGACTGTAAAGAACCAGTCGGTTTACTACTGGGTCTGGATCTGGGTCTGGGATCAAGGTCTTGGATCAGGGTCTGGTTCTGGGGTCTTGGTCTGTGTCTGGGTCAGGGTCAGGGTCAGGGGTATTGGTTAGGGTCTGGGTCTGGGTCTGTGATCAGGGTCGTGGTCTGGGGTCTGGGTCTTGGTCTTGGTCTGGGGTCTCGGGTGTCAGGCCTGTCCTGTGTGTGTCTGCAGATGTGCACAGAGGAGGAGCTGAGTCATCATCTGTCTCCCGCTCACGGAGCTTCGTCTCCGGTCAAACTTCAGCCCGAGCCCCGGACCCTGCGCCGCACGGAGCCCGAGGACGAGCGGAACGCGGGCCTCGCCCGGGGCCCCGGGCGTGGCCCCGGGCGAGGCCCCGGTGGACGGTAAGACTCTGTTATTCACATGATTCAGATTATTTTCCATCTGCAGTAAAAACCACAGGTGTACAAACCACAGGTGTACAAACCACAGGTGTATAAACCACAGGTGTACAAACCACAGGTGTACAAACCACAGGTGTATAAACCACAGGTGTACAAACCACAGGTGTACAAACCACAGGTGTATAAACCACAGGTGTACAAACCACAGGTGTAAAACCCACAGGTGTAAAAGCTACACGTGTAAAACCCACAGGTGTAAAAGCTACACGTGTAAAACCCACAGGTGTAAAAGCTACACGTGTAAAAACCACAGGTGTAAAAGCTACACGTGTAAAAACCACAGGTGTAAAAGCTACACGTGTAAAAACCACAGGTGTAAAAGCTACACGTGTAAAAACCACAGGTGTAAAAGCTACACGTGTAAAAACCACAGGTGTAAAAAAAAACATAAACAAAAGAGGCTGAAAAGCGACAGAAACAACAAAAACAGCTTCAACACAAGATCAAAGGTCTTTGTTCAGCCCAAGAACAGCTGTTAGCATGTTAGCATGTTAGCATGTCCAGGTGTCCTGCAGCCAACGATGATGTGTCCCTGTGAGCTCAGCACAGGGCTGATGTGTCCCTGTGAGCTCAGCACAGGGCTGATGTGTCCCTGTGAGCTCAGCACAGGGCTGATGTGTCCCTGTGAGCTCAGCACAGGGCTGATGTGTCCCTGTGAGCTCAGCACAGGGCTGATGTGTCCCTGTGAGCTCAGCACAGGGCTGATGTGTCCCTGTGAGCTCAGCACAGGGCTGATGTGTCCCTGTGAGCTCAGCACAGGGCTGATTGTCCCTGTGAGCTCAGCACAGGGCTGATTGTCCCTGTGAGCTCAGCACAGGGCTGATGTGTCCCTGTGAGCTCAGCACAGGGCTGATTGTCCCTGTGAGCAGCAGCCTCTGTACCTGGAGGCTCTGAGCTGAGGTCCAGACCACAGCGACAATAATCTAACCTCGAAGAAATAATAATAATGAAGCTTAAGCGCAAATTCAGACTGGAAGACTGTCCTCTCCTGGCAGTGTTCTAGGCTCCTTCATCCTTCTCCTGAACTCCCACCACCAGGGTCTAGGCCCCGGGGGATTTCATCTCATCTCTTTCCCCTTCTGTAGTCGTGCAGGTCTCTGTCGGGGTCAAAGGCCAAGTCCTGAACACATTCATAACCACACAACACAATACATGTGTAAACACTGTCCTCAGAGTCATATGTTTACTGCCAATCAACAAACAATTCTAATACTATCTTTTGTCTGTTTGAGTCTCTCCAGAGTGAAATAATAATACATCAAACTTATAAAGAGCATTTTTGGACATATAAAATAAACATAGAAGAGCAACATCAAGGAAAGGCTGAAACAGGAGGATTTGAGAAGAGATTTTAAGTTCTGTAGTGAGTTCCAGGGAGGGGGGTTTGAGAATAACAGACTCAAACCAAACTAAACTTAAACTCAACCCGAGCTTTAGAAGGTCGGAGTAGAGCCGCTGCTGTTTACATGGAGTGGTAAATGTTATGTTCAATGTGACTTTTTCCTGTTTTTGGTTCAATAGACCGGACTCTGTGGAACCCAGGCCCAGATCTGCAGGCTGTGGGCCAAGCCAGGCCTTAGAGTACAGACTAGAGACTAGACCAGAGTCCCAACCGGAGACTAGGTCGGAGACCAGACCAGAGACCAGACCAGAGACCAGACCAGAGACCAGACCGGAGACCAGACCGGAGACCAGGCCAGAGACCAGACCAGAGACCAGACCCGGGTCCGGACCAGCCTCTGAGCGTGTGTGGGTGTGTGCGGAGGAGATCTCCATGGAGCAGGAGCCAGGGGCCAGCAGTGGGGGCTTCGTGGCCCTGAACCTCAGCTCGGGGGACGTGGACCTCAGGGACTGGGTGATGGTGGAGAGGCCCAGTCCTGCTGCCCATGTCGGCGGGAAGGCCACGTCCAACCCCTCAGAGGAAGAAGAGCTCCAGGCTGAAGACACATCAGCCCCAGGGAAAGGTGTCTGCTCAGACAAACTGCAGATGGAGCTCAGGCCTGCAGTGACCAGCACCCGGCCAGGGGGGGCGCTGGAGGGCCTGCTCACTCAGGTACTACACTGTTACTCACTTACTCCACCTTCAAGGACTTTACAGGAAAACATGGGTATGAACCAGTGTGGGCAGGTCCCGGCTCAAAAAGGTCCACAAGCGTGTGCGCTGACATACCTGCATTACCACTCCGGGCCTGTGGGGGTGTACCCGGAAGGAGAATTATCCAATACTTTTGTATGACGGCCTTTTTCGTCTCGAAAACTGCTTTATAGGATGGTCCAAAAGTTGCTCTCGGACCAGAGCAAGATCAGAGAGAGACCAGAAAGAGAGACCTGAGAGAGAGACCAGAGAGAGACCAGAGAGAGAGACCAGAGAGAGACCAGAGAGAGACCAGAGAGAGACCAGAGAGAGACCAGAGAGAGAGACCAGAGAGAGAGACCAGAGAGAGACCAGAGAGAGACCAGAGAGAGACCAGAGTTGTGCTGACAAAAAAGATGTGGAACTTTGTGACAGATTTTATTTAATGTGGATTGTTCAAGTAATTACAAAGAAATTAGCTCTAAACGAGGACTAATCTGACTTTTGACACTTCCCATAGTTACCATAGTTACCAGGATAATGTTTCAGTTTATAAGTGGTGATGTCACATGAATGTAACCTGAAGAAAAATCTCAGGTGGCCTGTGGGAGGAGGGACTGCAGAGTAGTCCATATAAAGGCGTTTGGAATGTTGTTAATCTGATGAAGAGCAGAGGCCCCAGCACTGAGCCCTGTGGGACTCCTGCGATGGACCCCCGCTGAACGAATGAGGGATTACACAGCTCTGTGATTGTTGATGTTAGCATTAGCATGTCTCTGTTGGTGTTAGCATTAGCATGTGTGTGTGTTGACGTTAGCATTAGCATGTCTCTTGTTGCAGATCGTCTTTGGGCTGTGTGTGCTGCTCTTCTTGTCTCTGTCGCTCTACCTCTTCCTCTGTCTGTCCTCCCTGAAGCGCCCGGCCGCGTAGAGCTGACGCGTGACGTAACCGTAACCGTGTGTGGAACATGTCTCACCGCATAGAGACCGGTCGGGGCCCAGAGCGTCGCCAACTTTTACCTGAACCAAAGACACGTGCACGCTCTGGCCCCTGACGTCTGCAGCTCTGTGTCTGCATGAGCGGAACCCGGGGAGTCCCGGCAGACGACTCACCGCTTCAGATGGACAATGGGGCGGGACCTGGCCTCATATGCTAGGGCCAGCTTGGGTTGGCCCCTCAGAGGCCCTGGCCGGGGTTGGCCCCTCAGAGGCCGGGGCTCGGTCTTTGTCCGGATGAAGTGATGCTCTTCGCTGCCGCGTCTCGCAGCATGACACCGTTTTCTCCTAAACCTTGGTTCATTTCTTCTTCTTTTCCTTCTTCCATATTTGATCCAAACTGTTTGAAAGTTTCAGCTTCCAGCTCTTTGCTGCCGGACTTCAACACGACTCGACTGTTGTGGTTCACCAGCAACGTCCTGCGGCAGCGGCCAGGGCTCCTACGCACTTTGACCTTAGGATCACAGGATGCAGATCACAGCTGCACCATTAGCATGTTACAGAGAGAGAGACCAGAGAGAGACCAGAGAGAGACCAGAGAGAGACCAGAGAGAGACCAGAGAGAGAGACCAGAGAGAGAGACCAGAGAGAGACCAGAGAGAGACCAAAGAGAGACCAGAGAGAGACCAGAGAGAGAGACCAGAGAGAGACCAGAGAGAGACCAGAGAGAGACCAGAGAGAGACCAGAGAGAGAGACCAGAGAGAGAGACCAGAGAGAGACCAGAGAGAGAGACCATAGAGAGACCAGAGAGAGAGACCAGAGAGAGAGACCATAGAGAGACCAGAGAGAGACCAGAGAGAGACCAGAGAGAGAGACCAGAGAGAGACCAGAGAGAGACCAGAGAGAGAGACCAGAGAGAGACCAGAGAGAGACCAGAGAGAGACCAGAGAGAGAGACCATAGAGAGACCAGAGAGAGACCAGAGAGAGAGACCATAGAGAGACCAGAGAGAGACCAGAGAGAGACCAGAGAGAGACCAGAGAGAGACCAGAGAGAGAGACCAGAGAGAGAGACCATAGAGAGACCAGAGAGAGACCAGAGAGAGAGACCAGAGAGAGACCAGAGAGAGACCAGAGAGAGAGACCAGAGAGAGACCAGAGAGAGGACCAGAGAGAGACCAGAGAGAGAGACCATAGAGAGACCAGAGAGAGACCAGAGAGAGAGACCATAGAGAGACCAGAGAGAGACCAGAGAGAGACCAGAGAGAGACCAGAGAGAGACCAGAGAGAGACCAGAGAGAGAGACCAGAGAGAGAGACCATAGAGAGACCAGAGAGAGACCAGAGAGAGAGACCAGAGAGAGACCAGAGAGAGACCAGAGAGAGACCAGAGAGAGATACCATAGAGCGACCAGAGAGAGACCAGAGAGAGACCAGAGAGAGAGACCAGAGAGAGAGACCAGAGAGAGACCAAACAGAGGCTAATCTCCATGGAATGTTGTTGAAGTAAACACGCGGCGCATGAGAAGCCACGTTTTTCTCGAGTAGAACAGATTGAGTCTCGGTCCAGTCTTTGATCTGTGTCATCAGCAAAAACACCTGAGCCCTAACACACGGACGCTACACGAATAAAGACGACTTACACACGGCTCTGACACAAATGCGTAGGAACCCTGCCGCTCAAACGTCGACGCGATTCCCGCTGCTTCTGTTTTCTGACCAGTGTCTGTGTCTGCAGCTCACAGTCGCCCCCCAGTGTCCGGGGTCCGCATCTGCAGCTGCCACAAACCATCATACGCAGGAAGCAAGAGCGGAGCGAGAAGAGCCCCGGCCGTCCACCAGGGGGCCGTCCACCAGGGGGCCGTCCACCAGGGGGCCGTCCACCAGGGGGCCGTCCACAAGGGGGCCCCCTCCAACGGCGCAGGTGGACGTGAACGCCAACGGGATGATGTCACCGCGCAGAGACTCTCACAGCGACTGCGCAGACGCCAAACAGAGCGCTCAGTCTACAGCCGAGAACCAGGAGACCGAGATCAGACCAGAGGAGACGTCTGAGGAGGGAGGGGCCCCTGGGGAGGGAGGGGCCCCTGAGGAGGGAGGGGCCTCTGAGGAGGGAGGGGCCCCGAGTCCACACTGTCAAGATTCAGAGAGCAACCAGACCCAAATCCAACCAGAGGAATCTTCTGAGGCCAAGAAACCAAACTGTACCAAAGCTGAGAGCACAGGGCCAGAGGCTGAGAGCACAGGGCCAGAGGCTGAGAGCACAGGGCCAGAGGCTGGGAGCACAGGGCCAGAGGCTGAGAGCACAGGGCCAGAGGCTGAGAGCACAGGGCCAGAGGCTGAGAGCACAGGGCCAGAGGCTGAGAGCACAGGGCCAGAGGCTGAGAGCACAGGGCCAAAGGCTGAGAGCAGAGGGCCAGAACTGAAACCAGCCGAGTCTCCTACGAAGGGAAAAGCCAAGAGCCCTGTCCCGTCCTCCCCTGCCGCAGTGAGGAGGAGTCCAGACCTGAGACCCAGCCGGATCCCGCTGTTGGAGCCCTGGACTCTGGTCGATTTGGAAACTTCAGCCAAAGAGAAACTCCTGCAGAAGAAAAGCAGTCATCTGAAGAGAGTGAGGTCCCCCAGCGGTTCACCCCTGTCCCCCCGCAGGGAGCCTCCCCCCTCGACCCAGAGAGACCCCACCGCCTCAGACCGGTCCCAAGACGAGGACTCCCTCTGGGGCTGCCCCTCAGACCGGACCTCTCTCTCCTCCTCCCCCAGGAAGAGCCGCCTCCCCCGCCCAGTTCACCCAGCCAGGTCTGTGGAGCGGCTCGAGACAAACCCACCAGAGCCAGCCCCTCCAGAGCTCCGCCCCCTGCACCACACAGAGACCAGGTGAGAGACACAGGACAGTTAAGCTGCGTTCAGACCAAACGCGTTTTCTGCGGCAAAATCGCGTCTGACGCGCGTCTTGGGACGCTTGTGACAAATTGTGGCAGACGCTGTCACAGAGCATCTTGGAGGCGCGTCACACGCGTCCAGGACACTAGAGGGCAGCGTTCTGGAGGCGCGTCAAGGAAGAGCGTTTTGAGGCAGGCCTGCTCTGTTCCAACACAACTCGGAGAGGGAAGGACACGGGAGCCAGGATTAAGGTAAAAAGTGTAAAACACGCTTTAATTAGGACATGAAAGTTACTTCTAATAACATTTGAGGAGAGAAATACCCCCTCTATTGTCATATCGGAGGTCTGTTTGGGGATCAAATAGAACATAGTCGGACTTTTCTCCAGTGCAGAGAGCGGGGGTCGGGCAGTGCTCAAGCCGAGAAAGAGCGTCTCAACACCGGGACACATCAGTGGAGCTCTCACAAGCTTCATTCTGAAAATCCAAGGCTTTTGTTACGGACTTTCTCTGTTATAACAATTGTATTGGCAGTAATCATTCGTTTTTAATTTAGAGATAGTGTATGTAAACAATGCACACGTATGCGATAAATGATTTATGATTGATTTATTTGCTCTGGCCTCGTTTGTGCATCACTTACATAAATGTAATAACGTTTTTCTGATTAAAAAGGAATATCCATGGATCTATAATAATAATATCCAAGGATCTATAATAATAATATCCATGGATCTATAATAATAATATCCATGGATCTGTATTATAACGAACATCAGTAAAAAGGAGTTGAACACAGGAGAGGCCTAGAACTGCTCTTTTTGAAGTGTTGAAAAGCAACAGACTGTTACTGATCAGATTAGAGTTGAATGTATTCAATTAGAACTTTAAGTACTGCTGACAAATATGTACCTGTGTAAATAATACCTTATTTTTCATGACTCTTTACACTTCAGACACAAAAAACTAAATAACACCAACAAGTTTTATTTTTTATTTCCAGGCTCTCTATGAAGGTGTCAGAGGCAGACGCCCAGGACTCTGCTGTTGCTCCTGCTGCTGCTGCTGCTCCTCCTGCTGCTCCTCGTCTTCAGAGATGCAGATCCCACTGTTCTAACTATTCATGACTGATGATTAAATAAAACATGAAAATATGTTTGTTGTAGTTCATATTGTTAATCCGCAGTGAAGCAGGAGGTGATGGAGGTGAAGCAGGAGGTGAAGCAGGGGTGATGGAGGTGAAGCAGTAGGTGATGGAGGTGAAGCTGGAGGTGATGGAGGTGAAGCAGGGGTGATGTAGGTGAAGCAGGAGGTGATGTAGGTGAAGCAGGAGGTGATGTAGGTGAAGCAGGAGGTGATGTAGGTGAAACAGGAGGTGATGGAGGTGATGTAGGTGAAGCAGGAGGTGATGGAGGTGAAGCTGGAGGTGATGGAGGTGAAGCTGGAGGTGATGTAGGTGAAGCAGGAGGTGATGGAGGTGAAGCTGGAGGTGAAGCAGGGGTGATGGAGGTGAAGCAGGAGGTGATGTAGGTGAAGCAGGAGGTGATGTAGGTGAAGCAGGAGGTGATGTAGGTGAAGCAGGAGGTGATGTAGGTGAAGCAGGAGGTGATGTAGGTGAAGCAGGAGGTGATGTAGGTGAAGCAGGAGGTGATGTAGGTGAAGCAGGAGGTGATGTAGGTGAAGCTGGAGGTGATGAAGGTGAAGCAGGAGGTGATGGAGGTGAAGCTGGAGGTGACGGAGGTGAAGCAGGAGGTGATGGAGGTGAAGCAGGAGAAGCAGGAGGTGAAGCAGGGGTGATGGAGGTGAAGCTGGAGGTGATGGAGGTGAAGCTGGAGGTGATGGAGGTGATGGAGGTGAAGCAGGGGTGATGGAGGTGAAGCAGGAGGTGATGGAGGTGAAGCAGGAGGTGATGTAGGTGAAGCAGGAGGTGATGAAGGTGAAGCAGGGGTGATGGAGGTGAAGCAGGAGGTGATGTAGGTGAAGCAGGAGGTGATGAAGGTGAAGCAGGAGGTGATGAAGGTGAAGCAGGAGGTGATGGAGGTGAAGCAGGAGGTGATGGAGGTGAAGCTGGAGGTGATGTAAGTGATGGAGGTGAAGCAGGAGGTGATGTAGGTGATGGAGGTGAAGCAGAAGGTGATGGAGGTGAAGCAGGAGGTGATGAAGGTGAAGCAGGAGGTGAAGCAGGGGTGATGGAGGTGAAGCAGTAGGTGATGGAGGTGAAGCTGGAGGTGATGGAGGTGAAGCAGGGGTGATGTAGGTGAAGCAGGAGGTGATGTAGGTGAAGCAGGAGGTGATGTAGGTGAAACAGGAGGTGATGGAGGTGAAGCTGGAGGTGATGTAGGTGAAGCAGGAGGTGATGTAGGTGAAGCAGGAGGTGATGGAGGTGATGTAGGTGAAGCAGGAGGTGATGGAGGTGAAGCTGGAGGTGATGGAGGTGAAGCAGGGGTGATGGAGGTGAAGCAGGAGGTGATGTAGGTGAAGCAGGAGGTGATGTAGGTGAAGCAGGAGGTGATGCAGGTGAAGCTGGAGGTGATGAAGGTGAAGCAGGAGGTGATGAAGGTGAAGCTGGAGGTGACGGAGGTGAAGCAGGAGGTGATGGAGGTGAAGCAGGAGAAGCAGGAGGTGAAGCAGGGGTGATGGAGGTGAAGCTGGAGGTGATGGAGGTGAAGCTGGAGGTGATGGAGGTGAAGCAGGAGGTGATGTAGGTGAAGCAGGAGGTGATGGAGGTGAAGCAGGAGGTGATGGAGGTGAAGCAGGAGGTGATGGAGGTGAAGCTGGAGGTGATGTAAGTGAAGCAGGAGGTGATGTAGGTGAAGCAGGAGGTGATGTAGGTGAAGCAGGAGGTGATGAAGGTGATGGAGGTGAAGCAGGAGGTGATGGAGGTGAAGCAGGAGAAGCAGGAGGTGAAGCAGGGGTGATGGAGGTGAAGCTGGAGGTGATGGAGGTGAAGCTGGAGGTGAAGCAGGGGTGATGGAGGTGAAGCAGGAGGTGATGAAGGTGAAGCAGGAGGTGATGGAGGTGAAGCAGGAGGTGATGTAGGTGAAGCAGGAGGTGATGTAGGTGAAGCAGGAGGTGATGAAGGTGAAGCAGGAGGTGATGTAGGTGAAGCAGGAGGTGATGTAGGTGAAGCAGGAGGTGATGTAGATGAAGCAGGAGGTGATGTAGGTGAAGCAGGAGGTGATGTAGGTGAAGCAGGAGGTGATGTAGGTGAAGCAGGAGGTGATGGAGGTGAAGCAGGAGGAGGTGGAGGTGAAGCAGGAGGAGGTGGAGGTGAAGCAGGAGAAACGATGCCGTGTGATTTTGTTGCTGTCAGAGAAAGTTCCATTTCACCAAAAGTCTCTGAAAAAGAACAAACATCATGTTAAAACATAAGACTCTGAGGAGGAACAGACTCTGAGGAGGAACAGACTCTGAGGAGGAACAGACTCTGAGGAGGAACAGACTCTGAGGAGGAACAGACTGAGGAGGAACAGACTGAGGAGGAACAGACTCTGAGGAGGAACAGACACTGAGGAGGAACAGACTCTGAGGAGGAACAGACACTGAGGAGGAACAGACTCTGAGGAGGAACAGACTCTGAGGAGGAACAGACACTGAGGAGGAACAGACTCTGAGGAGGAACAGACTCTGAGGAGGAACAGACTGAGGAGGAACAGACTGAGGAGGAACAGACACTGAGGAGGAACAGACTCTGAGGAGGAACAGACTCTGAGGAGGAACAGACTGAGGAGGAACAGACTCTGAGGAGGAACAGACTGAGGAGGAACAGACTCTGAGGAGGAACAGACACTGAGGAGGAACAGACTCTGAGGAGGAACAGACTCTGAGGAGGAACAGACTGAGGAGGAACAGACTGAGGAGGAACAGACTCTGAGGAGGAACAGACACTGAGGAGGAACAGACACTGAGGAGGAACAGACTCTGAGGAGGAACAGACTGAGGAGGAACAGACTGAGGAGGAACAGACTGAGGAGGAACAGACACTGAGGAGGAACAGACTCTGAGGAGGAACAGACTCTGAGGAGGAACAGACTCTGAGGAGGAACAGACTCTGAGGAGGAACAGACTCTGAGGAGGAACAGACACTGAGGAGGAACAGAAGAATAATATATTGGAAATATACACACAAATAAAACTTAGAAGCGTGGCTAACCACTTTAAACCTTTTGGAAGTGAGACTGTCATCTGCAAATGTCCTTTATCAATGACAAAAGAAACATCTGTATAATGTGCTCTTATCTCATTATATTTATCAGACTATTGTATGAAAAGTGCTTCATAATAAGAAATATATAAATACAGTAAATGTTAATAATTATACAGTATTAGTCTTAGTATGGGATTATACATTATATACACAATCTATTTTATATGAACACAGATAACAGTGTAAGCATGCTACATGTTAGCATGCTACATGTTAGCATGCTACATGTTAGCATGCTACATGTTAGCATGCTACATGTTAGCATGCTACATGTTAGCATGCTACATGTTAGCATGCTACATGTTAGCATGCTACATGTTAGCATACTACATGTTAGCATACTACATGTTAGCATACTACATGTTAGCATGCTACATGTTAGCATACTACATGTTAGCATACTACATGTTAGCATACTACATGTTAGCATGCTACATGTTAGCATACTACATGTTAGCATACTACATGTTAGCATACTACATGTTAGCATACTACATGTTAGCATGCTACAGCTGCTGTCTCCATGGACTGTTTCCTCTGTGTAGCTATAATATGTAATCTGTGGGTTTGTTCCTCCCTAAAGATGACATTACAGATTTTGTTCAGGGAAGTATTAGCGATTGTGAAAAGTTTAAATAACTGACCAGAGACACCTCCTCACTGACCTCCTCCATGTCACGGTGGTTATAGTCTGCAGGGCTCATGGGCTAACAGCACAGCTTGTCCTCACAGCTGTTGTGTTGTCGTCCCCCTCGGTCCTGCCGTGAAATGTGTTACCACGTCACTGTTGGAGGAGGCTCCTGATTGGTAGACGCTCGCGTCTTCTTCAACATTGTTCAACTCGAGCGTCAGCCGCGCGTAACTCGAAATCTCAAAACGCGCCGCACCAAACGCGCCAAACGCTCAAAGACGCGCTGCTTGGGAGGCGCGTGACGCGCCGCTTGATCTTTTGACGCTCCTAGACGCGCGTCCCCCATGTTATGTCAATGTAAACCCGACGCTTTAGACGCTCAAGATGCGTTTGGTCTGAACGCACCTTTATTTGTATAGCGCATCAGCAGTGTGTGCATACATAATGATGGGCCACAGGGGGCGCTGCAAATATATAATGCTGAACCTCTCTCTCTCCACAGATTTCGTCGGTTTCATTTACGTACTTCTTCGGACGCAGAGCTGATGTCGTGTTTGGCTCGGCTGGTGCAGAGGGGGAGGGGGGGTCAGGCCTCACCCCTCCTCACCCGCTCCACTCGACCTTCTCCCACCCACCGCTCCCTAAGCTCCTCCCCGTCACGGATCCATTGCCACGGGTCTCCGCCCAGTGTCCCCAGGTCACACAGAGATGGAAGTCGAGCACACAACCTGGAGTTCCCAAAGGCCCCGACCACACAAGCTCCGCCCACACAGGCCCCGCCCACCCCAGCCCCGCCCACCCCGGCACGACACCCTGAGCGCTGCTGCGGACGCCAGGCTCGCACGGCCATCGCATCACATCGTGCCACAGGAAAGAGCTGCCCTAAAGTCTGGAGGTAGCTGAGGTGTGAAACATGTGGTGCGCGTCCCGCCTGCAGTGTCCAGGATGTGGTCCACATTGATGCAGCAGTGTCCAGGATGTGGTCCACATTGATGCAGCAGTGTCCAGGATGTGGTCCACATTGATGCAGCAGTGCCCAGGATGTGGTCCACATTGATGCAGCAGTGCCCAGGATGTGGTCCACATTGATGCAGCAGTGCCCAGGATGTGGTCCACATTGATGCAGCAGTGCCCAGGATGTGGTCCACATTGATGCAGCAGTGTCCAGGATGTGGTCCACATTGACTCTGACAAAAACACTTTTCCTTCAGTTTTCTACAAACTCTCTCTTCCAAGTCCCCGGCTCGGTCCTCTGAAACGTGGAGTACAATCACAGACTTGTGCCTTTATGTTGTGTTTGGGTTCAGTGTCTTGCTCAAAGGCACAGAGTGTAGAGTGAGCATCAGCAGGAGGTGCAGCTGAACATTTGTTGCAGATATTTATGACTGTATTATTTATTATGAGACATTTCATCTTTTAAGTGATGTACTTCCACACTCGCCCAGCAGGGGTCCTCGCACCCCCACCCCTCCCTCACCTGTCAGGAGTGGATCAGAGATCGCTGAGACCACAGACTCACAGGTACAGGTGGACTCACAGGTACAGGTGGACTCACAGGTACAGGTGGACTCACAGGTACAGTTGGACTCACAGGTACAGTTGGACTCACAGGTACATCTCTGCTCTGTACAGGATTCATGTTGCTTTAAATTATACTTTATTTTTGATATGGTTCTAAATAAACTTCAGCAAACGTCATGTGTCAGAGTCATGTGACAGGAGGAGAGGACATGAGGAGGACAGGAGGACAAGAGGAGGAGGACACGAGGAGGACACGAGGACAGGAGGACAGGAGGACAAGAGGAGGAGGACACGAGGAGGACATGAGAACAGAAGGAGGAGCACTAACCTAACCCTTAGAGAAGGAGCACTAACCTAAGGAGGAGGAGCATTAACCTAACCCTGAGAGGAGGAGGAGCACTAATCTAAGGAGGAGGAGAAGAGGAGGAGCACTTGAACAGAGTCAAAGGTTTGATTGTTTTATTGAACATTTGGCGTCAGAGAAGATCAGGCACAAGTTCAGCGACGACGTCGTAAAGCACTGATTATTATTATTATGGGATGGAGAGGATAGAACCCTCACCTGAACCCAGTCTGGCCTGGGACCAGTGCCGGCTCGGACTGGTTCTTACTGGTTCAGACTGGTTTAGACTGGTTCAAATTGGTTCTGGTTCTGGTCCAGTCAGAACCAGTCAAACTGGTTCAGACTGGTTCTGGTTCAGACTGGTTCAGACTGGTTCTTACTGGTTCAGACTGGTTCTGGTTCAGACTGGTTCTTACTGGTTCAGACTGGTTCTTACTGGTTCTGGTTCTGACTGGTTCAGACTGGTTCAAACTGGTTCAGACTGGTTCTTACTGGTTAAAACTGGTTCTGGTTCAGACTGGTTCTCACTGGTTCAGACTGGTTCTGGTTCTTACTGGTTCAAACTGGTTCTGGTTCTTACTGGTTCAGACTGGTCCTGGTTCTTACTGGTTCAGAGTGGTTCTTACTGGTTCAAACTGGTTCAGACTGGTTCAAACTGGTTCTGGTTCTTACTGGTTCTATCTGGGCGTCAATCCAAACCAGTGACAGCTTCTCTGTAAAATGATGCAAAACCTCATTTGGAGAAACAACACTTATCTGGACAAAATCAAATAGTGATTATCGATAAATGAACAAATATCAAAAAGAAAAGATTGTCAAGACTTGATGCTTTCCTTTGCTCAACGAACGGCGTAAAAAAGCTAAAAGAGAAGAAGACCTTGTTACAAACTGAGGAGCGGACATTTAAAGCTGCGGTACGTAACTTTGAACTCAATCCTCGAGTTACTGGATCTAAAACAGTTTCACTTCTATCACTAGTTTTCACAAGAGGACCACCCGCCCTCAGCCAATCAGAGAGAGACCAGGGAGAGACCAGAGAGAGACCAGAGAGAGATCAGGGAGAGAGAGAGAGATCAGGGAGAGAGACCAGCGAGAGAGACCAGGGTGAGAGAGAGAGACCAGGGAGAGAGAGACCAGGGAGAGAGAGACCAGGGAGAGAGACCAGAAAGAGACCAGAGAGAGAGAGAGACCAGCGAGAGAGACCAGGGTGAGAGAGAGAGACCAGGGAGAGAGAGACCAGGGAGAGAGACCAGAGAGACAGACCAGAAAGAGAGACCAGAGAGCGAGACCAGAGAGAGAGACCAGGGAGAGAGACCAGGGAGAGAGACCAGGGAGAGAGACCAGGGAGAGAGACCAGGGAGAGAGACCAGGGAGAGAGACCAGGGAGAGAGACCAGGGAGAGAGACCAGAGAGAGAGACCAGAGAGAGAGACCAGGGAGAGAGACCAGGGAGAGAGACCAGAGAGAGAGACCAGAGAGAGAGACCAGGGAGAGAGACCAGAGAGAGAGACCAGTGAGAGAGACCAGAGAGATAGACTGGGGGATGGAGACTGATCAGGGTCAGAAGGAGTGTCCTCAGTATCATTTTAACAAAGAAAACACATTTTCTTTGAAAAATTATCTGAAACGGCAACAGCTGCTGTAATTCTGAAGTGCAAACATCTGAACGTCACAAAGACAAAATCATTCTAATAAAAATAACTCAAAATATACAAAATAAATATTTCCATCTTTAAAAGTCAAAGAGCTTTTCTTCTCGTCATGATGCTAGCACGCCGCGGCGCATGAAGTCATAACGGCGCGTTAGCGTAGCCTCGTCCCCGTTGCAGAGTTTCAGGTCCTTGTCCAGACGCTGCTCCTTCGTTAGTGGCGTTTTCAAATCCTCGCACGTTCTCTTGGGGATCTTGAACTTCCCCCAGCTCCGCCCGTTAGCGCTCCTGTTAGCGTGAGCCGTCCTGTTGGGGTTAGCCGTCCTGTTGGCGGTCCTGTTGGGGTTAGCCGTCTTGTTGCCGTTCGCGGTCCTGTTGGCGTTAGCTTGAAGTTTCTTGGACAGTCCATTGGAGACATTACAGCGTAGTTTAACATTAGCCTGGTTAGCGTTGTTAGCCTGGTTAGCATGGTTAGTTTTGTCAGCCCGGTTAGCCTCGTTAGCTTTGGTAGCCTCATTTGCACCCCAGCCTGTGTGCAGTAAAACGGCCTCACAGTCAGTGCGGCGGATGTCGACCAGGTGAACCAACAGCTGTTTGTCCTGGAACCCGTTCAGCTGTGGCTTTTTACGTTTTTCATGTTTTTTGAAGTTTTGTTTGTGTTTGAAAACTTGTCCGTCGTTAGACTGGTCCATCTCCACGGTCCGGTCCACGGCCTGGTTCACGGTCCGATCCACCTCCACGGCCCGGTCCATGGTCTCGTCCACGGTCTGGTTCATGGTCCGGTCCATAGACATCTCGTCATGAGGGGGTGTCGCCAGAGGGGGCAGAGTTGTGCTTTTCTTGCGTTTCTTCTTCAGGTGTTTGGATATTCTTGTGGTGGAGCTGGAGGAGCTGAGGTGACCGTCAGAGCCCAGAGACAGAAGCCACGCCACGTCTATGGACGGCGAGTCGCCTAGAGGAGAAAGAGAGGAGTGAGAGAGGGGAGAGAAGAGAGAGAGGAGTGTGAGAGAGAGGAGAGAGAGGGGGAAGGAGAAAGAGGAGAGAGGAGTGGGAGAGAGAGGGGAGGATTAAGCGAAGAGAGAAAGGAGTGGGAGGAGAGAGGAGTGAGAGGGGAGAGAGAGGAGTAGGAGGAATAAGAAAAGTAAGAGGAGAGAGGGAGAGAGAGTTGGAAGGAGTAATGGTGCGTTCAGTCGACTTTCAATGCAAAGTCACCAATGACGCGCGTTAGAGCGTGGAACTACATGTGCTTCTCAGGACGCACAGACTACGGTAGAGACGCACAGACTACGGTAGAGACACACAGACTGCGGTAGAGACTCACAGACTGCGGTAGAGACTCACAGACTGCGGTAGAGACTCACAGACTACGGTAGAGACACACAGACTGCGGTAGAGACACACAGACTGCGGTAGAGACACACGGGCTGTGGTAGAGACTCACAGACTGCGGTAGAGACACACAGACTGTGGTAGAGACTCACAGACTGCGGTAGAGACTCACAGACTGCGGTAGAGACACACAGACTGCGGTAGAGACACACAGACTGCGGTAGAGACTCACAGACTGCGGTAGAGACTCACAGACTGCGGTAGAGACACACAGACTGTGGTAGAGACTCACAGACTACGGTAGAGACACACAGACTGCGGTAGAGACACACAGACTGTGGTAGAGACTCACGGACTGCGGTAGAGACTCACAGACTGCGGTAGAGACTCACAGACTGCGGTAGAGATACACGGGCTGTGGTAGAGACTCACAGACTGCGGTAGAGACACACGGCTGTGGTAGAGACTCACAGACTACGGTAGAGACACACGGACTGCGGTAGAGACTCACAGACTGCGGTAGAGACACACGGGCTGTGGTAGAGACTCACAGACTGCGGTAGAGACACACGGGCTGTGGTAGAGACTCACAGACTGCGGTAGAGACACACGGACTGCGGTAGAGACTCACAGACTGCGGTAGAGACACACGGACTGCGGTAGAGACTCACAGACTGCGGTAGAGACTCACAGACTGCGGTAGAGACACACGGGCTGTGGTAGAGACTCACAGACTGCGGTAGAGACACACGGGCTGTGGTAGAGACTCACAGACTACGGTAGAGACTCACAGACTGCGGTAGAGACACACGGGCTGTGGTAGAGACTCACAGACTGCGGTAGAGACACACGGACTGCGGTAGAGACTCACAGACTGCGGTAGAGACACACGGGCTGTGGTAGAGACTCACAGACTGCGGTAGAGACACACAGACTGTGGTAGAGACTCACAGACTGTGGTAGAGACTCACAGACTGCGGTAGAGACTCACAGACTGCGGTAGAGACACACGGGCTGTGGTAGAGACTCACAGACTGCGGTAGAGACACACGGACTGCGGTAGAGACTCACAGACTGCGGTAGAGACACACGGGCTGTGGTAGAGACTCACAGACTGCGGTAGAGACACACAGACTGTGGTAGAGACTCACAGACTGTGGTAGAGACTCACAGGCTGTGGTAGAGACTCACAGACTGTGGTAGAGACTCACAGACTGCGGTAGAGACTCACAGACTGCGGTAGAGACTCACAGACTACGGTAGAGACACACAGACTGCGGTAGAGACACACAGACTGCGGTAGAGACACACAGACTGCGGTAGAGACTCACAGACTGCGGTAGAGACTCACAGACTGCGGTAGAGACTCACAGACTGCGGTAGAGACTCACAGGCTGCGGTAGAGACTCACAGGCTGCGGTAGAGACTCACAGACTGCGGTAGAGACTCACAGACTGCGGTAGAGACTCACAGACTGCGGTAGAGACACATAGACTGCGGTAGAGACTCACAGACTGCGGTAGAGACTCACAGACTGCGGTAGAGACTCACAGACTGCGGTAGAGACACACAGACTGTGGTAGAGACTCACAGACTGCGGTAGAGACTCACAGACTACGGTAGAGACACACAGACTGCGGTAGAGACACACAGACTGCGGTAGAGACACACAGACTGCGGTAGAGACACACAGACTGCGGTAGAGACTCACAGACTGCGGTAGAGACTCACAGACTGCGGTAGAGACTCACAGACTACGGTAGAGACACACAGACTGCGGTAGAGACACACAGACTGCGGTAGAGACACACAGACTGCGGTAGAGACTCACAGACTGCGGTAGAGACTCACAGACTGCGGTAGAGACTCACAGACTGCGGTAGAGACTCACAGGCTGCGGTAGAGACTCACAGGCTGCGGTAGAGACTCACAGACTGCGGTAGAGACTCACAGACTGCGGTAGAGACTCACAGACTGCGGTAGAGACACATAGACTGCGGTAGAGACTCACAGACTGCGGTAGAGACTCACAGACTGCGGTAGAGACACACAGACTGCGGTAGAGACACACGGGCTGTGGTAGAGACTCACAGACTGCGGTAGAGACACACGGGCTGTGGTAGAGACTCACAGACTACGGTAGAGACACACGGACTGCGGTAGAGACTCACAGACTGCGGTAGAGACACACGGGCTGTGGTAGAGACTCACAGACTACGGTAGAGACACACGGACTGCGGTAGAGACTCACAGACTGCGGTAGAGACACACGGGCTGTGGTAGAGACTCACAGACTACGGTAGAGACACACGGACTGCGGTAGAGACTCACAGACTGCGGTAGAGACACACGGGCTGTGGTAGAGACTCACAGACTGCGGTAGAGACACACGGGCTGTGGTAGAGAGACTCACAGACTGCGGTAGAGACACACAGACTGCGGTAGAGACTCACAGACTGCGGTAGAGACACACAGACTGTGGTAGAGACTCACAGACTGCGGTAGAGACTCACAGACTGCGGTAGAGACACACAGACTGCGGTAGAGACACACAGACTGCGGTAGAGACTCACAGACTGCGGTAGAGACTCACAGACTGCGGTAGAGACACACAGACTGTGGTAGAGACTCACAGACTACGGTAGAGACACACAGACTGCGGTAGAGACACACAGACTGTGGTAGAGACTCACGGACTGCGGTAGAGACTCACAGACTGCGGTAGAGACTCACAGACTGCGGTAGAGATACACGGGCTGTGGTAGAGACTCACAGACTGCGGTAGAGACACACGGCTGTGGTAGAGACTCACAGACTACGGTAGAGACACACGGACTGCGGTAGAGACTCACAGACTGCGGTAGAGACACACGGGCTGTGGTAGAGACTCACAGACTGCGGTAGAGACACACGGGCTGTGGTAGAGACTCACAGACTGCGGTAGAGACACACGGGCTGTGGTAGAGACTCACAGACTGCGGTAGAGACACACGGACTGCGGTAGAGACTCACAGACTGCGGTAGAGACTCACAGACTGCGGTAGAGACACACGGGCTGTGGTAGAGACTCACAGACTGCGGTAGAGACACACGGGCTGTGGTAGAGACTCACAGACTACGGTAGAGACTCACAGACTGCGGTAGAGACACACGGGCTGTGGTAGAGACTCACAGACTGCGGTAGAGACACACGGACTGCGGTAGAGACTCACAGACTGCGGTAGAGACACACGGGCTGTGGTAGAGACTCACAGACTGCGGTAGAGACACACAGACTGTGGTAGAGACTCACAGACTGTGGTAGAGACTCACAGACTGCGGTAGAGACTCACAGACTGCGGTAGAGACACACGGGCTGTGGTAGAGACACACGGACTGCGGTAGAGACACACGGACTGCGGTAGAGACTCACAGACTGCGGTAGAGACACACGGGCTGTGGTAGAGACTCACAGACTGCGGTAGAGACTCACAGACTGTGGTAGAGACTCACAGACTGTGGTAGAGACTCACAGGCTGTGGTAGAGACTCACAGACTGCGGTAGAGACTCACAGACTGTGGTAGAGACTCACAGACTGTGGTAGAGACACACAGACTGTGGTAGAGACACACAGACTGCGGTAGAGACACACGGACTGCGCGGCAAAGGTGTGGCAGAGGCGCAGGAGCGGAAAATCGACGCACGCAGGAGATAAATATTGCTGAGTTCCTCGGAACGCTCGTGAACATACTGTAAACAGCCAAAACAGGACTAAACCAGGACTAGACCAGGGCTGACAATGGGGGACATAGTGCTTGTGAACATATGTGTTCTCATGCTCCCGTGACTTTATGCAACTGCTTCGAGCGTGTTCACCGATGCGGAAGTAACGTTTAAAAATAAAATAAACATATGGTGCACCTCCATGAACACATACTGCTGTTATATAAAGTCTGTGAAGGTCTCAGACACAGAGCTGCAGTATTGGAGAAGAACTTTACACAAAAAGGCGCTAGCTTAACTCCGTTAGCATCAGAGCCCGCCCGCTACTTCCGCCACTTCCGGTGGACGCCACCGCAGCAGGACTTCTGGTCTGAAGACCCCTGCGTCTGAAAATTAGAGAATGTGCGTCTGGTGCGCGAGGCGTCAGTGTTCCAGCGTTAGAGGAGAGAGAGAGGAGTGGGAGGAGAGGGGAGAGAGAGAGAGGAATGGGAGGAGAGGGGAGAGAGGAGTGGGAGGAGAGGGGGGAGGAGTAAGAGGAGAGAGGGAGAGAGAGAGGAGTAAGAACCTACTTGAAGGCTGCTGCTCCAACAGTGTGATCTTGTGCCTGAAGATCTGCTCCTGGATCCTCCACATGGAACGCTTCATCTTCTCCCTCCGGGTCACCATGTAGGTCAGGTTACGCACCTGTGAGAGGAGGAGAGGGGGAGAGGAGGGGGGGGGGGGGGGGGGGGGGAGAGGGGGGAGAGGAGGGGGGGGGGGGGGGGGGGGGGGGGGGGGGGGGGAGGGAAGTTGAAGACCACTTTACATGAGTTGATTTAAATAAAAACATTCTTTACTGTTCTCAGTCATCTTTTATTTCTTAAATCTCTGCTGCTCTGTACACAGTGGTCGTCTGGTGTCTCCCCCTGTCCCCCTGGTGTCTCCCCCTCTGGTCTCTCTAGCTCCCCCGGTGGCCTACCCTCTCCAGATCCTGTCTCAGGTGTGTGAAGAGCTGCAGTCTTCGCCGCAGGACCTCGTGCTCGCGGCGTGCTAGCCCTTCTTCTTCTTCGCTCTTGGGTGTCACCAGAGCTCGGTTGTGGTTGGATTTCCTCTTGAGTTTCCAGTACTGAAACAGGAAGTCCACGGTGTGTGCGCACAGCTTGAGACGCGTCGCCACCTCCTGGACGTCCACAAAGTGATAGAACTCGTCCTCCATCTCCTGCAGCTTGAGTTTACGGAGGCTGACTCTCTTGTGCTCGTCGCTGGAGGTCTGGGGGCCGGTCTGTGTGGGAGCTGTGGTCTTCCCCTCTCCTCCCGAGTGCTTGGGACAGAAGGCCTTGAACTTGACCTCCTCGTCCTCCGTCAGGGTGGTGGTCATCTCCAGGCCGGCGTGCTGACAGCAGGTCACGTGGAACGCGGTGCGGCAGCTCTTCGCCGAACACTGAGGAGAAAAGGAGAAGTTCAAGCCATGAGCCTCATTCCCTCAGAGCAAAACCCTGGGTCTTCTCTTCCTTTCACGCCGGTACACGGGCTGGTGTGTCAAAGCTACTGGGCATCCAACCCGCCTTGCAACCTAGACTTTTGAATAAAGGTGTAATTTAGACCCAATACTTCAATACTGCATCAGGGGAATAGGGGTTAGAGTTTAGAGCAGAGCAGAGCGAAGCAGAGTAAAGCAGAGCAGAGCAGAGTAGGGTAGAACAGAGCTGACTTTTTTCATTATAGCCCTCTGAAAGGGCTAACAGCAGGCAGCACACATGACTCGTGTTTGTCATATTTTGTTCCTGAAAATAATAAACATTTCTACTGCGAATAAACACACTATTGCGCATTTCCCAGAGTAGCCGCTCCAAACCACCGCAAAGATTTACAAGTTTTGTAAATAAAAGAATTTAATTGAAGACTACATTTCCCAGCATGCCTGGCGCCCGCACTGGCCTCTGCTCTCACATGTGCCTACTACTACAACAGTGAACCTGTAGATCTGTGATTTTACACATTGCAGTTACAGCGAGTGCTCTGGCTGCTGTGCTAACCTCACTAACTCACCCCACTACACCAGAGCACTACACCAGTACACTACACCAGAGCACTACACCAGAGCACTACACCAGTACACTACACCAGTACACTACACCAGAGCACTACACCAGAGCACTACACCAGAGCACTACACCAGTACACTACACCAGAGCACTACACCAGAGCACTACACCAGAGCACTACACCAGTACACTACACCAGAGCACTACACCAGTACACTACACCAGAGCACTACACCAGTACACTACACCAGAGCACTACACCAGTACACTACACCAGTACACTACACCAGTACACTACACCAGAGCACTACACCAGCTACTACACCAGAGCACTACACCAGTACACTACACCAGTACACTACACCAGTACACTACACCAGTACACTACACCAGAGCACTACACCAGTACAGAGCACACTACACCAGTACACTACACCAGAGCACACTACACCAGTAGCACTACACCAGAGCACTACACCAGTAGCACTACACCAGAGCACTACACCAGTAGCACTACACCAGTACACTACACCAGTACACTACACCAGAGCACTACACCAGTACACTACACCAGAGCACTACACCAGTACACTACACCAGTACACTACACCAGAGCACTACACCAGTACACTACACCAGAGCACTACACCAGTGCACTACACCAGTGCACTACACCAGTGCACTACACCAGTACACTACACCAGTACACTACACCAGTGCACTACACCAGTGCACTACACCAGTGCACTACACCAGTACACTACACCAGAGCACTACACCAGTACACTACACCTGTACACTACACCAGTGCACTACACCAGTGCACTACACCAGTGCACTACACCAGTGCACTACACCAGTGCACTACACCAGTACACTACACCAGTACACTACACCAGTACACTACACTACACCAGTGCACTACACCAGTGCACTACACCAGAGCACTACACCAGTACACTACACCAGAGCACTACACCAGTGCACTACACCAGTGCACTACACCAGTGCACTACACCAGTACACTACACCAGTGCACTACACCAGTACACTACACCAGAGCACTACACCAGAGCACTACACCAGAGCACTACACCAGAGCACTACACCAGAGCACTACACCAGTACACTACACCTGTACACTACACCTGTACACTACACCAGTGCACTACACCTGTACACTACACCAGTGCACTACACCAGTACACTACACCAGTGCACTACACCAGTACACTACACCAGAGCACTACACCAGTACACTACACCAGTACACTACACCAGTACACTACACCAGTACACTACACCAGTGCACTACACTACACCAGAGCACTACACCAGTGCACTACACCAGTACACTACACCAGAGCACTACACCAGAGCACTACACCAGAGCACTACACCAGAGCACTACACCAGAGCACTACACCAGTACACTACACCAGTACACTACACCAGAGCACTACACCAGAGCACTACACCAGAGCACTACACCAGAGCACTACACCAGAGCACTACACCAGTACACTACACCAGTACACTACACCAGTACACTACACCAGAGCACTACACCAGAGCACTACACCAGAGCACTACACCAGTACACTACACCAGTACACTACACCAGTGCACTACACCAGAGCACTACACCAGAGCACTACACCAGTACACTACACCAGTACACTACAGCACTACATACCAACAGGCTGTGGGCTCCTGACGACAGCTTGGTTTGTTTGTTAATTGCATGTGACAGTTACAGGTGTGTCACTGCGCCCGCCCATGAATAACAATCTGTGAAATTATCTATCAAGTAAATACTACTATCCCCGTGTTTGTGACTATTCCAAAAGAACCGAGCAGAGTAGAGTAGAGCAGAGCGCAGTAGAGTAGAGTAGAGTAGAGCAGAAGTCTCTCAGACCTGGATGCAGGCCCCACTCTTCTCTTTGCAGATGCAGCAGATCAAAGTCCATCTGCTGCTGTGGATGTGAGACACGTTTGTGATCGGCTCCATCTTCTCTGGGTTCCCAATGCTCACCTGCAACACACACACACATATATGAACCACACACACACACACACCCAGGGTCTGAGTGAGTGTCTGCAGGAGAGGTACCTCGGGGATCCACAGGGCGCAGCTGACATGGACCCACTTGGTGCCGCTGCGGGTCGGCTTCATGGCTCCTCCGCTCCTCGGACACAGCTGACATTTGGGCACGATCCCAAGGGCACAGGTCCGACAGAGCCAACTCCCACTGGGCACCTTCTGTATGCCATAGCAGGCCTGGGGATGAGAGGAGTAGTCAGAGGAGGCCTGGGGAGAGAGGAGGTGAGAGGAGGCCTGGGGGAGAGAGGAGGTGAGAGGAGGCCTGGGTGAGAGAGGAGGTGAGAGGAGGCCTGGGAGAGAGAGGAGGTGAGAGGAGGCCTGGGGAAGAGAGGAGGTGAGAGGAGGCCTGGGGGAGAGAGGAGAGTCAGAAGGAGGCCTGGGATGAGAGAGGAGAGTTAGAGGAGGCCTGGGGGAGAGAGGAGGAGGTGAGAGGAGGCCTGGGGGAGAGAGGAGTCAGCAGAAGGCCTGGGGGAGAGAGGAGTCAGAGGAGGCCTGGGGGAGAGAGGAGGTGAGAGGAGGCCTGGGGAGGCGGAGGGTGAGGCCTGTTCTATAGGCAGGATTGCACATAACTTTTTCAGTGAGGTTCTCAGAGGAGTACCAGGACATGGTGTTTGGTTCTCACTCCATTTGTCGTGTGGTTCTTAATGGACATCAGTGTTTCCCACAGGTTTGGGGGGGGGGGGGGGGGGGGAGTGGGGTACAGTGGTACAGTGGTAGAGGACAATCTTGAGGTCATGAATCCAGTGAAATTAGTCGCACACCTTTTTACAGTAATAAGTTACAGCAGATCAAAAGTGACATGTTTTGACAATTTTTAGGCTATTTTGGACCAAAATGGCTGCTTTAAATCAATATTTCTACAGTAAAAGTTTCTGGTCTTTGGTACAGTGGTAGAGGGCAATCATGAGGTCGTGAATCCAGTGAAATTAGTCGCACACCTTTTTACAGTAAAAAGTTACAGTAGATCAAATGTGACATGTTTTGACCATTTTTAGGCTATTTTGGACCAAAATGGCTACTTTAAATCAATATTTCTCAATATTTCTACAGTAAAAGTGTCTGGTCTTTGGTACAGTGGTAGAGGACAATCTTGAGGTCATGAATCCAGTGAAATTAGTCGCACACCTTTTTACAGTAAAAAGTTACAGTAGATCAAAAGTGACATGTTTTGACTATTTTGGAGGTATTTTGGACCAAAATGGCTACTTTACCTCAATATTTCTCAATATTTCTACAGTAAAAGTTTCTGGTCTTTGGTACAGTGGCAGAGGGCAATAATAAGGTCATGAGTCAAGTGAAATTAGTCGCACACCTTATTCCAGTAAATAGTTACAATACTTGAAAATTGCACTAGCGGACCAAATTGTGTACTTTATACATGTAAACAATAGAGTGGCTATCCTCCTGAGGACTCACAATCTGCCGGAGGAATCGTAGGGGGCTGGTGCTATGTGTGCCGGGTGGCATCTCTATAAGGTTTTAATCACAAAAACGTGTCTCCCTGACCCCAGCGCGCTTTCTGTTCGATAAAAATGGGTGACTCCGAAAGGACGTTCCGCTGTTACCGTAAGTTCTCAACAAAACGCGCACCGTCTTTTCCCCGATGCGGGCCGCATGTTCATAGAGCTGAAAGATGCGGGCCACTTTACCGCGGTAAATTAATAGACACAGCTGCTTACAGCGATGATCGCTGATGGAGACGGAGACACGCGGTGTGCACGAAGGGGAGGGGCTGTGTGTGTGTAGGTCTCTGTATGTGGGAGAGACGCGTAGCTTGAGTGAGAGTTACGAAGGGCCGCCACATTTTAAACCCCCCTCCCCGCTGTCAAATTGACCGCTGCGGCGGCACTAGACGATGCATGTTTTAAATAGCGTAACAAAAAAAAAATATATATAATAATACGAAACGCAATTTGTGGCGGGCGGTCTCTAATCTGTGGCGGTGCGCCACAGATTAGTCTATGTGTGGGAAACACTGGACATTTTATACTTGGTTCTTTTTAATGCTAAAGTTTAGATCCGCTCAGATAATTCACTCAATCCAAGTCAAATAATGACTCAAAGGGCTTTTTTTTAAAAATGCAAAACAAAATCAAAACAATGTTCTGTTTGATTTGTTCACATTTTACTTTTGGGCACAGCCAACATTATTATGCATTTTTAAGGCAAGGGAAAATGTAGGTACCACAGCTTTAAGTTAGAGACACGGGGAGGACATGGACAATCCCCGGACGGCTCCATAGTCCAGCTCTATTTCTTGCAGTAGCGCAATATGTATTTATTTATTTTGCATTACACAAAGACACACACTTGCAACAAGCAAGTGTGTGTCTTTAACCCACCAGGAAAAAGTGTCCTGGTTCGATCCTCGCGCACAGGCCCAGAGGAGCGCCACAGACCGGTAAATGTATGCTTGAATCCTTTGGCAAACTACTAGAGAATGGATGATGCGTGTGGATGTTATGTTTGACTGGAACGGGGGGAAAAGGGTGCACACTGCGCGAGTGTGGAATGGCGTTTGTGTGTGCGTGCCAGTGTGTGTTTGTGCCGGTGTGTGTGTGGCGCGTGCAGCATGAAAGTCAGCCTTTAGTATAATACTACATTCTAGAGACGGGCCGCTCCGTCACACTGGCATTGCACCACGTCCCCCGAGGGAGGAGCGCCTGTTTGAGAAGGACTGGTCTATGTGAAGTACTGTCTGAATCTGTACGCAAAGGCGCTTGCTAACTCGAGTGATAGTATGCATTTCGGAGGTTTGGCGCTCATGCGTACCTGCGTACCACTTATGTGCACCCCTGTCTATAGGTTAAGAACAGTGGCCCCGTTTGGACCAATGGCTCTATGCGTTTCTTTTAGGGCTGTCAAACGATTAATTTTTTTTAGTTGATTAATTGCATAGTAATGATGAGTTAACTCACGATTAATCGCATTTTTAACATTCTATTTCAAATCCACTTGAAGTTAAATGAGATTTTCAAATGTAATGACACATGTTATTCAGACCAAATTTACTTAAATCTGTTTGACTTGCTCACAACCTTCTACTTTTGGGTACAACCAACAAGAGCTGTTAATGAAAGGAAAAATGTAGGTACCCCAGCTTTAATTTTGCGAGTTTGTTTGCATTTCAGCGTGTCTCCTCCTCTCCTCCGTGTGTCACACAACATCAGAGAATGGCCCTGTGCGTGTATATATGTGTATTATATGACCACGTTACCGCTGTCACCATCACACACAGTGATATTATTATAAATGGGCGGGTCATTCGGACATGTGATTGACTGCCAGCCTATTTCAGAACAGGTACTCCCATATTGCCAGCCATTTCTGATGATTTTTACTGAATTTTCAAGACCCACAGAATATTGTGTACTATGACTATCTGAAATCCAAAACCAGATTCTGAAAGAATGGACTGTCTACTTTCAGCAGCAAAGTCAAGTCAAGCCCCAGTCAAGTAGAGGTAAGTTTTATTGAAATCACCAGAAAGCTGAGAAAAAAGAGGCACATGTGCATCTAGCTGTTTTCAAACCATTCATAGAGCAATGCTGCCATCTGCTGGCTCGATAAAATATTGCCTCAAGCCTTACATATTTGATACAATAGACATCTGGGAACGTGAAAATAGCGGAAACGCAATTGACGTGTTAATGGCGTCAATGACAGTTAATGCGTTAATTATTTTGTTACGCGTTAATGAAAACGGTAATTAACGCGATAATTTTGACAGCCCAAGTTTCTTTTCATTGCACTTCCTGTGTTTGTTTCTCTAATCTGTGTTGTCGAATCGGCAGCTTTGTAAAGTCCTCTGAGATTAATAATGGTTTACTGTTGTGTAGTGGTTTACCTGGTGCACGCACACGTTGCACTTGTCGCAGAACACCATCTCGTTGTTCTCCTCTCCGTCCGGCGAGCGGCACACCTCACACACCACGTCCTCGTCGAACTCGATGCCCAGCCCCTCCTGCGTCTCCACGGCAACCGCCATGTGGGCGTGGCAACTGCGCTCCAGCTCCTCTAGCACGCGCTCCATTGTGACCTCGTCCACCGCCGGCAATGCTAATGAGACACGATGACTTTAGCTAAACATGCTAACAGACACGCTATAAGGAGACATGCTAACTTTAGACAGACATACTATAAGGAGACATGCTAACTTTAGACAAACAGGACATATAGCCAAACACGCCAACAGACACGCTGTAAGGAGACATACTGACTTAAAGCAAACACGCAAACATGAGACATGCTAATTTTATCCAAACACGCTAACAATAGGCATGCTACCGTAAGACCAGGCCTCCTCCTCACCCATGCGCCTCAGCTCCTGGTTGGTGGCCTCTAACCACCTCTGGTCCTGCTGGTCCAGGTCGTATCGGCAGGTCCCCTCAGACAGAGTGCAAATGTCCACGTATCCCAGAGCTTCAGAACCAGACGACCGGATCAACTTCTTTGGACGAACGAACATTACGTCTTTACTGCGATCACACAGCTCCCTGCACAGAGAGAACATGCAACAAGCAAACGCTGGGGTGATGGGGTCTTAAACACAGGCCTCCTCTCTGACAATGTTTAAAACCAGGTTAAAGACAGTTCTGTTTAGCTGTGCTACAACTGAGGGATTTTATATCTTTATCTTCCTTTTTAATGTTCTGTGATTATTTATGATTTTAATGCTTTCTTGTTCAGCACTTTGAGTTGCCTTGTGTATGAATTGTGCTATACAAATAAACTTGCCTTGCCTTGCCTAAACACTGAGGTCTTAAACACTGGGCTGATGTGATCTAAACACTGGGCTGATGTGGTCTAACACTGGGCTGATGTGGTCTAAACACTGGGCTGATGTGGTCTAAACACTGGGCTGATGTGGTCTAAACACTGGGCTGATGTGGTCTAAACACTGGGCTGATGTGGTCTAAACACTGGGCTGATGTGGTCTAAACACTGGGCTGATGTGGTCTAAACACTGGGCTGATGTGGTCTAAACACTGGGCTGATGTGGTCTAAACACTGGGGTGATGTGGTCTAAACACTGGGCTGATGTGGTCTAAACACTGGGGTGATGTGGTCTAAACACTGGGCTGATGTGGTCTAAACACTGGGCTGATGTGGTCTAAACACTGGGGTGATGTGTTCCCTTACCTCACATTAGCCCGTGGTAACCCCTCGGGACACACTGGGACTTGCACCCCTTTCTCCCACTCCTGTCTCCAGGCGTCTCCCAGGACGTAGAAGTCGTGCGGCTTCAGCGGCGTGGAGTCTGCCAGCTTCATGGCCGTAATCAGGTCTGTCCTGAACACCTGACAACCACAACACTTTCAGAGTCACAGCAGCTCTCACAACACTCTGTGCTGAATCTGTCCTCACAACACTCTGTGCTGAATCTGTCCTCACAACACTCTGGGCTGAATCTGTCCTCACAACACTCTGGGCTGAATCTGTCCTCACAACACTCTGGGCTGAATCTGTCCTCACAACACTCTGGGCTGAATCTGTCCTCACAACACTCTGGGCTGAATCTGTCTTCACAACACTCTGGGCTGAATCTGTCCTCACAACACTCTGGGCTGAATCTGTCTTCACAACACTCTGGGCTGAATCTGTCCTCACAACACTCTGGGCTGAATCTGTCTTCACAACACTTGTGACTTATTGCAGGTTTAATGTTTATAAATGGATATGTTTAATGGGTGTTACCTCAGAGGGCTTGTGTCCCGCCGCTCGGCGATGGGACGAACGTTGCGACCAACATGTGGAGTTACCTGCACGCAGACCAGAAGGTTCAGGTCTCAACCCTCCACATGTAACACAACCAACAGGGGTCTTTAAAATCATGCAGTCATTGGAATTAGACATGATGGCGATCAGCAGCTCCAGCTGAAACAGTGAGGGTCAAGGTGAGGATGAGGGTGAGGGTCAGGGTGACTCACTGCCACTGTCGGAGTCATCACTGGAGCTCGGGTTTCTGCTCCTCTTCATCATCTTCATCAGTGAAAACAGATGTGTGGAATCACCTGAAAACATCAGAAAGTTTCTGGGCTGACACATCACAGCTCATGTACATCTCACTGTCATAAGACTCACTGCATTATAGAACATAATCCTGTAAATTTCTCTTGTGTGAGATCAATAAAGTCAAGTATATATTATCTATCAACTGTTTATCTTTTATTGTGCAATCTCAGAACACTAATAATTATAACAGTACATTATATATATACACACACATACATATACATTAATCGTTGTTTACTTTCCCCAAACCTACATACATACATGTTATTCTTCTGTTTCCTTAACACTGACACGTCACGGACTACACCTCCCATGATGCATCGGGGTAAACATAGGCCATGCTAACGCTAGCATGTGTGTTTTATTCAAACATAAACAAACTCTGCGGTGTCTGTGTTTGTGGGACAATGATCCTGATGTGAACACTGCCCCGTGGACGAAGACAACCCCGTTATATACCCCCCACAACCCGACTCTGAACCGGAACCACAAGTTACAAAACTGCGTAACAGCTAACAGACTGGTGCTAACACTGGTGCTAACACAAGCTAACTGGGCTATGGCTGTTTACATTATGCAACGCGCCACTAAAGTATCTCCTTTTCCACAGAGAAGCTCTAAACAGCTGTTCCACGCCTTACACAACCGCAGAACCACATCCCGGCCCCCGCTGTGCAAAACCATCCTGTATTCGAGTTAATGAAGATTTTATTATCTTACAGCAGTGGGACATGTTAGCTCCTGCGTTAGCTCCTGCGTTAGCTCCTGCGTTAGCTCCTCTGTTATCGAGCTGTCAAAGTCTCCACTCCTCCTTACTAAACTAAACTTCTCCTTTATAATGACACTTCATCTGCTGTGACACTAAACTCACGGAGCTACACGAGTTTAAAGAGTTGCAGACGACACTTCAACAAAAAGTCACAGATAAACACATAAAAACACTGGTTATAATCTTTGGCGCCATTTTAAACGGGGAAAACAACAAACAGCTCAAAGTTGTACAGACACGTGGTTCATAAGGCTGTAACAAAGGTTAATAACCCACAGTATGAGCCACGCCGTCACTGCACTAAAGCCTTTACACTCATGGAGTTACGTACAGGTCGCAGCGGCGGAGGAGCGCGGGTCTCTGCCGGTCTGAGTGCACTGACGCCCGCGGACAGAGGAGGGCAGTGTCCGCTCCACACACCGGCTTCAGAGTGACCTTACACCCGGTCTGAGTGCACTGACGCCCGCGGACAGAGGAGGGCAGTGTCCGCTCCACACACCGGCTTCAGAGTGACCTTACACCCGGTCTGAGTGCACTGACGCCCGCGGACAGAGGAGGGCAGTGTCCGCTCCACACACCGGCTTCAGAGTGACCTTACACCCGGTCTGAGTGCACTGACGCCCGCGGACAGAGGAGGGCAGTGTCCGCTCCACACACCGGCTTCAGAGTGACCTTACACCCGGTCTGAGTGCACTGACGCCGCGGACAGAGGAGGGCAGTGTCCGCTCCACACACCGGCTTCAGAGTGACCTTACACCCGGTCTGAGTGCACTGACGCCCGCGGACAGAGGAGGGCAGTGTCCGCTCCACACACCGGCTTCAGAGTGACCTTACACCCGGTCTGAGTGCACTGACGCCCGCGGACAGAGGAGGGCAGTGTCCGCTCCACACACCGGCTTCAGAGTGACCTTACACCCGGTCTGAGTGCACTGACGCCCGCGGACAGAGGAGGGCAGTGTCCGCTCCACACACCGGCTTCAGAGTGACCTTACACCCGGTCTGAGTGCACTGACGCCCGCGGACAGAGGAGGGCAGTGTCCGCTCCACACACCGGCTTCAGAGTGACCTTACACCCGGTCTGAGTGCACTGACGCCCGCGGACAGAGGAGGGCAGTGTCCGCCCCAGTCTGATATTTCTGATAAAAAAATAAAAAGAATCCACAGATACTAACTCTGGCAGCGCCCGGACGCCAGGCCTAAATAACAGTTTATGGCACAGATGTTCAAATGTAAACAGTATTATGTAACTAAGTGTTACATTTACATTAAGACGTTCACCAAAGTCTGTTTGAAGTTGAAAGTATATAGGAGAATTCTCTACTTCCGGGTGGAACATCAAGACTATTGGTCCTCCCAATTGTCAATCATTACATGCTCGTCAAATAAGACCAGTTTTGTTCAAAACGTGGAGCAGGTGGTTCTTTCCCAAAATTTGTTTGAAGAGTTGTGTGAGTGAATCATGTGGACTGCAAAGAGAGGCAACTCGTTTTAACCAAATGTCTTTATTGATGCTCAGTCCCTCCTCTCACACACACACACACACCACATGTATATACACAACGCGGGGACTCAGCAGAGGACATGCGACCCGCGTATTTACAGCAAATCAAACTGGACACGAGAAAAAGACGAAACTCGAATTCCTTTGCATCAGAACGCTGCTTTGCCTTGACTCGAGTCGCTCGCTGAATCCTCCGTTTTAAACATATCAGAAATATAATCGCAGTGTCGGAAGATGATTGGGTATTTGGGGACGTGTCGCGCTGATCCACGGGACAGAAACTCATGGAACATTTATAAAGAGAAAAGAGCAGGAAAAGAGCAGGTTTGTCCATGGTGTGGCAGTAACACTGGGAGGTATTTACACGTGTTGGACTCGGTGACGGGGCGAACGGAATAAGGCACGAACACTGGACGCCTCAAACCAACTCTCTGTACTAGTATTATTATTATTATTATTATTATTGTTACCATGGACTTGAATCATTTGGATTTTACCTCTGGACAAACTTCCCTTTTCCCGATTTGTGCAAAAGTCTGAGTCCAATGCACGACAAACAAAACACTACAATAACAATGTCCTCCCTGGTTCTAACTAGTGCAAGTTACTTATCGATTCCAGCGCGTGTTAGCGTTTGGGGACTTTCCACAGTCGGCCCAGTTTTTTCCCGTGTTGAACAAAGTTGGTGATTTAGAAATGAGACAGAATTCTAGATTTGGGCACAAACTTTGGTCAGTGGATCTTTGACACGGCACTGTACAAACAATCGCAAATATGTCCAGCAGTTTTAACACTTCTCTCATTCTTTAAAGTTAAAATGTGGTCGCGGGCGAGATTTGAAGCTGGAGAAAAGCCGCAGGGACCAGTCGCTAAAACACTCTCTCTCTTGGGTCATTTTTGGTCTGATTCATAAAAACCTCAACACTTTAACAATCTCCGACTCCATCTGTTCACAAGCTCACACTGCAGACACTTTGGTGCAGCTACACTCTCAACAAGAGAGACCAAGACCAGGACCAGGACCAGGACCAGGACCAGGTCTGTGTCAGACCAGGACCAGGACCAGGACCTGGACCAGGTCTGTGTCAGACCAGGACCAGGACCAGGACCTGGACTGTGACAGACCAGGACCAGGACCAGGACCAGGTCTGTGTCAGACCAGGACCAGGACCAGGACCAGGACCAGGTCTGTGTCAGACCAGGACCAGGACCAGGACCTGGACTGTGACAGACCAGGACCAGGACCAGGACCAGGTCTGTGTCAGACCAGGACCAGGACCAGGACCTGGACTGTGACAGACCAGGACCAGGACCGTGTTAGACCAGGACCCGGGACTGTGACAGACCAGGACCAGGACTTTGACAGACCCAGACCTGGACCGTGACAGACCAGGACCAGGACCATGACAGACCAGGACCGTGACAGACCCGGACCGTGACAGACCAGGACCGTGACAGACCCGGACCGTGACAGACCAGGACCCGGACCGTGAGAGACCAGGACCAGGACTGTTACAGACCAGGACCCAGACCATGACAGACCAGGACCAGGACTAGGACTGTGAACAGACCAGGACTTTCACATGTTTATTTATGGAAACACAAGCGGCAGGATGTGATGAAGGAGGATTGTACAAATGTGACGTGGATCTAAAAGCAAAAGGACGAAACGGCACCGCGTCTTTTAGAGTCAGTGTTCAGAAACCAGACTGAGGTCCACTGGACTGGGTTTGATTGTTTTGGACTCTGAGGAGATGGCTCTGGTCTCACTCTGGTTCAGACTAGAGTTTGGAGTTGTTAGATGGTCCTTGGTATGGGACTGGTTTAGAGTCTGGATTGGACTGGTCTATAAACTCGGGACTCCCCAGATGGTCTTTCTGCTCCTTTTCTAAGCGACCAGTCCTACTCTGCCTAAACTGCGGAACTCTGACCCAGGACTGAACCAGGACTGAACCAGGACCTAAAAACACTGCAAAGCAGAGAAGTGTAGTTTAACGGGATCTGTTGAGCTGGTTTTGGGTCTGCTTTTAGGTCTCGGCCGTGCTTTCAAATGGTCACTCTTCGTCTGGGGCTGGGTCATACTTCAGAAGGTCCTCCATGTCCTCCTTGTCTGTATGGTTTAGGGCTGGAATTGGGGCCGGTTGGACTGGGTTTGGGTCTGGTTTTGGACCTGATTCTGGGTCTCAGTCGTGCTTCAGATGGTCCTTGATGTCCTCCTCGTCTGTGTACTCAGACGGCTCGTCTCCGGGCTTCAGCAGTCGTCCCACATAGTCGTACTTTTCTGAAAACAACAGAAACGCAACAGGACTCAGAGAGCAGCTGCAGAGGAGTGTGGACCTCAGAACTTCTCTGGTCTCCCTCTCTCTGGTGGTCTCCCTCTCTCTGGTGGTCTCCCTCTCTCTGGTGGTCTCCCTCTCTCTGGTGGTCTCCCTCTCTCTGGTGGTCTCCCTCTCTCTGGTGGTCTCCCTCTCTCTGGTGGTCTCCCTCTCTCTGGTGGTCTCCCTCTCTCTGGTCTCTCCCTCTGGTCTTACCCATGAACTGCATCTCCCACTCCCGCACACTCTCCATCTGGACAGCGCTCAGGTCGCTCAGGTCGTCGTACTCTTCTCTTAAAGCTCCTTTCTCCAAACAGAACGTGGCCAACCCCCGAGAGGCGTCTCTGCCGGCAAAGACCCCATATGGACCATCTGCAAGAGGAACACATCAGGACCATGTGGAGAACATGAGTGGACTAGAGCGAGACCAGCGAGAAAGAGACCAGAGGGAGATCAGATTGAAATCAGAGACTCAAAGAGCTTCCTGTATTTTGACACTTATAACACTGAATTTTCATCTGCCACTCATCCATAACGTCCAGTTTTGTGTATGACTAATATATTTGCCCCACTTAGATTCACCCAGGTGACCATTGGCCTCTTGCCGCCATCTCTGAGCAGTGTTGTCCTTGTTTATCTATGAGTTCGGGCAGACACCAAACTCACCGTGTAGATAAGGTTGCAGTGGCCCCATACCCTTTCCATTTCTGTATCCATCCATGTCAAACCAAATAAGTATCAATTGACAAACAAATGCATGGTGGCAAGGCGTCTAGCGCTCTCACTTAACATGAGACAGCCCTGGGTCTACATCCCGGTCTGCACATGGTCTTTCTGTGGAGTTTGCATGTTCTTATCATGTCAACATAGGTTTCCTCCAGGTACTTCGGTTCCCCGACTAGTAAAAGCATGTGTCAGTCCCTGTAACCTCCCTGGCAGAGTCTCCCCTTTATCCAACGACTTCACTGGTTGGATAAAGGTTCACAGTGACCTTCCCCACAGATTTGTTTGTTTTGTCAGTTTCTTTTGAAATGTGTGAAAAGTGAATGAGTTCATTTTGCAGCTGACGTTGAGGATCTGTCAACAAGGCGCTACATGCTACCACTCTAACAGCTGTGCTCCTTGAACACCGCAGAACAACTGGAATAACGGGTTTTTGGGGTGAAAGGCCCAAAGGCACCACGGCGGCGGTGTGGGTGTGGGCCGTGTGCGGTGCGGGAGAACTATGCGTTGTAACCGACAGGAATATGAAGTGTTGAGCTAACAGGCTAAAGCTAATAACGGCTAGAGAAACAGTCGCCGCCATCTTGTGACTGTTGAAGTAGATGTTACCTCTCGGATACACAACTTTCAACCAACATCAGAGGAAATGATATAAATACAACCCTCGTCACTAGTTCCAGGCTCAGCGACAGTTTAGTTCAGTCAGTTGCATGCATGTAGTTTTTTATTGTAAGAAAGAGCCACGCCTCCCGCGTTTCCATAGCGATGGTGGCTCTAGCGTTACGAGCACGTTAGCCTGATTCAAAACAAAGCAGCAGCTAATGCTAAGCTAAAGCTAAGCTAATGCTCAGCTAACACACCTTTCCCGTAGAATTTCTTTCCACTGGTTACGTCGAACACCTTCATGTTGACCGCCATGAGGATCCTCGGGGCCTGCAGACCGTCATACTCCCGCAGCTGGTCTAACGTGAAGTCCCGTCTCCGCAGTTTGGGAAGCGGAGCGGCCTGTTCTGCACAGAGCACCGCGCTACACCGCGTCCTGACGCGTCTGTACAGCGCGACACACAGCGCGACCACCGCCAACACCACGGCCGCTTGCAGTAGCATGGCCCCGGGGCTCAGGCCGTCACTCTCGGACTCTCCTACTCGGTCGCCCGCGGAACTCAGTCCCTCTGTCCCAGTCCCGTCCACAGCTTCACCGAACCCTCCATCCGCCGCCATGTCGGATCAGCACGCGTGCGCGACGCGAGCGCCACGCGTGCGACACGAGCTCTCTGCCGCGTCACTGGAAAGTCTAGACTTGACCAGGACCAGACTCAGACAAGGACTAAACCCTTACCATTCTACAGACTAGATCTAGACTCCGACCAGGACTAGACTCAAATAAGGACTAGACCCTGACCAGCCTACAGATCCTGGACAAGTTTACTGACTAGGAATAGACCCAGATCAGGACTAGACCAGTTCTAGACCCAGACCCAGACCAGACTACAAACCAGGACTAGACCCAGACCAAACCTGGACTGGACTTACGCTTTGGACTCAGTGGTTCTCATCTAGAACAGTGTAGAGCCGCGACACAAACGAGAAGAGTTCTTTTAACTGCAGCTTAGACACACACTGACTTAGTCCCTCTATATATGTATATGTATATATAGTAAGTAAGTAAGTAAGCTTTATTTATATACCGCCTTTCACAGACCAGAGTCACAAAGCGGTTTATAATAATAATAATAATCTTTATTTGTATAGCACTTTTAAAAACAGTGTTTACAAAGCGCTGCACAGTCAGCATGATAAACAATAAAAACAGTCATAATGCAAGGTCAAAATAATTAGATACAGAAACACAAAGCAAACAGAGCAAAACACAAAAGAGACACAACAAAGACAAAGCAGACATTAAATTACAGCATCGGAAGTTTAAAACTAACAGTTAAAAGCTGTTTGATAAAAGTGGGTTTTTGTTATTTTTTGGGCACTTGTCCTCTCACTCTACACAGAGATGGGAGCGGGGTCGCCGAACAGGAGGCGCATGCCAGACCTATTGTACATATTTTTAGTGGTAGGGGAAACCGGAGTACCCAGAGGAAACCTACGCATATATATGCATTGTCTACATCAATAGAAGAACATCTATAGAAGTAGACTTCTGCAGGACAGTATCTGAACACAGTGGTATATGTTCATGTGAACACAGAGGTATATGTTTATGTGAACACAGAGGTATATGTTTATGTGAACAGTGGTATATGTTTATGTGAACACAGAGGTATATGTTTATGTGAACACAGAGGTATATGTTTATGTGAACAGTGGTATATGTTTATGTGAACACAGAGGTATATGTTTATGTGAACACAGTGGTATATGTTTATGTGAACACAGTGGTATATGTTTATGTGAACAGTGGTATATGTTTATGTGAACACAGAGGTATATGTTTATGTGAACAGTGGTATATGTTCATGTGAACAGAGGTATATGTTTATGTGAACAGAGGTATATGTTCATGTGAACACAGTGGTATATGTTTATGTGAACACAGTGGTATATGTTTATGTGAACAGAGGTATATGTTTATGTGAACAGTGGTATATGTTTATGTGAACAGAGGTATATGTTTATGTGAACACAGTGGTATATGTTTATGTGAACAGTGGTATATGTTTATGTGAACAGAGGTATATGTTTATGTGAACACAGTGGTATATGTTTATGTGAACACAGTGGTATATGTTTATGTGAACAGAGGTATATGTTTATGTGAACAGTGGTATATGTTTATGTGAACAGAGGTATATGTTTATGTGAACAGTGGTATATGTTCATGTGAACACAGTGGTATATGTTTATGTGAACACAGTGGTATATGTTTATGTGAACACAGTGGTATATGTTTATGTGAACACAGTGGTATATGTTTATGTGAACACAGTGGTATATGTTTATGTGAACACAGTGGTATATGTTTATGTGAACACAGTGGTATATGTTTATGTGAACACAGTGGTATATGTTTATGTGAACACAGTGGTATATGTTTATGTGAACACAGTGGTATATGTTTATGTGAACACAGTGGTATATGTTTATGTGAACAGCAGAGAGACGAGATGCAGGAAACATGGATTCCAGGTTTTGCTACAACAGGACCCATTTTGGTCAAAATGAAGAGAAGCGAGTCCTGACATGAGTCCTGACACAGATGCTAACAGCTCATTGTGTCATCGACCCTAAGGCTTAGTCCATAACGAGTTTGTTAAGAACAGTCTTCCAGCTTCGGGAAGACTTTAAACATAAACAACTGTGGCTAATATTCAAGTGCAGCCAAAATTTAAACAAAAAGTGCTTTATCTTGAATTGCAGCTGATGCAGTTTATACAAAAGTACTGTAATGATTAAAATGATTCTCTTGAAAGGCTGTATTCCACATATTTCCTTTTCTAGTGGTAGTTTTCCTGAATTACTTTAAACATGTTTGCAGGTCTCCGACAGATGATCCTGTGATTCAGAAAAACCCTAAATACCTTTGGTTCTTAACTACAGAATTAGCAATGCTTTGGTTTTATACAGTTCTTTTCTGAACACAACATTTTACAGCATTATTCTTTCACTACTACTGCAGCCATAGCTGCCCTGGGGCAACATTCTGTGCCATCTGCCCTTCCCACCACCAATAACCATTCACACACACCCCAACCTCATTCTAATGTGGGGAAGTGTCTTGCCTAAGTTTTAAAGCAGAGCGTCCCAACAGAAGGGGCGGGGGCCGCTTTAACAAAAACCACAGACACACGTTTACAATCAACTGTCATTTATATTTTTGGCATTTTTATTTTTTACAATTATCCGACTCATGCATCATCGAAGTCACTCAGAAAGAAACCCTTTGATCAAAACAGCAAAGGATTTTTATTTACATTTAAAAACCTTTAAAACCTTTAAAAGAGATTAAGATAAAAGCCACACGCAGAAAAGGAAACACACACATTCTGGTTTGTGTCTGAGCAGGATTTAGAGTCGGAGGAAGCACTTGATCAAAGACCGCTCTATGACGTCACAGTCCGAGGATCATCAGTGTAACGAGTTTGAACACGACATTCAGACAGAAGGGGCGGGGGAATCCATACTAGTGCCATCCAGACATTTTCTTCCATTTTATCCGTTGCCAAGTTGTGGGAGCAGCCGTCCGAGCAGAGACACCCAGACGACCCTCTCCGCACACACTTCCTCCAGCTCATCTGGGGGAATCCTGAGGCGTTCCCAGGCCAGCTCATGACCAGAGGTGAGGGAGAGAATGTGCATTCAATCGAGAGCTCTGACTGCAGACGCTGCTCCCTCTTCACCATAACGACCGCATCACTGCACCGTACAGGTGCTTCATCTTCGTAAATACTTAAGGATTGGTCTAGGCCTGAGTTTGGGCACTGCTGAACCAGACAGAAAGGGTGCGGGTCCTGGATAGAGCTAAACGCAGCCGCAGGTCGAACAATTTTGAAACTAAGACTGAGATTAGCACCTTTAGTTCTGCAACGCGTTCAGCCCATAATTAAACTTTATAAACTAGATCCTGGCTCTAAATCACTTTTCCTCCATCTCAAGTTTTCACTGGTCTGGTCCTGGTCTAGTTCTGGTCCTGGTCTGGGTCTGCCTCTGGTCCTGGTCTGGATCTGGTCTTGGTCTAATTGTTGTCCTCAGTCACATGTTTAGATCTAGTTCAGACAGGTAGGCTCTGTGTGACGCTGCAGGTGGATTGTCTTTACAGAGAAGCTCACAAACATTTGTTTTAAGATTATGGATGAAAGTGTTTTCTCTGGCGCCGTATCTGCATTCACATCATTTCAACATTTACACTAAAATCCAGGATAGTTCATAATCCACATGTTTCAGATTAAATCTCACTAATATTCTCTGCTCGTTTAAATTCCGTCTAAAAACACGATAACTTCACATACGACACTTTCCATTAAAACATCCTCCATTTTGATTATTTTGACCCAAACCCATTTCATTACATCACACTCGTGTCCCTCCGTCTCTTCACTTCTCGTTCGTCTTGGAGCCAGTTTGGCCGGGGGCTTTGGCGGCGTCTGTGCCCAGGAAAGAGCTCTCTGCTGGGGCAGCGGTGATGGTGGCATCAGGCTGATCTGTGGAGGCGATAGGCCCACCTTTGGAGCCCTCTTTAGGGTTAGGCCCTCCTTTGGAGCCCTCTTTAGGGTTAGGCCCACCTTTGGAGCCCTCTTTAGGGTTAGGCCCACCTTTGGAGCTCTCTTTGGGGTTAGGCCCACCTTTGGAGCCCTCTTTAGGGTTAGGCCCACCTTTGGAGCCCTCTTTGGGATTAGGCCCACCTTTGGAGCCCTCTTTAGGGTTAGGCCCACCTTTGGAGCTCTCTTTGGGGTTAGGCCCACCTTTGGAGCCCTCTTTGGGGTTAGGCCCACCTTTGGAGCCCTCTTTAGGGTTAGGCCCACCTTTGGAGCTCTCTTTGGGGTTAGCCGAGGAGGGGTTAGAGCTCTTCTTGGAGGAATCAGGCTGGGCTTTGGCCGTTTTTGACCCAGCTTTGAGGATCTCTTTAGGAGCTTTGGTGGTGGTGGGATTGGGCTGGTTACTGGCAGCTTTTGAGCCTTCATTGGGGCCTTCGTTGGGGGCTTTCGGCCCACTGTTCGGGCCCTCTTTGGTGGCCTTCGATCCGCTTTTGGGGCCTTCTTTGGGGCCTTCTTTGGGGGCTTTCGATCCGCTGCTGGAGCCTTCTTTGGCTGTTGTATCGGGTTGGTTCTTGCCAGGTTTTGACCCACTCCTGGATGACGTGCGTTTGCGGCGGCCGCCCTCTAAAGGAGGCTGAAACACAAACAGAGGAATGTCTGAACAAACTAAAGCAGCCAATGAAAAGAGCTCTGAGTGGGCGCCGGTGGATGGCAGAGATTATTAATTTGATGGAAGGGGCAAACCAAAGATCAATCCTTTCTTCCCCTGCCATCCTGTGAAAAAAAGGAACACAGGAGGAAGTCTCACCATGACCCTGAAGTCCTCCAGGGTCTTGAACTTGGACAGATGTTCCTGCAGTTTGGGATCAATCGTCTGGTTCTTCATGCGAGAATATTTCAGAAAGGCCCAGAACTTCTCCAGTCCATAGAGCTGACCTGTAACACACACACATACATACATTAAAAACGAACACACACACACACACACACATAGACGTCGGAACTAGGGGTGCGGGGGGTGCGGCCGCACCCCCTCCGCGTGTGCCGGGAGCGAGAAGTTATCACTATCCTGCGTTCCTTGCAGCCCAAAACCCGCTCCATGCTGTCGGAGAAGCTTTTGAAGCTCTGTCTGGCTAATATCTGTCGCAGCCTCTGAGCGCTCTTTCTCAGCCTTGCGCAGATTAGAGACCTGGCTACACCAGTGACGTGCGGTGGGGGATCAATCATGTGTTCATATGATTATACATCATATAAACCAACAGGAACAGGAGCGGCTTATACACAATTTGTTTGGCTACAGCAGAATATGATTTAATGTCTGCATTGTTTTCTCATACAAAACGCAAACGTTTGTAAAAAGTACAAAGTGTGTTATGGGCCTTACCTTAGGTATTAATGAACAGCACAGACCACTTCAGTTAGGACCAGTTTCATGTTTAAGTCCAGATAATAGTTTGAGCACAGACATGTAATCCTCCATTTGGAAATAAGTTCAATGAGTTTTAAAAAGTAAAAAAAACGGGTGTCTCCTCCGTAAACTCCGAGTTTTGCTGCAGCCGACTCCCGGTTAAATCCAATTTCTAAATTCAACCTTACCCTTCACCTCCTTTTCTTATGATTCATATCATCATTGGAAGCAAAACATTACTCTAAGTGCATTTTAAATTATCTTAAAATGTATTATAGGTATGTTAGCCAAACCTGTAGCTGCCCTTAGCAGAAGAAGAACAAGAAAGGAGCTTTCTGATGGAATTGGATGCAGCCAAAGTTTGGGCTCACAAGCGCCCCCCTGAGGCTTTCCTCACTTACACGCTGTGGTTGAGCGCGATTAAGACCCATATTTGCTTCAAAAACACAATTTATGAGCCATCCTCTTAAATGTAAACATGTTGATTGTAAATTAAATATTTTTGAACTTTTTAAACTGTGATAAACAGAGAAAACAGTTTGATAGCACCTCACAGGACTCTCCCTGTGAGCTGTTGCTTTTTACGTCTCCCAAGAGAGGCTCGCCTCACAGCACCGCTCTGTCAAATCTGCGATTTCAAGGTATAAATAAATGAAATAAGACACAGCACAAATCACTTGATAAAGTGACCAAACATTATTGTATCCATTTTATTACTTTTCTTTCTATGATCTTAGGTGAGGGCCTTGCCTGCCTCATCTGACCGCACGTCACTGGGCTACACAACACAATGAAGCCACCGGAGAGACTGACGCATGAATGCGTATTGAAAAAAAAAAGTTCAGTTTGATAAGTGACTTGCTTGATATATATTGTTTATTTTGTTTTTCTTAACAATTAAGATGGTATGTTATTATCCAGTGTAATCCAAGTATGAGTCTCTCCCTCGACTCTCCCAACAAAAACCCGCCCCCCCTCTCAGAAAATAGTTCCGACGTCCATGCACACACACACACATAACACACACACACACACACGTGTGAAACACAGAGCTACACGTACACAAAGCAAACAGCATGAGGTCGAGAGTGGAGCCTTGGGGAACTCCACAATAGTAAGACGGCAGCAGCAGGAAGAGGAGGGGCAAGAAGGAGGAGAAGCAACAAGAAGGAGCAAAAGAAGGAGCAAGAAGAGAGGGGAAAAAGGAGGAGCAAGGAGAGGAGGCGTGAAAAATGTTATTGTTATTGTGTTGTGTGTTCACCTGTGTTGTTGTGTTATTGTGTTGTGTGTTCACCTGTGTTGTTGTGTTGTGTGTTCACCTGTGTTGTTGTGTTGTGTGTTCACCTGTGTTGTTGTGTAGTGTTTGTGTTGTGTACCTGTGTCGAAGTCCCTCAGTGTTTCTTCTTGGAAGTCTTTGAACAGGTCGAGTCTGAAGCGTCGTTCCAATCCATAACTGTAATATCTGAACAGGCACTCCAGACCATACCTGTCAGAATGTACAACGAACACAGTCAGAATGTACAACAAACACACAGTCAGAATGAACGAACAGTCAGGTGTGTGTGTGTACTTGTAGTTGTGTGTGTGTACTTGTGTGTGTGTACTTGTAGTTGTGTGTGTGTACTTGGAGTTGTGTGTGTGTGTACTTGTAGTTGTGTGTGTGTACTTGTAGTTGTGTGTGGTGTGTGTGTACCTATAGTTGTGTGTGTGTGTGTGTACCTGTAATTTGTGTGTGTGTGTGTGTGTACCTGTAGTTGTGTGTGTGTACCTGTAGTTGTCGTGTGTGTGTACCTGTAGTCTGTGTGTACCTGTAGTTGTGTGTGTGTACCTGTAGTTGTCGTGTGCGTGTACCTATAGTTGTGTGTGTGTACCTGTAGTTGTCGTGTGTGTGTACCTATAGTTGTGTGTGTGTGTACCTATAGCTGTGTGTGTGTGTACCTATAGTTGTCGTGTGTGTGTACCTATAGTTGTCGTGTGTGTGTACCTATAGTTGTCGTGTGTGTGTACCTATAGTTGTGTGTGTGTGTACCTGTAGTTGTGTGTGTGTGTACCTATAGTTGTGTGTACCTATAGTTGTGTGTGTGTGTGTACCTATAGTTGTGTGTGTGTACCTATAGTTGTCGTGTGTGTGTACCTGTAGTTGTGTGTGTACCTGTAGTTGTGTGTGTGTACCTGTAGTTGTCGTGTGTGTACCTGTAGTTGTGTGTGTGTACCTGTAGTTGTGTGTGTGTACCTGTAGTTGTCGTGTGCGTGTACCTATAGTTGTGTGTGTGTGTACCTGTCATGTGTGTGTACCTATAGTTGTGTGTGTGTGTACCTATAGTTGTCGTGTGTGTGTACCTATAGTTGTCGTGTGTGTGTACCTATAGTTGTGTGTGTGTGTACCTATAGTTGTGTGTGTGTACCTGTAGTTGTGTGTGTGTGTACCTGTAGTTGTGTGTGTGTGTACCTATAGTTGTGTGTACCTATAGTTGTGTGTGTGTACCTGTAGTTGTGTGTGTGTGTGTACCTATAGTTGTGTGTACCTATAGTTGTGTGTGTGTACCTATAGTTGTCGTGTGTGTGTACCTGTAGTTGTCGTGTGTGTACCTGTAGTTGTGTGTGTGTACCTGTAGTTGTCGTGTGTGTGTACCTGTAGTTGTCGTGTGTGTGTACCTGTAGTTGTCGTGTGTGTGTACCTGTAGTTGTTGTGTGTGTGTACCTGTAGTGTGTGTGTCTGTGTTGTGTGTGTGTGTACCTGTAGTTGTCGTGTGTGTGTACCTGTAGTTTGTCGTGTGTGTGTACCTGTAGTTGTCGTGTGTGTGTACCTGTAGTTGTCGTGTGTGTGTACCTGTAGTTGTCGTGTGTGTGTACCTGTAGTTGTCGTGTGTGTGTACCTGTAGTTGTCGTGTGTGTGTACCTGTAGTTGTCGTGTGCGTCCTCCAGAGCAAACTGCTTAAACTCTTCGTACATTTTTCTGTTGAAATTATCTCTGAGGAAAAATGACCAAAACCGGAACAAAGAGTTCATCTCCTGAGAGCGGCCGACACCCACACGTTTACGCTCTGCAACACAACACACACAGTTACACACAACACACACGGTTACACAAAAGAAGAACACCACAATGAGTAGTTCGCCATGTAATGCCGCTTTTCCAGTGTCGGTTCAGTTCGGTACGGTACGGTACGGTAGGGCGCGGTTATTTTGCATTTCCACTAGTGATGGTCCCGAAGTTTGCGTTACTTTTTTCGCAACACCTCGACTGCGGTTCCATCTGTGCCGTACCGATACATGACGTGACGTCGGCCGTCTGCCTTACACTGATTGGTCAACAAGTGTCGTCACTGGAAGCGACCTCTGACCCTTTGGGAAAAACAACTCAACCGCCATCTTTAAAACAGGCTGCTCTGCTCGGCTCTGCTTCGGCTACATTACATCCTCCTCACTCCAGAGAAATGGAATCCCACAGAAAGCCCCAAAAGTCCTTTTCTAATGACTATAGGAATGATAAGAAAGAGAGGTGAAGTGTAAGACAGTTGGTTTTAGAAATTGGATGCAGCCGGCTGCAGCAAAACAAAAGTTTATGGAGGACACACGTGTTTTGTTTTACTTTTGAAAACTCATTGGACTCATTTCCAAATTACATATCTACACTCAAACTACAGTGCCTTGCGAAAGTATTCGGCCCCCTTGAACCTTTCAACATTTCGCCACATTTCAGGCTTCAAACATAAAGATATAAAAATTAAATTTTTTGTCAAGAATCAACAACAAGTGGGACACAATCGTGAAGTGGAACGACATTTATTGGATAATTTAAACTTTTTTAACAAATAAAAAACTGAAAAGTGGGGCGTGCAATATTATTCGGCCCCCTTGCGCTAATACTTTGTAGCGCCACCTTTTGCTGCAATTACAGCTGCAAGTCGCTTGGGGTATGTCTCTATCAGTTTTGCACATCGAGAGACTGGAATTCTTACCCATTCTTCCTTGCAAAACAGCTCGAGCTCAGTGAGGTTGGATGGAGAGCGTTTGTGAACAGCAGTCTTCAGCTCTTTCCACAGATTGTCGATTGGATTCAGGTCTGGACTTTGACTTGGCCATTCTAACACCTGGATACGTCTATTTGTGAACCATTCCATTGTAGATTTGGCTTTATGTTTTGGATCATTGTCCTGTTGGAAGATAAATCTCTGTCCCAGTCTCAGGTCTTTTGCAGACTCCAACAGGTTTTCTTCCAGAATGGTCCTGTATTTGGCTCCATCCATCTTCCCATCAATTTTAGCCATCTTCCCTGTCCCTGCTGAAGAAAAGCAGGCCCAAAGCATGATGCTGCCACCACCATGTTTGACAGTGGCGATGGTGTGTTCAGGGTGATGAGCTGTGTTGCTTTTACGCCAAACATATCGTTTTGCATTGTGGCCGAAAATTTCGATTTTGGTTTCATCTGACCAGAGCACCTTCTTCCACATGTTTGGTGTGTCTCCCAGGTGGCTTGTGGCAAACTTTAAACGAGACATTTTATGGATATCTTTGAGAAATGGCTTTCTTCTTGCCACTCTTCCATAAAGGCCAGATTTGTGCAGTGCACGACTGATTGTTGTCCTATGGACAGACTCTCCCACCTCAGCTGTAGTTATCTGCAGTTCATCCAGAGTGATCATGGGCCTCTTGGCTGCATCTCTGATCAGTCTTCTTGTTTGAGAGTAAAGTTTGGAGGGACGGCCGGGTCTTGGTAGATTTGCAGTGGTCTGATACTCCTTCCATTTCAATATAATTGCTTGCACAGTGCTCCTTGATATGTTTAAAGCTTGGGAAATCTTTTTGTGTCCAAATCCGGCTTTAAACTTCTCCACAACAGTATCTCGGACCTGCCTGGTGTGTTCCTTTGTCTTCATGGTTCTCTCTGCGCTTTAAACAGAACCCTGAGACTATCAAAGAGCAGGTGCATTTATACGGAGACTTGATTACACACAGGTGCATTCTATTTATCATCATCAGTCATTTAGGACAACATTGGATCATTCAAAGATCCTCACTGAACTTCTGGACTGAGTTTGCTGCACTGAAAGTAAAGGGGCCGAATAATATTGCACGCCCCACTTTTCAGTTTTTTATTTGTTAAAAAAGTTTAAATTATCCAATAAATGTCGTTCCACTTCACGATTGTCTCCCACTTGTTGTTGATTCATGACAAAAATTTAAAATTTTATATCTTTATGTTTGAAGCCTGAAATGTGGCGAAATGTTGAAAGGTTCAAGGGGGCCGAATACTTTCGCAAGGCACTGTATCATCTGGACTTAAAGGTCCTATATCACGCTTTTCTTCATGTTTCACACTCAATCCTATACACATGTGTGATATTAATGTGTATGATACACCACACAACAATCAAAGCTTGTGAGATTAGAGCCATCTCTTGTATAGAGGTGACGTCACCTCGACTCAAACGAGCTGATCCAGAGAAGAGTCTGCTCCTCTGCCTGTGAGCCCGCCTCCCCCCGCCCGCACGGTGACGTAGCATCACGCTTTTGTCGTTTATCACCTGTACTTAGTAATTTCATACATAAGAATAAACTTTTTCCAACAATGACAATCCGTCACATCGAGCCCTATGTCCTCGATGCACAATCAGACCCTAGTTATTTAGTTTACAGAAGTATACGGCGAGTTAGCGTCACTACTTACAGATCGAGGGGGTCCGAGTATCATCTTTTACCGTGGGAATAACGTGTTTCCACATCAGCTTTTGAGTAAGTCCAGTTCCATTGTCCCTGTAGTTCTGGAACAGTCTCAGTGAAGTGTCGCAGATGAACCGGTTTATAATAGATCCATGAGATGAACAGATGAAAAAAGTCGAGCCGCTTTCTTCCTCTTAGGGCCAAATAGAGCGTCACATATTTACACCCATAACACACTTCATTCAAGTTGACGTGATCCTAACACTTTTAGTTTCTGACAAAAGCATAAAAACAGCAGCTCTATGTGGTGTCCGCGAGACCAGACCACAGACGCTGGACTCGGGAGCCGGAGCCTGTGCGCTCTGATTCGCTGTTTTGATCCGTCAATCACTTCCCGCCGGCTTTTAATTTATTTTTATTTTTTATTATTTTTGACAAAAAACAGCATACTAATTGTGTATTGTTTACCCCGTTTTGACAAAAGTATTTAACAACTATTTTAAATACAAAGCAAACGGGGTCATGCGCGTCATCAGTGTGGTTTTCGTCACTGAAGTGGACCCGAGCGTTTATGTGCCTCACGCTGGGGAAGGAGACCGATTGCTCTCTTACTAAAGATTGACAGAATCAATGAATAAACTACTGTGGGCCTGTGTATGAAGGCCAAATAGCATTGTAATCATGTTTAAAGCAGAGAAAAGTAAAAAACCGTGATATGGGCCCTTTAAACACAGAACTGGTCTGAACTGAAGTGGCCTGTGCAGCTCATTTATAAGGTAAGACCCATAACTCATAGTTTTGCGTTTTGTATGAACAAACAATGCATGAAACATATTCTGCTGTAGCCAAACAAAGTGTCCAGTTGATTTATATGATCATATATATTATATATATATATATATATATATATATATATATATATATATATATATGTTCATCTGATTGGGCTGAAGTCAGTGCTTCACCGGTGTTTCCACATTCACAGTGGAGCGTGTTGGTGTTTAGTGCTTACACAGAGACAGATGAAGAGTGAACAGGACTTCAGCAGCAAAACAGACTTTTCTAGATGGAAATATCAGCACTATTTAAACTCACTGAGTTTAAAGGTTAAAGGTCAACATGCGCACGTCGGGTGCACATTATGTTTGAGAACAAAACAAAAAAGTAATGCAATAGTTACTTTTACTGGTAACTAGTTACTTTTATAGTGGAGTAACTCTGTTAGTAACTCAGTTACTTTTTGGGAGAAGTAACTAATAACTATAACTAATTACTTTTTCAAAGTAACGTGCCCAACACTGGTTAAGTGTAGTACAGTTGTAGCTTTGGAATCCAGGGTTAGTGAGCTGAGTCTCGAGCGAGCGCTAGCATTAGCTATAGCCAGGCCGTATCCTCGGACATGCAGCCCTCCTCTGCACACTGCTCCAAAGGTCCCCTTCAGATTGTACAGAGCACAGTCAGTTTCAGAGTCATTCTTTTAAGACATAAGCATTTTCAACAACTACTCGTGCTGTGCTGAATTTTCTATTAAACACTCGCTGTTCGTCAGTCACTCGCCCAGCGTCCTGCAAAGGCTTTAGGGGCCTCTGCAGGGGGTAAGCAGAGTCCCCTCGGGGGATATTATAATAAATCCATGCACCGCACCAATGTTACTAGTTACACGTCACACGTAAATGATATGGTCTGACAACGCTGAGGACAAACTAGGAGGTACTATTTTTGTTGGAAAAGCACGCGAACTGGACCGTGCCGTGTAGAGTTGAAACGAACCGTAGTGATACTGTGGAAAAGCGGCATAAGAGTCTTTTGTGGTAGTTGTGGAAAAGGTTCTTTCTCCTCTCTGGTCTCTCTCTCTGGTCGCTCTCTCTGGTCTCTCTCTCTGGTCTCTCTCTCTGGTCTCTCTCTCTGGTCTCTCTCTCTCTGGTCTCTCTCTCTGGTCTCTCTCTCTGGTCTCTCTCTCTGGTCTCTCTCTCTGGTCTCTCTGGTCTCTCTCTCTGGTCTCTCTCTCTGGTCTCTCTCTCTGGTCTCTCTCTCTGGTCTCTCTCTCTGGTCTCTCTCTCTGGTCTCTCTCTCTGGTCTCTCTCTCTGGTCTCTCTCTCTGGTCTCTCTCTCTGGTCTCTCTCTGGTCTCTCTCTCTGGTCTCTCTCTCTGGTCTCTCTCTCTGGTCTCTCTCTCTGGTCTCTCTCACCGTTGAGGCAGCGGCGCCTGTACTTATGGTAGCCCTGTTGGGTGAAGCCGTTGTCCCGGAGCAGGTCATGTGACGGGTGCCAGAACTTGGGCAGAGACTGAGGCGTGTTGGAGACTGGGGCACCCTCAGAGGGGGACGCATTAGAGCTGCTGTGGGAACAAACACACACTCACAATCTGGGGAGAGAGACCAGAGAGAGAGATACTAGGGGGAGAGACCAGGGAGAGAAACCAGAGAGAGAGGCCAGGGAGGGAGACCAGAGAGAATGACCAGAGAGACCAAAGAAAGGCCAGAGAGAGAGCAGAGACAGAGACTAGAGAGAGAGAGCAGAGAGAGAGAGAGCAGAGAGAGAGAGCAGAGACAGACCAGAGAGAGACCAAAGAGAGGCCAGAGAGCTAGTGTTTGCAGAGGAGTCTTACCTGATGGAGGTGGATCGGGGTCTGTGTCCGCGGGAGTCTAGGACCCAGCCGATGTGGCTCTCCAGGGGCGGGTCTGAGCTGTGCCGGGTCTTCTTCTTACGAGGAGTCTGCAACAGGCACCAGTGAGAGGCCGAGTTATACCATGTGTGTCATTCTGAGGATGTGTGAAACTACAAGACAGAAGAGAGGAGAGGAGAGAGGACAGAAGAGGAGAGAGAAGAGAGAGAAGAGGAGAGGGAAGAGGAGAGGAGAGAGAAGACAGGAGAAGAGAAGAAGAGAGAGAGGACAGAAGAGAGGAGAGAGAGGAGAGGAGAGAGGACAGAAGAGAGGAGAGAATAGGAGAGAGAGGACAGAAGAGAGAAGAGGAGAGAGAGGAGAGGAGAGAGGAGAGGAGAGAGAAGAGGAGAGAAGACAGAAGAGAGGAGAGGACAGAAGAGAGAAGAGGAGAGAGGAGAGAAGAGAGGAGAGAGAAGAGGAGAGAGAAGACAGAAGAGAGGAGAGAAGGAGAGAAGAGGACAGAAGAGAGAAGAGGAGAGAGAGAAGAGGAGAGAAGACAGAAGAGAGGAGAGAAGAAGAGAGAGGAGAGGAGAGAGAAGAGGAGAGAGGAGAGAAGAGAGGAGAGAGAAGAGGAGAGAGAAGACAGAAGAGAGGAGAGAAGGAGAGAAGAGGACAGAAGAGAGAAGAGGAGAGAGAGAAGAGGAGAGAAGACAGAAGAGAGAGAGAGAGAAGAGAGAGGAGAGGAGAGAGAAGAGGAGAGAGAAGAAAGGAGAAAGGAGAGGAGAGAGAAGAGGAGAGAGAAGACAGAAGAGAGGAGAGAGAAGAGAGGAGAGTAGAGAGAAGAGGAGAGAGAAGAGAGAGGAGAGAGAGAAGAGGAAAGAAGAGAGGAGAGAGAAGAGGAGAGAGGAGAGGAGAGAGAAGAGGAGAGAGAAGACAGAAGAGAGGAGACAGAAGAGAAGAGAGAGGAGAGAGAGACGACAGAAGAGGGGAGAGGGAAGAGAAGAGAGAGGAGTTGTGGAGTTTTAAGAAAATTCAGGAAATGGAACTGGAAAACTGTGTGTGTGAAACTCACCTGATCGTCAATGGAGCCGCTCTCTTTTATCACGGGGTAAAATCTGGGCGTCTTGTTTGGGTCGCAGCGGCCGGGGGTGCGGGGGGTGCGGGGGCTGGGGGAGGGGGGGGCAGAGGGGGACAGCTCCACGGTGTCTACTGCAAAACAACAGAGATACAAGTCTGTACAAAGAGGGTCCCACTCTGGAGTGGCCTTAGCCCACTCTGGACCGGCCCACTCTGGACCGGCCCACTCTGGACCGGCCCACTCTGGACCGGCCCACTCTGGACCCGCCCTCTCTGGACCCGCCCTCTCTGGACCCGCCCTCTCTGGACTGGCCCACTCTCGACCCGCCATGTCAAAATGCCATCTTTTTGTGCGGTGTACGCTTGTAGCAACCGCACAGAGAGAGAGAAAGACCAGAGTTTGTTCATGTTCCAACTGTGGTCTCATATAAAGGAGGATACTTTGAAGAAATCACTGGAATGAGGCGGAGGTGGATCAAGGCTTTCCCAGATAAGTGCCCCCTGCAGGCCACCCCGATGAAACACAGCCATTTCTTCTGTTTTTTTTTTTTCCCAAAATGTCCGAAATCAAGACTATTTAGATAAATATTGTTTAGTACGCCCTTAGATTTGAGTGTCCCCGATTAAGACATGTTCCAACAACCGTACACTGCACAGGAGGAGAGCCTTTGACTCCAAAACAGACTTTACATGGTTTTCAATGGGAGCAAAACTGTCCCATCTCTGCTCATGCGCCCCCTACAGGCCAGGTTCAGGAAACCCAAGAATAGGCACACATGATAATTGAAAAAGATATAACACTGTGGGGGCGGAGCTTCACCTGTCACAGGAAGGGGCGGGACTTCCTGGTTGGGGTCCACAGATGTTTTGGGTGTGAGCGTTTGGAATTCATCCTGAGAAATCAGCGTCAACTTCTTAAAGCTCCCAGACTCCTGGAACAAAGAGGAAAGTGTGAGGAGCTAGTGTCATCAGGAGCTAGTGTCACCAGGAGCTAGCGTCACCAGGAGCTAGCGTCACCAGGAGCTAGCGTCACCAGGAGCTAGCGTCACCAGGAGCTACCGTCACCAGGAGCTACTGTCACCAGGAGCTAGTGTCACCAGGAGCTAGCGTCACCAGGAGCTAGCGTCACCAGGAGCTACTGTCACCAGGAGCTAGTTTCATCAGGAGCTAGCGTCACCAGGAGCTAGCGTCACCAGGAGCTAGCGTCACCAGGAGCTAGCGTCACCAGGAGCTACTGTCACCAGGAGCTACTGTCACCAGGAGCTACTGTCACCAGGAGCTACTGTCACCAGGAGCTACTGTCATCAGGAGCTAGTGTCACCAGGAGCTAGCGTCACCAGGAGCTAGCGTCACCAGGAGCTAGCGTCACCAGGAGCTAGCGTCACCAGGAGCTACTGTCACCAGGAGCTACTGTCATCAGGAGCTACTGTCACCAGGAGCTACTGTCATCAGGAGCTACTGTCACCAGGAGCTACTGTCACCAGGAGCTACTGTCACCAGGAGCTAGCGTCATCAGAAGCTACTGTCACCAGGAGCTAGCGTCACCAGGAGCTACTGTCACCAGGAGCTAGCGTCATCAGAAGCTACTGTCACCAGGAGCTAGCGTCACCAGGAGCTAGCGTCACCACGAGCTAGCGTCACCAGGAGCTAGCGTCACCAGGAGCTAGCGTCACCAGGAGCTAGCGTCACCAGGAGCTAGCGTCACCAGGAGCTAGCGTCACCAGGAGCTAGCGTCACCAGGAGCTAGCGTCACCAGGAGCTAGCGTCACCAGGAGCTAGCGTCATCAGGAGCTAGCGTCATCAGAAGCTAGCGTCACCACGAGCTAGCGTCACCAGGAGCTAGAGTCACCAGGAGCTAGCGTCACCAGGAGCTAGCGTCACCAGGAGCTAGCGTCACCAGGAGCTAGCGTCACCAGGAGCTAGCGTCACCAGGAGCTAGCGTCACCAGGAGCTAGCGTCACCAGGAGCTAGCGTCACCAGGAGCTAGCGTCACCAGGAGCTAGCGTCACCAGGAGCTAGCGTCACCAGGAGCTAGCGTCACCAGGAGCTAGCGTCACCAGGAGCTAGCGTCACCAGGAGCTAGCGTCACCAGGAGCTACCGTCACCAGGAGCTAGCGTCACCAGGAGCTAGAGTCACCAGGAGCTAGCGTCACCAGGAGCTAGCGTCACCAGGAGCTAGAGTCACCAGGAGCTAGCGTCACCAGGAGCTAGGGTCATGAGGAGCTAGTGTCACCAGGAGCTAGCGTCACCAGGAGCTAGCGTCACCAGGAGCTAGCGTCACCAGGAGCTAGCGTCACCAGGAGCTAGCGTCATCAGGAGCTAGCGTCATCAGAAGCTAGCGTCATTAGGAGCTAGTGTCACCAGGAGCTAGCGTCACCAGGAGCTAGCGTCATCAGGAGCTAGCGTCATCAGAAGCTAGCGTCATTAGGAGCTAGTGTCACCAGGAGCTAGCGTCACCAGGAGCTAGCGTCATCAGGAGCTAGCGTCACCAGGAGCTAGCGTCACCAGGAGCTAGCGTCACCAGGAGCTAGCGTCACCAGGAGCTAGCGTCACCAGGAGCTAGCGTCACCAGGAGCTACCGTCATCAGAAGCTAGCGTCACCAGGAGCTAGAGTCATCAGGAGCTAGCGTCATCAGGAGCTAGCGTCATCAGGAGCTACCGTCATTAGGAGCTAGAGTCACCAGGAGCTAGTGTCACCAGGAGCTAGTGTCACCAGGAGCTAGCGTCATCAGGAGCTACCGTCATTAGGAGCTAGTGTCACCAAGAGCTAGTGTCACCAGGAGCTAGTGTCACCAGGAGCTAGTGTCACCAGGAGCTACTGTCACCAGGAGCTAGCGTCACCAGGAGCTAGCGTCACCAGGAGCTAGAGTCACCAGGAGCTAGTGTCACCAGGAGCTAGTGTCACCAGGAGCTAGTGTCACCAGGAGCTAGTGTCACCAGGAGCTAGTGTCACCAGGAGCTAGTGTCACCAGGAGCTAGTGTCACCAGGAGCTAGTGTCACCAGGAGCTAGTGTCACCAGGAGCTAGAGTCACCAGGAGCTAGTGTCACCAGGAGCTAGTGTCACCAGGAGCTAGAGTCACCAGGAGCTAGTGTCACCAGGAGCTAGTGTCACCAGGAGCTAGAGTCACCAGGAGCTAGTGTCACCAGGAGCTAGTGTCACCAGGAGCTAGTGTCACCAGGAGCTAGTGTCACCAGGAGCTAGTGTCACCAGGAGCTAGTGTCACCAGGAGCTAGAGTCACCAAGAGCTAGTGTCCACCAGGAGCTAGCTACTGTCACCAGGAGCTAGAGTCACCAGGAGCTAGTGTCACCAGGAGCTAGTGTCACCAGGAGCTAGTGTCACCAGGAGCTAGTGTCACCAGGAGCTAGTGTCACCAGGAGCTAGTGTCACCAGGAGCTAGTGTCACCAGGAGCTAGTGTCACCAGGAGCTACTGTCACCAGGAGCTACTGTCACCAGGAGCTACTGTCACCAGGAGCTAGTGTCACCAGGAGCTAGTGTCACCAGGAGCTAGTGTCACCAGGAGCTAGAGTCACCAGGAGCTAGTGTCACCAGGAGCTAGAGTCACCAGGAGCTAGAGTCACCAGGAGCTAGAGTCACCAAGAGCTAGTGTCACCAGGAGCTACTGTCACCAGGAGCTAGAGTCACCAGGAGCTAGTGTCACCAGGAGCTAGTGTCACCAGGAGCTAGAGTCACCAGGAGCTAGAGTCACCAGGAGCTAGTGTCACCAGGAGCTAGAGTCACCAGGAGCTAGAGTCACCAGGAGCTAGAGTCACCAGGAGCTAGAGTCACCAGGAGCTAATTTTGTGACATGTACGCTTGGAAATTGCACTTCGTTCAAAGTGCGCAGATCCAGAATGGGACCACCCCTCCTGACTTCAGGTTCTTTGGCACTAAGAAGTAATGGGGACTAGAGCCCCCTGGTGGCGTCCTTGGGTCTACCTCTACTGCTCGCCTCGACATAGCCGAGAGGAGACTCCACTTGCAGTGCCACTAATGATCCCCGTACCTGAGAGCGAGCTGCCACCACGACCCGGAATGGCGGTGGCTTTTTGGGATAGTTCAATGCCTAGCCCTGCGCATGGTCTACTCTATCCACTGAACCGACATTAAGCCCTGCTCCCACCAGATGCTGTATAAAGTCTGTGAGGGGCGGAACGGGAACTGGAACACTAGACGTCACAGGCCCCGCCCTCATCCTGGTGTTCCTAGCAGGGAAGGGGGGGTGGAACCAAGCCCCGGCGATCCAAGATGGCGCCCTATTCAAATGAATGGTTGTGCTCAGGGCGTTCAGACCAATTTCGCGATTTCTGCGCAAAGAACTTAGGGAAATCGCGTATATCGCAGCGGCAGTTGAGCCGCTTGTCTCACGGAGCACAAATTGTGGCAGCCGCTGTCACAGAGATACTTGGCTTGTGACAAATTTGTGACGCGCGTCACAGAGAAACTTGGCCGCGCGGCCAGGACACTAGAGGGCAGCCGCTGTCACAGAGCGTTGAGAGCGTTTAGGGCGGGGCTTGTCTCTTTTTGCCTGTAGCTTCCCAAAATGGATGTCAGCGAAGGAGTTGCTTGGCTCTATCTAATAAATAAAGCCAGACAGCGTCGTCAAAGGGCGAATCGACGACGTGTCTGGATTCACCAGATAGTCCGTAGACGGTTGGGAGTTTGGTGAGTTTCACCATTTGCTCCGGGAGCTGCGCTCGATGAGGGTCGCTTTCAGCGGTACTCTTCGTCTCTCCCTGGCCCAGTTTGACGACCTACTGACCGCAATTGGCTGCAAGGATCACCTACCAGGACACCACACTATTCCAGCTGAAGAGCGCTTCCTATTCCAGCTGTTTTTTTACCCCATTAAAATTACTTAAAAATTATAGTCATTTTTCAATCCATCTGTAATGCTCAGGTATTTATGCAACAATTTGGTTTTTTACTGCCATATGATGTTTACGGCCAATCGTTTAAACGGTATTTTATGCTACCCAAGTTTTGTCACGTGATTTTGTTTACTTTCCTGAAAAAAGTGTGTTATGTGTCGGAACCCTGGTGGTGGGTTGCGGGATATCAAGGAGGGGCACACTGGGGCAATTTCAGTCCAGCAGGCTGGAGCCAATCATGGAGCAGCACAACAGAGGAAATCAGGTGTCAGGCTAGAAAAAGGTGCAAGTGTGTGGTTCATTAGGCTGCAAGAAATCATGGAGGAGCACACTGAAGCGCACGCTTACAAACCACTGGTAAGTGCTGACTACAAGTCATGACTTCAAATTGTTATATAGAATGATTACAAATTATTTGTTGTTTGTGCAGCTTAGTCAAGAGTCCCTAATTGATGAAGTCGACTCAGATTCTGACGATTTAACTGTCAAGAAGAAACCTGTAAAAAAGTATGGAAAAAGAAAAATCAAAAACACTTTTCTTCAAGACTCGGAAAGTGACGAACCAAAGGCAAATAAGATTGTTATCATGCAGCTGCAAAAGAAGAAAAATGGGGGGCGAGTATACAGCAAGAGACACTTCTGCCTCTACTGTTCAATGTCCTGCCACAAAATGTCCCGTCATTTGACTAGAAAACATGGAAATGAAAGTGACGTAGCCAGAGCATTGGCTCTACCTGTGAAATCTAAAGCACGTAAACTTCAGTTTGATTTGATCAGGAATAGTGGAAACCGTGAGCACAATTTTGAGGTTTTAAAGGCCGGCATTGGAACTTTAGTCCCAGCTAAACAGCCAAATTGCCCAGTTAAATCCAGTGAGTTTTTGCACTGTATAGACTGTGGGGCATTGCTTAAGCGAAAGTCGCTGTGGAGGCATGTGGCCAGGTGCCGGCTTTCACAGAAAGATGCCCAGGCTAAACCAGGTAGAAGTAGGGTCCAGTCCCTCTGCTCCCTAGCCCAGCCTGTACCGGAGGGCATCAGCAAAAAGCTGTGGTCTTTAATTTCGGCAATGCATCAGGATGAGGTCACGGGTGTTGTCAAAGCAGAAAAGGGGATTCTGAGACTCGGAGAGCACCTGTACTTAAAACACGGGCATGATAAGACAAAGCATGATTACATTAGGCAGAAAATGAGAGAAGTCGGTAGGTTAATTAACGAAGCAAAAACCGCAGGGAAACTGAAAACAATTAAGGATTTCTTTATTCCTTCCAACTTTAACCATGTGATTGATGCAGTCAGGTCTGTGGCTGGATATGATGAGGAAACAAATCAATACAAGACTCCATCCTTGGCCCTCAAACTCGGCCATAGCCTCAGAAAGCTAGCAGATATTCTTGAATGTGACTCAAAAATGGAGCATTGTGTTGATGAACTATTTATTAAAAACCTCCAACGAAGCCGGCTGCTTTTTGAGAAGAGGTGGGACGTCTGTGTTTCTTCTGCTGCCCTACAGACCCTCCGGCAAGCCAAGTGGAACACTCCGGACCTGCTCCCTCTGACTGAGGACGTTAGAGCCATGCATGCACATATTGAGGTATGTCGACCTGAATATGTGCAAACCCTAATAAGTGAGCCAACGTCTAAGCATTGGTCTAAACTGGCAGTTTTGACTCTTTGTGAGGTCATCATTTTCAATCGAAGAAGGGAAGGTGAGGTTTCAAAGATGCCACTGACAGCCTTTACCTTAAGAAGTAAGACTGGGATCCATTCTGACATTGCTCTGGGACTGTCCCAACTTGAGAAAAAGCTGTGTCAGCATTTTCAACGCATTGAAATTAAAGGGAAAAGAAGTCGGAAAGTGCCGGTTCTTTTGACTCCTGAAATGATTGCTTCGATGGAGGTGCTGGTGGAGAACAGAAGGGCCTGTTCCATCTCTGACCATAACCCATACTTCTTTTCCCGCCCGGGCGCAGACACCCACATCAGGGGATCAGACTCCCTACGCCAGGTAGCCAAAGAATGTGGTGCGGTGCATCCAGAGATGCTATCCTCAACCAAACTTAGAAAGCACATAGCTACTATGTCTACAGTTCTCAATATGAAAGAGAATGAGATGGACATACTTGCCAACTTCCTCGGCCATGACATTCGCATCCACAGGCAATATTACAGACTACCAGAGGGGACACTGGAGCTGGCCAAAATCAGCAAAGTGTTGATGGCCATGGAGCAGGGAAGAGTGACGGAATTCGAAGGAAAGAGCCTCGACCAGATACAAATTGAGCCTGAAGGTAATTCTTGATATTATTAAAATATGTATGATTTTTTTCCCTAAAGGCCACTTGTATTTTTATTTTCTGTGCGACAGGGAGAGCAGTAGAGATCCTCTCACAAACGGACGGGCTAAAAGAAACTTCAAGCGGAGAACCTTCAACCATTCATCCAGATGCACCCCATGGTAGTGGCAGTGCCCTTCTGGTAAGTGTACCAGGTGGGGGATTACAGCCAGGCTGCTTGGTCCTCACCCTGGGAGTGTATATTGCTAATATATTTTTATTTCTCTCCCTAGAACGTGTAAGAAAGCCATGGTCTGCATCTGAGGTGAAGGCTGTGGAGAAGACCATGACACCTTTCATACAGACTGGAAAGGTCCCTGGGAAGTCTCACTGCCTGGCCTGCATTAATGCCTCACCAGATGACCTTAGACATCGGACATGGAGTGGCATTAAATTCTATGTCAAAAATAGAATCACTGCAATTCGAAAACAAAATCTAAAATAAAATTCCTTTAAAATAGTTGTTTGGTTTCTATTGACTGTTTTGTATTACTTAAAGTCTTGGTAAAAAAAGATTATGTCTATGGGTCCCATTCTGAACGGCCCTGTCAAAGGGACCCACCAGGTAACAAAAACGTGTATGTGTGGTGTGTGTGTGTGTGTGTGGTGTGTGTGTGTGTGTGCGTGTGTGTTGTGTGTGTGTGTGTGTGCACTTGTTTTCAACTCCTGGTGGGTTCCATAACCTGAGATTCCACTCACGTCATGGGGACTGGTTTTACGTGGTGGGGCCCGAACACCGGACCCCACTGGTCCAAGCTTAATAATCAATGGGTAATGCTTTTCTAACGGTCCTTATGCAGTCTCTGTAAAAATATGGAAAGGACCCTGGAGGTTTACTTTCCTGAAAAAAGTGTGTTATGTGTCGGAACCTGGTGGTGGGTTGCGGGATATCAAGGAGGGGCACACTGGGGCAATTTCAGTCCAGCAGGCTGGAGCCAATCATGGAGCAGCACAACAGAGGAAATCAGGTGCAGCAAAAGGTGGCGCTACAAAGTATTAGCGCAAGGGGGCCGAATAATATTGCACGCCCCACTTTTCAGTTTTTTATTTGTTAAAAAAGTTTAAATTATCCAATAAATTTCATTCCACTTCACGATTGTGTCCCACTTGTTGTTGATTCTTGACAAAAAAAATATTTTATATATCTTTATGTTTGAAGCCTGAAATGTGGCGAAATGTTGAAAGGTTCAAGGGGGCCGAATACTTTCGCAAGGCACTGTAGACTGTAAATAGTAAGATAGTTGGCGTCGCTGGCACCGCCCTAAGTTGGTTTAGGTCTTACCTTGAAGACAGGAAGTACTTTGTGGAGATTGGAAACTGTGTCTCAGATCATATGGCCCTGACCTGTGGAGTACCACAGGGGTCGATCCTGAGACCTCTTCTGTTCAATCTCTACATGCTGCCGTTAGGTCAGTTAATACGCAGAAACAAAGTGTCCTATCACAACTATGCAGACGACACTCAGATCTATGTCTCACTGACTGCAGGAGAACATGGACCAGTGGACTCACTCCTTCACTGTATCCAACAGATCAGTGAGTGGATGCAAAACAACTTCCTTCAGCTAAACGCAGACAAAACTGAAATGATTGTCTTTGGTCCCCAGAAACAAAGAGAGAGCGTCATCTGTCACCTACAGTCTCTCTCCCTAAAACCTTCAAACAAGGTCAGAAATCTAGGGGTAATACTGGACTCAGACTTAAATTTTAATAGCCACATCAAATCAGTTATGAGATTTCATAACACTTTGAAGCAACTTTTGTTAAAGTTAAACTCATCATTCTATCAATGTGCAGAAGCCAGTACTTTTCCCTTGTTTTGTCTATCTGAAGGCCAAGCTACAAGCACACTGTGGAAGCTGCTGATTGGAGGTCTCCATGCCTCCGCTCTGTATAATACACTTGCATTCTGTTGTATCTGTGATCGTGTGCTTTGATCGTGCTGTCTCTACCATTGACAATAAAACATGTCTTCTGTCTGAATTAAAGACGCGATCCCAGACTTTGTCATCTTCTTCACAGTAACATCAGCAGCTTTTTACCATCTAAAAAACATTGCCAGGATCAAAAACATAGTGTCTAAAGCAGACTTGGAGATTCTTATCCATGCATTTGTCTCCAGTAGGTTAGACCAGTGGTTCCCAAAGTGGGGGTCCCGACCCCCCGGGGGGTCGCGGGAACCCCTGGGGGGGTTGCAAGATGATTTCCACACAAACAAAAAAAAATTTTTTTTTTTTTTTTGAGCAAATATAAAGCCTTTAAATATTTATTTAGCATTTGATTTGATTCAAAAGGACTACTTGTTAAATTGTGTTTGGAGACTATAATATATTTTAATAACGTTAGTAATTTTGTCCCAGTCATTGCAGCGTCAATCAAAATCATCACGTAACACAGCTCACATCATGCGCAGCGACAAAGCGTGTCCAGCTGTTGTTTGCTAAAACTAAAGGTGTTTTGAGGCTACAAATAAATAATACCTGCTTTAAAATGAAACGTGGTTAATATCCACAACAGAAAAACCCGGAGGGGGAGAAAAGTCACTTGTATCAGGGGTCAGGCTGATGGTGCGAAGAGAGGGAGAGAGGGCAGCGGAGGGAGAGAGGGCAGAGGAGGGAGAGAGGGCAGCGGAGGGAGAGAGGGCAGAGGAGGGAGAGAGGGCAGCGGAGGGAGAGAGGGCAGAGGAGGGAGGGCAGCGGAGGGAGAGAGGGCAGAGGAGGGAGAGAGGGCAGCGGAGGGAGAGAGGGCAGCGGAGGGAGAGAGGGCAGCGGAGGGAGAGAGGGCAGAGGAGGGAGAGAGGGCAGCGGAGGGAGAGAGGGCAGCGGAGGGAGAGAGGGCAGAGGAGGGAGAGAGGGCAGAGGAGGGAGAGAGGGCAGCGGAGGGAGAGAGGGCAGAGGAGGGAGAGAGGGCAGCGGAGGGAGAGAGGGCAGAGGAGGGAGAGAGGGCAGCGGAGGGAGAGAGGGCAGCGGAGGGAGAGAGGGCAGAGGAGGGAGAGAGGGCAGAGGAGGGAGGGCAGCGGAGGGAGAGAGGGCAGAGGAGGGAGAGAGGGCAGCGGAGGGAGAGAGGGCAGCGGAGGGAGAGAGGGCAGCGGAGGGAGAGAGGGCAGCGGAGGGAGAGAGGGCAGCGGAGGGAGAGAGGGCAGAGGAGGGAGAGAGGGCAGAGGAGGGAGAGAGGGCAGAGGAGGGAGAGAGGGCAGAGGAGGGAGAGAGGGCAGCGGAGGGAGAGAGGGCAGAGGAGGGAGAGAGGGCAGAGGAGGGAGAGAGGGCAGCGGAGGGAGAGAGGGCAGAGGAGGGAGAGAGGGCAGCGGAGGGAGAGAGGGCAGAGGAGGGAGAGAGGGCAGCGGAGGGAGAGAGGGCAGAGGAGGGAGGGCAGCGGAGGGAGAGAGGGCAGAGGAGGGAGAGAGGGCAGAGGAGGGAGAGAGGGCAGAGGAGGGAGTTAGCCGCGGGTTAGCAGGGCATTTATGATGGGGGTCGCGGGCTAAAAACTTTGGGAACCCCTGGGTTAGACTACTGCAATGGCCTGCTCACAGGTCTGTCCAAACAGGCTGTAAAACAGCTGCAGTACATTCAAAATGCAGCAGCTCGAGTCCTGACTAGAACCAGGAAGTACGACCACATTAGTCCTGACTAGAACCAGGAAGTACGACCACATTAGTCCTGACTAGAACCAGGAAGTACGACCACATTAGTCCTTGTCACTCCCGTATTCGTCCCGGAAACCGGATTCGTCCGGAAGTTCAGTTTGCGCATGTCAAAAAGTTTAATATGTCCTTAAGTGGTGACTGGTTAAGTTTAGGCGTCTGATTAAGATGGTTAAGTTTAGGGTTAAGGCTGGGTTGGGGTTATTTTATGGGAATGGCTGGTTAAGTTTAGGCATGAATAGGTGGTTTTTTATATTTACTTCCGCTTCCGTCCAGATTCCGTGACGTAATCTACTGCTGCGTATGCTCATTGGATCAAACTGAACTTCCGGACGAATCCGGTTTCCGGGACGAATACGGGAGTGACAGTCCTGACTAGAACCAGGAAGTACGACCACATTAGTCCTGACTAGAACCAGGAAGTACGACCACATTAGTCCTGACTAGAACCAGGAAGTACGACCACATTAGTCCAGTCCTCAGGTCTCTGCACTGGCTTCCTGTGGCTCAGAGAATAGACTTTAAAACAGCTCTGCTTGTTACAAGTCTCTCCATGGCCTCGCACCAAAATATATTAGTGACATGTTAGTCCCATATGAACCAGCCCGGACTCTGAGGAGCACAGGGACTGGACTCCTGCTGGGACTCTGAGGAGCACAGGGACTGGACTCCTGCTGGGACTCTGAGGAGCACAGGGACTGGACTCCTGTTAGTGCCCAGAGTCAGGACTAAACATGGGGAGGCTGCTTTTCAGATTCATGCTGCTAAAATCTGGAACAATCTTCCTGAAGATGTGAGACAGGCCTCCTCTCTGACAATGTTTAAAACCAGGTTAAAGACTGTTCTGTTTAGCTGTGCTACAACTGAGGGATTTTATATTTTTATCTTTCTTTTTAATGTTCTGTGATTATTTATGATTTTAATGCTTTCTTATTTTGTTCAGCACTTTGAGTTGCCTTGTGTATGAATTGTGCTATACAAATAAACTTGCCTTGCCTTGCCTTGTGATGTTAAGAGGTGTCGCTTCCCCCGTGGGCCGCTAGGGGACGTGTGCAGTGGGTTTAGCTCAGTAATGCTCCCTCTGCAGTTCCCCCGTGGGCCGCTAGGGGCGCCTGCTGCGTGTTGACAGCGCACTGAGGCGGACTGACGCGTGCTGCTGCTGCTGTTACGTTTGGACTTTTGAAACTTTTGAAACTTCGTGAAACTCGAGCAAACGGAGCTGTCTGCGTGAGTGCGTGCGCATGGAGGGCCCCTACACACTTGTAGACGTGTGTATCCACTTCAGAGGCCGGAGGACCCCCGCGCTCTGCCGCTAAAGACGACTCTTCTCCCGGACTGGCGCATGGTGCTGGGCTGAGTTAGCTCTGGAGCTAACGAGGCTAAAGCTAACTGCAGCTGTTTACAGCACGGAGCTAAGGGCTAAAGCTAAAGCTAACGCGTGATGTCCGCAGAGGTGCAGAGCGAACCCGCGCGTGTCATGCTCTGTCCCCCCACAGAGAACCCCCCACACACGGACTCGGACCCCCCCGGGACCCCACCGCACACGGACCCCACGGACTCCAGAGCCCCCCGGAAAACACCCCACAGCGACAAGGAGAACGAGGGGAGCGAAGTGGACGCGCGCGGGAGCGAAGCGGACGCGTCTTTGCGAAGAGTGGAAGCGCCTCCACCGCGAGTCAACGTGTGGAGCAACAGACCCACGGGCCGCGTGTCCCACACACAGGACAGAGGTGAGACATGTCCACAGACAGGACAGAGGTGAGACATATCCACTGACCGGACAGAGACAAGATAGAGGTGAGACATGTCCAGAGACAGGACAGAGGTGAGGCATGTCCCACAGACAGGACAGAGGTGAGGCATGTCCCACAGACAGGACAGAGGTGAGACATGTCCAGAGACAGGACAGAAACAGGACAGAGGTGAGACATGTCCAGAGACAGGACAGAGGTGAGGCATGTCCCACAGACAGGACAGAGGTGAGGCATGTCCCACAGACAGGACAGAGGTGAGACATGTCCAGAGACAGGACAGAAACAGGACAGAGGTGAGACATGTCCACAGACAAGACAGAGGTGAGACATGTCCACAGACAGGAAAAAGGTGAGACATGTCCACAGACCGGACAGAGGTGAGACATGTCCAAAGACAGGACAGAGGTGAGACATATCCACTGACCGGACAGAGACAAGATAGAGGTGAGACATGTCCAGAGACAGGACAGAGGTGAGGCATGTCCCACAGACAGGACAGAGGTGAGACATGTCCAGAGACAGGACAGAAACAGGACAGAGGTGAGACATGTCCACAGACAAGACAGAGGTGAGACATGTCCACAGACAGGAAAAAGGTGAGACATGTCCACAGACCGGACAGAGGTGAGACATGTCCAAAGACAGGACAGAGGTGAGACATGTCCAGAGACAGGACAGAGGTGAGACATGTCCAGAGACAGGGCAGAGGTGAGACATGTCCAGAGACAGGACAGAGGTGAGGCATGTCCCACAGACAGGACAGAGGTGAGACATGTCCCACAGACAGGACAGAGGTGAGACATGTCCAGAGACAGGACAGAGGTGAGACATGTCCAGAGACAGGGCAGAGGTGAGACATGTCCAGAGACAGGACAGAGGTGAGGCATGTCCCACAGACAGGACAGAGGTGAGACATGTCCAGAGACAGGACAGAAACAGGACAGAGGTGAGACATGTCCACAGACAGGAAAAAGGTGAGACATGTCCACAGACCGGACAGAGGTGAGACATGTCCACAGACAGGACAGAGGTGAGACATGTCCAGAGACAGGACAGAGGTGAGACATGTCCAGAGACAGGACAGAGGTGAGACATGTCCAGAGACAGGGCAGAGGTGAGACATGTCCAGAGACAGGACAGAGGTGAGACATGTCCAGAGACAGGACAGAGGTGAGACATGTCCAGAGACAGGACAGAGGTGAGACATGTCCAGAGACAGGACAGAGGTGAGACATGTCCAGAGACAGGACAGAGGTGAGACATGTCCAGAGACAGGACAGAGGTGAGACATGTCCAGAGACAGGACAGAGGTGAGACATGTCCAGAGACAGGACAGAGGTGAGACATGTCCAGAGACAGGACAGAGGTGAGACATGTCCAGAGACAGGTCAGAGGTAAGACATGTCCCATAGAAAAGATAGAGGTGAGACATGTCCCATAGACAAGATAGAGGTGAGACATGTCCCACAGACAGAACAGTGGTGAGACATGTCCCACAGACAGAACAGTGGTGAGACATGTCCCACGGACAGAACAGTGGTGAGACATGTCCCAGGGACAGGTCAGAGGTAAGACATGTCCCAGAGACAGGTCAGACGTAAGACAGGACAGAGGTGAGACATGTCCCACAGACAGGACAGAGGTGAGACATGTCCCACAGACAGGACAGAGGTGAGACATGTCCCACAGACAGGAAAGAGGTGAGACATGTCCCACAGACAGGAAAGAGGTGAGACATGTCCCACAGACAGGAAAGAGGTGAGACATGTCCCACAGACAGGAAAGAGGTGAGACATGTCCCACAGACAGGAAAGAGGTGAGACATGTCCCACAGACAGGAAAGAGGTGAGACATGTCCCACAGACAGGAAAGAGGTGAGACATGTCCCACAGACAGGAAAGAGGTGAGACATGTCCCACAGACAGGAAAGAGGTGAGACATGTCCCACAGACAGGAAAGAGGTGAGACATGTCCCACAGACAGGAAAGAGGTGAGACATGTCCCACAGACAGGAAAGAGGTGAGACATGTCCCACAGACAGGAAAGAGGTGAGACATGTCCCACAGACAGGAAAGAGGTGAGACATGTCCCACAGACAGGAAAGAGGTGAGACATGTCCCACAGACAGGAAAGAGGTGAGACATGTCCCACAGACAGGAAAGAGGTGAGACATGTCCCACAGACAGGAAAGAGGTGAGACATGTCCCACAGACAGGAAAGAGGTGAGACATGTCCCACAGACAGGAAAGAGGTGAGACATGTCCCACAGACAGGAAAGAGGTGAGACATGTCCCAGAGACAGGACAGAGGTGAGACATGTCCAGAGACAGGTCAGAGGTAAGACATATCCCATAGACAAGACAGAGGTGAGACATGTCCCATAGACAAGATAGAGGTGAGACATGTCCCACAGACAGAACAGTGGTGAGACATGTCCCAGGGACAGGTCAGAGGTAAGACATGTCCCAGAGACAGGTCAGACGTAAGACAGGAAAGAGGTGAGACACGTCCCACATACAGGACAGAGGTGAGACATGTCCACAGACAGGACAGAGGTGAGACATGTCCACAGACAGGACAGAGGTGAGACATGTCCACAGACAGGACAGAGGTGAGACATGTCCACAGACAGGACAGAGGTGAGACATGTCCACAGACAGGACAGAGGTGAGACATGTCCCACAGACAGGACAGTGGTGAGACATGTCCCAGAGACAGGTCAGAGGTGAGACATGTCCCAGAGACAGGTCAGAGGTGAGACATGTCCCACAGACAGGACAGAGGTGAGACATGTCCCACAGACAGGACAGAGGTGAGACATGTCCCACAGACAGGACAGAGGTGAGACATGTCCCACAGACAGGAAAGAGGTGAGACATGTCCCAGAGACAGGACAGAGGTGAGACATGTCCAGAGACAGGTCAGAGGTAAGACATATCCCATAGACAAAACAGAGGTGAGACATGTCCCATAGACAAGATAGAGGTGAGACATGTCCCACAGACAGAACAGTGGTGAGACATGTCCCAGGGACAGGTCAGAGGTAAGACATGTCCCAGAGACAGGTCAGACGTAAGACAGGAAAGAGGTGAGACACGTCCCACATACAGGACAGAGGTGAGACATGTCCCAGAGACAGGTCATAGGTGAGACATGTCCCAGAGACAGGTCATAGGTGAGACATGTCCCAGAGACAGGTCATAGGTGAGACATGTCCCAGAGACAGATCATAGGTGAGACATGTCCCAGAGACAGGTCATAGGTGAGACATGTCCCAGAGACAGGTCATAGGTGAGACATGTCCACAGACAGGACAAAGGTGAGGCATGTCCCACAGACAGGAGTGTGTGTGTGTCCCCAAATGACCTTTGCAAAAAGGATTTCTTAGGTTTTCTTCTCTAGGATTTCTTTCAACACTTTCTTCCACTAGAGTACGACTAATATTTGCGACTCTTGTTTGCAGCCAACCACCAACCCGCCGGCGGGTTGTTTTTATGTTTTTAAATGTTCTGCTGGCAATAGCAGATGTATTTTGAACACCAAACCCCAAAAGCTGTATATCATTTTAAAGCTTATTTTCTTATCTACATTTACATACAAGTGTAAACTACATCAGACTTTGCATTCAAAAGATATAACACATAATGTGGGCACAAAATAAATCAATTCGGAAATAGTTTTTTACCTTTGGGCTTGTGCTGTACAAATAAATCAGCTCTCCTCCCAGCTTGCAATACATCATTCTCTCTGGAACAGTCCAAAGGAAAATTATATCCACTTGTATTTCCCAAAGTAAAATCCATTCTGCAGAAATAATCCAAAAATGTGCATTTATCTTTAGCGAAAAAAACGAAAAAAAAGAGCACAGATGTTACTCTTTCACTTGTAACGGACTTTTAGCTTTGTTTTTCACCCGAACATCTGGTATCTACGTGTTCCTTAGCTCCTTATCTTTCAAATGAGACTACTCCCGAAAAGCTAGACCAATTTTTGGGTCTGCAATAGGTCCCGCAAATAACGCTAGCGCTGCTGTTTGCGCATTGGTGGCTAATCTTTTGTGGGGTCCCAACTTGTTTACGTTTACTTCCGGGATTTACGATTGACATGTCCTTGTAGCCAATGAGGAAAGCTTTCGAACAAGGGGTGGGACAATGGTGTCCTGTCTTATCTTGGGCCTGGACCATTGTGCGTCATGGCAGCCAAAAGACGCTCCCGAAGCTGCAATGAATTTACACTCATAAAAAAATAACTTTGACATTTAAAAAAGAAAAACACACATAGATTAGTAACTTATAAGTACCAATAATAAAAAATATTGTTTTTATGATGATTAAATGTAAGTAAAGATATTTGGCACAATTTGGCACACTTGTGCCAAATTGTGCCAAATGTGCACTACTTGATGAAAAGGAGAAACTGCATAAAAACTATAAAACTTAGAAGTCTGAAACTTTAGACAGTTGTTGTCAACAACACAATGAACAGAGGGTTTGAATATTGTGAACTTACAATGAAGTATGCCTTTTTTAGGGCCTTTAGACATTGAAAATGTTAGGCGAGGCTAAAAAAATTGGGGTTTTTTCCCTAACTTCAAAGGATGCAGAGGAAAATAGGAATGACAAACATTATTTTAGTGTTTTTTTACATAAACTAGAAGGCTCTAGCTTTAAAATGATGCATCACACAAGCATGTGAGATGTAAGATGTGTTTTTAAATAAGCAAAGACATTTGGGTATGCCCAACCATTGTGCACGAGCCAAAATGAGGCGGTTGTTAAGAGGTTAAGAAATATTTGTGTAGCTTCACACATATAACGATATATATCGCGATAGGGGTGTTGATAGAATGTTCGATAGTTTAACTTCACTCCGTTAGAAAAAACAGGAAGATAGCACAGGAAGTAAAGCCGAGTCAGAAACGCGCTGCATTCTGGGGGATGTAGGCAGAGGCTTCTCGACCTATCACGGCCGAGCATGAACCGTAAAACATTCTTGGAAATGCAACACACACAAAAACAACCGCACCATTTGTTACGTCCGTGGATCTAAATTTGTCATGTTTCAATGCTGTGTCAATGGTTCTGCATGTGCGGTGCGGCAGAGGGTATAGTGACCCGGTGCATGCGGCAAAAGAAAGAGATTAACTTATCATCACAAGACACTTGAAAACAGCCAAAACAGGAGCTAAACCAGGACTAAACCGGGATTAAACCAGGACTAACAATGAGGGACACTGTGATTGTGAACATATGCCTCCAGCGAGTTCTCATTCCCCGTTACTGTAAACAAGGGCTGCTAACATGTGTTAGCCGACACGACAAATGTATTTATTTAGGTTTGAACAATGAGTATCGATATTGACCAATATGAATCACTTATGGCTGAAAACTATATCACAATTTATTGCCCACGACGCCCAGTAAACAAGTGACAGAAGTAAAGCGGACTATACGTTGTGTAAGGCAAAACTATCACGAGCACCAGCAACTTGATCAAACATCTGCAAATTCACCACCACACAAAGCTGGCCCCGGAGGTAGCACTAGAGGTTGCACTGGAGGTAGCACTGGAGGTAGCACTGGAGGTAGCACTGGAGGTTGCACTGGAGGTAGCACTGGAGGTAGCACTGGAGGTAGCACTGGAGGTAGCACTGGAGGTTGCACTGGAGGTTGCACTGGAGGTTGCACTGGAGGTAGCACTGGAGGTAGCACTGGAGGTAGCACTGGAGGTAGCACTGGAGGTAGCACTGGAGGTTGCACTGGAGGTTGCACTGGAGGTTGCACTGGAGGTAGCACTGGAGGTAGCACTGGAGGTAGCACTGGAGGTAGCACTGGAGGTAGCACTGGAGGTAGCACTGGAGGTAGCACTGGAGGTTGCACTGGAGGTTGCACTGGAAGTAGCACTGGAGGTTGCACTGGAGGTTGCACTGTAGGTAGCACTGGAGGTTGCACTGGAGGTTGCACTGGAGGTAGCACTGGAGGTAGCACTGGAGGTTGCACTGGAGGTTGCACTGGAGGCAGCACTGGAGGCAGCACTGGAGGCAGCACTGGAGGCTGCACTGGAGGTTGCACTGGAGGTAGCACTGGAGGTAGCACTGGAGGTTGCACTGGAGGTTGCACTGGAGGCAGCACTGGAGGCAGCACTGGAGGCAGCACTGGAGGCTGCACTGGAGGTTGCACTGGAGGTTGCACTGGAGGTTGCACTGGAGGTTGCACTGGAGGTTGCACTGGAGGTAGCACTGGAGGTTGCACTGGAGGTAGCACTGGAGGTAGCACTGGAGGTAGCACTGGAGGTAGCACTGGAGGTTGCACTGGAGGTTGCACTGGAGTTAGCACAAAGACAACCAACTCAAGTACTCATATTAAGGTACTCATATTGGGTTTGAAAAAAGTGGTATCGGCGCATCCCTTCACTCTGGTGTCTCCTTGGACCTCTGACCTCTCGGTGTCTCCTTGGACCTCCTCCCTGACCTCTCTTGTGTCTCCTTGGACCTCCTCCCTGACCTCTCTTGTGTCTCCTTGGACCTCCTCCCTGACCTCTCTAGTGTCTCCTTGCACCTCCTCCCTGACCTCTCTGGTGTCTCCATGCACCTTCTCCCTGATCTCTCTAGTGTCTCCTTGCACCTCCTACCTGACCTCTCTGGTGTCTCCTTGGCCTTCCTGATGCTGTTTACTAACCACTCCAGTCTGACTGCAGCCCTCACAGAGCAGCTGTTATTTTACTGAGAGCAGATCACACACTTTTCATTATTCTTGTGAGATTTAAACTTTCATCTGTAAACTTTGCAAATGCGCCAAAGCTCAGCAGTCCTCAGCCTCAGAACCTCCTGCTGGTCTGTGGTCAGTGTGAAGACCTGACGCCTCCTCAGGCCCTGGTTTTGACCCTATAAATGAAAAGGGATATTTCCATCTTTACACCAGATTATGAGCTGTGTAAATGTCAGACGTGTTGATGTAGGCTCAGCTCCTCCCCTCCCTCTGCTACACGTGGACTCATGCTACTCTGCTAAGGCTGCTACTGTGTGTGCGTGTGTGTGTGTGTGAGAGCAGAGTTCAGCTTCTGTCCAATGGGGAGAGAGAACACTGATCCACCCTCTGCTGTGGGAAAGCAGTGTCTGCGTCCGTATTCACACAAACCCCTCGGTCCTTATCTGCACGATCACAGACACTCTGAGCAAACGGCAAACTCTGCTCTTATTTAAGCCCTCTGTGAACACATGGACACACACGGGGCAGGCCTTATCCAGAGATAGAGCTATGCCTGTCATGGTTATTCCAAGTGTTTTAGCCTGATTCTGTCCTTAGAAACAAGCTGTAACATGTGTTGGGTGTTTTTCAAAGCGGAATCACATCTGCACTTATTCTTCTAAAGAGGCATTGTTCTGTAAAAAGGTGTGTATCTCACTAGGGACACTAGAAACGTGAAGAAACAGGACATGACTGCTCAATAATGTTGTCAAAAGAATTAAAAAAATCAAAGAAAGATCATGTAGAATCAAAGGTCCAGCAGAGAAAGGTTCACTATGAGCCAGTTTACACTAGGCTGGCCTTGGCCATCCGTAAACTCCAGTCAGTGATCATCTCCTACATGTACGTCTGGGTCTGCTCCCAGTGTGTGCTAGTATATCGTTTGAATCCCCTCCGACCAATCAGAGAGTGCGGGAGGCGGGTGTGGTGTCGGTGACTTCAAAAGAGTTTGTGCTGGTGAATTTGTTGGTTGTAGTTTGGCGGAGAATGAGATAGTAAAATAATCTGTTCTGGATCGATTGAGAAACTGAAGCCGGAGAAAGAGGAATGTTTAGCAAATGTCAGTGCTGCAAAGATGTTGTAGCTCTACTCTCCACGGGCTCCGTTAGTGGCAAAGGAGATGGCTAAAGCTAGGCTAAATGCTAACGACTCACCCGGGTGCATTACATACATCACATTAAACTCGGATCCAATCGGTTCAATCTGCAAAAGGAGTCACGGCCACAACAATATTGGCCACTGTCATATTCACTCATTCAACTGCTATGTTTAGAGTTGGTTGTTTTTGTACTCCAGACCTAGCAAAGGTGCTACAGTGTGTGTGGTGGTGAGTTTTCAGATGTTTGATCCAGCTGCTAGTGTTACACGTGTTTGTTTAGGACCACGTGACATTTATACACAACGTACAGTCCGCTTTACTCTTGTCATTCGTTCACTTTAAAAACTGCCATACGGCCAACATATTATTGGTTGTTTGCTTTGCTTTCTCGTTGCAGACTTTTAGATCAGTTGTAATGACTCACATCTGGATTTACAAAGACAATGTCAACAGCAGGATCACAGAGAGCGCTAGACCAGATTTAAGCCTAAAATCCTATTGGGCTTCATTGAGCTAGCGGGTTAGTTTGTCCATCTGTGTACAGTCTATGGCAGTAGCCTGGTGCTTATTTAAATGAATCAGGAGTAATAGTTTAAAGTGTGTGTGTGTGTGTGTGTGTGTGTGTGTGTGTGTGTGTGCACTTGTTTTCAACTCCTGGTGGGTTCCATAACCTGAGATTCCACTCACGTCATGGGGACTGGTTTTACGTGGTGGGGCCCGAACACCGGACCCCACTGGTCCAAGCTTAATAATCAATGGGTAATGCTTTTCTAACGGTCCTTATGCAGTCTCTGTAAAAATATGGAAAGGACCCCTGGAGGTTTACTTTCCTGAAAAAAGTGTGTTATGTGTCGGAACCCTGGTGGTGGGTTGCGGGATATCAAGGAGGGGCACACTGGGGCAATTTCAGTCCAGCAGGCTGGAGCCAATCATGGAGCAGCACAACAGAGGAAATCAGGTGTCAGGCTAGAAAAAGGTGCAAGTGTGTGGTTCATTAGGCTGCAAGAAATCATGGAGGAGCACACTGAAGCGCACGCTTACAAACCACTGGTAAGTGCTGACTACAAGTCATGACTTCAAATTGTTATATAGAATGATTACAAATTATTTGTTGTTTGTGCAGCTTAGTCAAGAGTCCCTAATTGATGAAGTCGACTCAGATTCTGACGATCTAACTGTCAAGAAGAAACCTGTAAAAAAGTATGGAAAAAGAAAAATCAAAAACACTTTTCTTCAAGACTCGGAAAGTGACGAACCAAAGGCAAATAAGATTGTTATCATGCAGCTGCAAAAGAAGAAAAATGGGGGGCGAGTATACAGCAAGAGACACTTCTGCCTCTACTGTTCAATGTCCTGCCACAAAATGTCCCGTCATTTGACTAGAAAACATGGAAATGAAAGTGACGTAGCCAGAGCATTGGCTCTACCTGTGAAATCTAAAGCACGTAAACTTCAGTTTGATTTGATCAGGAATAGTGGAAACCGTGAGCACAATTTTGAGGTTTTAAAGGCCGGCATTGGAACTTTAGTCCCAGCTAAACAGCCAAATTCCCCAGTTAAATCCAGTGAGTTTTTGCACTGTATAGACTGTGGGGCATTGCTTAAGCGAAAGTCGCTGTGGAGGCATGTGGCCAGGTGCCGGCTTTCACAGAAAGATGCCCAGGCTAAACCAGGTAGAAGTAGGGTCCAGTCCCTCTGCTCCCTAGCCCAGCCTGTACCGGAGGGCATCAGCAAAAAGCTGTGGTCTTTAATTTCGGCAATGCATCAGGATGAGGTCACGGGTGTTGTCAAAGCAGAAAAGGGGATTCTGAGACTCGGAGAGCACCTGTACTTAAAACACGGGCATGATAAGACTAAGCATGATTACATTAGGCAGAAAATGAGAGAAGTCGGTAGGTTAATTAACGAAGCAAAAACCGCAGGGAAACTGAAAACAATTAAGGATTTCTTTATTCCTTCCAACTTTAACCATGTGATTGATGCAGTCAGGTCTGTGGCTGGATATGATGAGGAAACAAATCAATACAAGACTCCATCCTTGGCCCTCAAACTCGGCCATAGCCTCAGAAAGCTAGCAGATATTCTTGAATGTGACTCAAAAATGGAGCATTGTGTTGATGAACTATTTATTAAAAACCTCCAACGAAGCCGGCTGCTTTTTGAGAAGAGGTGGGACGTCTGTGTTTCTTCTGCTGCCCTACAGACCCTCCGGCAAGCCAAGTGGAACACTCCGGACCTGCTCCCTCTGACTGAGGACGTTAGAGCCATGCATGCACATATTGAGGTATGTCGACCTGAATATGTGCAAACCCTAATAAGTGAGCCAACGTCTAAGCATTGGTCTAAACTGGCAGTTTTGACTCTTTGTGAGGTCATCATTTTCAATCGAAGAAGGGAAGGTGAGGTTTCAAAGATGCCACTGACAGCCTTTACCTTAAGAAGTAAGACTGGGATCCATTCTGACATTGCTCTGGGACTGTCCCAACTTGAGAAAAAGCTGTGTCAGCATTTTCAACGCATTGAAATTAAAGGGAAAAGAAGTCGGAAAGTGCCGGTTCTTTTGACTCCTGAAATGATTGCTTCGATGGAGGTGCTGGTGGAGAACAGAAGGGCCTGTTCCATCTCTGACCATAACCCATACTTCTTTTCCCGCCCGGGCGCAGACACCCACATCAGGGGATCAGACTCCCTACGCCAGGTAGCCAAAGAATGTGGTGCGGTGCATCCAGAGATGCTATCCTCAACCAAACTTAGAAAGCACATAGCTACTATGTCTACAGTTCTCAATATGAAAGAGAATGAGATGGACATACTTGCCAACTTCCTCGGCCATGACATTCGCATCCACAGGCAATATTACAGACTACCAGAGGGGACACTGGAGCTGGCCAAAATCAGCAAAGTGTTGATGGCCATGGAGCAGGGAAGAGTGACGGAATTCAAAGGAAAGAGCCTCGACCAGATACAAATTGAGCCTGAAGGTAATTCTTGATATTATTAAAATATGTATGATTTTTTTCCCCTAAAGGCCACTTGTATTTTTATTTTCTGTGCGACAGGGAGAGCAGTAGAGATCCTCTCACAAACGGACGGGCTAAAAGAAACTTCAAGCGGAGAACCTTCAACCATTCATCCAGATGCACCCCATGGTAGAGTGGCAGTGCCCCTTCTGGTAAGTGTACCAGGTGGGGGATTACAGCCAGGCTGCTTGGTCCTAACCCTGGGAGTGTATATTGCTAATATATTTTTTATTTCTCTCCCTAGAACGTTAGAGAAAGCCATGGTCTGCATCTGAGGTGAAGGCTGTGGAGAAGACCATGACACCTTTCATACAGACTGGAAAGGTCCCTGGGAAGTCTCACTGCCTGGCCTGCATTAATGCCTCACCAGATGACCTTAGACATCGGACATGGAGTGGCATTAAATTCTATGTCAAAAATAGAATCACTGCAATTCGAAAACAAAATCTAAAATAAAATTCCTTTAAAATAGTTGTTTGGTTTCTATTGACTGTTTTGTATTACTTAAAGTAGTCCCAGTAAAAAAAGATTATGTCTATGGGTCCCATTCTGAACGGCCCTGTCAAAGGGACCCACCAGGTAACAAAAACGTGTGTGTGTGTGTGTGTGTGTGTGTGTGTGTGTTCTATATTAGCAGTAGCACGTCTCATTTTACTGTGCGTCAGACTCCTGCTGAGTTTATTTAATGTAGAAGATTTGTCTCTGATCTCTAAGGTCTCCCTGGTTTCTTCCTGGTGTCTCTCTCTCCGTGGTCTCTCTCTGGTTTCTCCCTGGTCTCTCTCTCTCTCTTTGGTTTCTCCCTGGTCTCTCTCTCTCTCTCTTTGGTTTCTCCCTGGTCTCTCTCTCTCTCTCTTTGGTTTCTCCCTGGTCTCGCTCTGCCTTTATTACCTCTGTTTTAAGATTCCCTGCAGCAGTAGATTGCTGCTTAGTGGGTTTCAGGGTCCAGGTCTGGTCTGTCTGGTCTCGGTCTGTCCTGGGTCTGGTCTGTCCTGTGAGCCTCATCCAGCACCAAACACTACTTTAACGACATGTTCTGTTGCAGATGTGAAAGTGGTGCGACCTGTGAAGCCGCGCTCCAGGAAATCCAGCAAAGTAAGAACTGTGAGAGAGCACACTGAGAACACTATGAGAGAGCACACTATGAGAGAGTACACTGTGAGAGAGCACACTGTGAGAGCACACTATGAGAGAGCACACTTTGTTTTAAGTGTTGATTCTCTGACCTGTGTTGGTGATTTCAATGGTTTTGTTAAGTCTCTGAGATGACTTCTGTTGTGACCTAGGGCTATACAAGAATACATTGTATTGTATTGTACTACTATGAGAGAGCACACTGTGAGAGAACACTGAGAGTACAGAGTACAGGAGAGTACAGTACAGAGAGAGAAGAGTACAGTACAGAGTACAGTACAGTACAGTAGAGTACAGGACAGTACAGAGAGAGGACAGTACAGAGAGAGGACAGTACAGAGAGAGGACAGTACAGAGAGAGGACAGTACAGAGAGAGGACAGTACAGAGAGAGGACAGTACAGAGAGAGGACAGTACAGAGAGAGGACAGTACAGAGAGAGGACAGTACAGAGAGAGGACAGTACAGAGAGAGGACAGTACAGAGAGAGGACAGTACAGAGAGAGGACAGTACAGAGAGAGGACAGTACAGAGAGGACAGTACAGAGAGGACAGTACAGAGAGGACAGTACAGAGAGAGGACAGTACAGAGAGGACAGTACAGAGAGGACAGTACAGAGAGGACAGTACAGAGAGAGGACAGTACAGAGAGGACAGTACAGTACAGAGTGTAAAGTACAGAGTGTAGAGTAGAGAGTGCAGTAGAGAGTGCACAGTAGTAGGCCTGTCACGATAACAAAATTTTGCTGGACGATTAATTGTCTCAGAAATTATTGCGATAAGCGATTATATTGCCGTTCTGAGATCATTTGCATCGATTACAATGATAATGTAGGTATACCTTTTCAAAGAGAAATAAACTTTTATTTTTAACGAATATTTAACGCTAGAACACAATAAATTAACAAACAACCAAAAACAATAAATAAAATACTCAGTCTCTTAACAAAAAATGACCAGGAATAAAACTGCCAGGACCTTTGTAAAGAAAATATGAAATGCCTCAAATGTCAATAATTTCTCAGACTTTATGGCAGATTACGAGAAAGAAATACCAACATGTTGACTTTGTGTGGCTTAAGACAGGATCTCTCAGGAGTAGTCCCACCTCCCCACACACCAGGCGAATGACAAGTGACTGACATGTGGGTTCACCAATGGGGCGTACAGAAGTCCTGCTGCGGTAGCGCCCACCGGACGTAGCGGGGCGGGCTTTGATGCTAACAGCTAAGCTAGCGGGTTTTTTGTGTAAAGTTCTACTCCAAGAATGCAAGTCTGCAGCATCTCTGTGTTCAGAGACCTTCTAGAGACTTTATATAACAGCAGTATGTGTTCACGGAGGTGCGCCATAAGTTTATTTTATTGGTATGATACGGTACTTCTGCATAGGCGAACACGCTAACGCTAGCTGCGCTAGTATAGTCACTAATCAAGCCTGAATGAGAACTCAGCTGCCGGCATATGTTCACAACTACTGTGTCCCCCATTGTCAATCCTGGTTAAGTCCTGGTTTAGGTCCTGTTTTGGCTATTTTGTATTTTTGAGTAATTTCCGTCTGCTTGCTAGACCGCTAATGTTCCCGTGACCACTTTGCGGCTCTCTGACCCGAGAGAGACGGGGGAAACAAACAAACAAGCATGCAAATGGGATTTATCGCGGCCAGAAAAGTTATTGAGCAAATTTTATTTATCGTGCGATTAATTGATTTATTGACTATCGCGACAGGCCTACACAGTAGTGTACAGTACAGAGAGGAGAGTGCAGTACAGAGTGTACAGTCGAGAGTACAGTACAGTGTACAGTCGAGAGTACAGTACAGTGTACAGTCGAGAGTACTGTACAGTCGAGAGTACAGTACAGTCGAGAGTACAGTACAGTCGAGAGTACAGTACAGTCGAGAGTACAGTACAGTGTACAGTCGAGAGTACAGTACAGTACAGTCGAGTACAGTACAGAGTGTACAGTTGTGTGTGTGTACTTTAATTATAGTTAATCCTGGTTTTTAAATGGTGAGTGCCTTTGTGTTTAATGTCTTGTGTGAAGTGTGTATAAAATGTGTTATATAAATAAAATAGATGGTGATTGGGTCTGAACCTGTGATTACTTTTCAGTCCGGAGACTTCAGTGACATCACTAACTGGCCAACGCCTGGAGAGCTCGCCAAAGAGGTGATCACACACACATATACACACACTCATACACACTAGAGCTGCAACTAAGGATTATTTTGTAATCGATTAATCTATCGATTATTTTTACGATTAATTGAGTAATCGCTTGGCTGTGAATTGTGTAGAAAAAATGTATTTATTCATCACAAAAAGCTAATGTGGCAACACTCAAGGACGTATTGATGGCGTAAACTTAAAGTAAATGTAACAGGCTCTTTGTGCTAATTCTGCTCTGATTGGATGAGACAGACAGATATTCATGAAATTATAAAAACAAAGTCGGTTTTAATCAAAAATACTACATTTTCATGTCATTTTTGCTCTGTTTGAGTCCGTGTGAACCAGAAAACGATTAATCGATTACTAAAATAGTTGTCGACTATTTCAATAATCGATTAGTCGTCGATTAATCGATTAGTTGTTTCAGCCCTAATACACATACACAGAGACAGACACCAACACATACACACACAGAGACAGACACACACAAACACGCACACATACATAAGACATAGAAACGCACACAGACACACACACACTGACAGTCTTCTCTCCGTAGCAGAATGTGGTGAACAGCAACGGGAAAAAGTCTCAGAATCAGCGACGAGACAGAGACAAAAGGAGAGACGGGAAGTCTGAGAGCAGCCAGGACGGAGCAGACACCAAGGAGAACGTCCACAGGTCTGCGGACACTCAAGAGAACCAGCCCAGAGAGAGGGAACGTCAGGAGAACCAGCCCAGAGAGAGGGAACGTCAGCAGAGACTGGAGGTGAGCTCACACTGGTCCCTCACGGTGTCTGTTTCTCATGCGCCTACAACATCCTCTCACTGCTAGTATAACATGACCTTTATTTAGAGTCTCTCTCTGGTCTCTCTCTCTGGTGGTCTCTCTCTCTGGTCTCTCTTTTTGGTTTCTCCCTGGTTCCAATCTGGTCTCTCTGCTGGTCTCCCTCTCTGGTCTCTCTCTGGCCTCTCTCTGATCTCTCTCTCTGGCCTCTCTCTGGTCTCTCTGGTCTTCCCGTAGCCTCAGTCCTGCCCGTCATTGTCCTCTGCAACTCTAGTTTACTGTGCATGCACGGCTTTTGACAGCTGCAGCAGTGCTCAGACCTACAACCGCACACTCTCTACGGTCGCACCTCAGTGAGTTCATAGAAACATGGAGCTGCTACTTTATTTTCTTCAGAACGAAACCTCCAGAAAACTAGGGACCGACATTTACAAAAACGTAGAATCCTTCATTTGTCTGTTTCAGAGACCAGTAGAAAGAGAGACCAGAACTAACGAGACCGACACCAAAGAACCAGAGGAGCGAGGACCAGAGGCGAAGAACGGTGTGAAGAAGAGAGGTGTGTGTGTGCGTGTGTGTGGGTGCATGTGTGGGTGTGTGTGGGGATGGGTTTCAATATGACTGAAAACTACAGTGCCTTGCGAAAGTATTCGGCCCCCTTGAACCTTTCAACATTTCGCCACATTTCAGGCTTCAAACATAAAGTGAAGTGGAACAAAATTTATTGGATAATTTAAACTTTTTTAACAAATAAACAATTGAAAAGTGGGGCGTGCAATATTATTCGGCCCCTTTACTTTCAGTGCAGCAAACTCAGTCCAGAAGTTCAGTGAGGATCTTTGAATGATCCAATGTTGTCCTAAATGACTGATGATGATAAATAGAATGTACCTGTGTGTAATCAAGTCTCCGTATAAATGCACCTGCTCTTTGATAGTCTCAGGGTTCTGTTTAAAGCGCAGAGAGAACCATGAAGACAAAGGAACACACCAGGCAGGTCCGAGATACTGTTGTGGAGAAGTTTAAAGCTGGATTTGGACACAAAAAGATTTCCCAAGCTTTAAACATCTCAAGGAGCACTGTGCAAGCAATTGTATTGAAATGGAAGGAGTATCAGACCACTGCAAATCTACCAAGACCCGGCCGTCCCTCCAAACTTTCATCTCAAACAAGGAGAAGACTGATCAGAGATGCAGCCAAGAGGCCCATGATCACTCTGGATGAACTGCAGATAACTACAGCTGAGGTGGGAGAGTCTGTCCATAGGACAACAATCAGTCGTGCAATGCACAAATCTGGCCTTTATGGAAGAGTGGCAAGAAGAAAGCCATTTCCCAAAGATATCCATAAAAAGTCTTGTTTAAAGTTTGCCACAAGCCACCTGGGAGACACACCAAACATGTGGAAGAAGGTGCTCTGGTCAGATGAAACCAAAATCGAACTTTTTCGCCACAATGCAAAACGATATGTTTGGCGTAAAAGCAACACAGCTCATCACCCTGAACACACCATCCCCACTGTCAAACATGGTGGTGGCAGCATCATGCTTTGGGCCTGCTTTTCTTCAGCAGGGACAGGGAAGATGGCTAAAATTGATGGGAAGATGGATGGAGCCAAATACAGGACCATTCTGGAAGAAAACCTGTTGGAGTCTGCAAAAGACCTGAGACTGGGACGGAGATTTCCAACAGAACAATGATCCAAAACATAAAGCCAAATCTACAATGGAATGGTTCACAAATAGACGTATCCAGGTGTTAGAATGGCCAAGTCAAAGTCCAGACCTGAATCCAATCGAGAATCTGTGGAAAGAGCTGAAGACTGCTGTTCACAAACGCTCTCCATCCAACCTCACTGAGCTCCAGCTGTTTTGCAAGGAAGAATGGGCAAGAATTCCAGTCTCTCGATGTGCAAAACTGATAGACATACCCCAAGCGACTTGCAGCTGTAATTGCAGCAAAAGGTGGCGCTACAAAGTATTAGCGCAAGGGGGCCGAATAATATTGCACGCCCCACTTTTCAGTTTATTTGTTAAAGTTTAAATTATCCAATAAATTTTGTTCCACTTCACGATTGTGTCCCACTTGTTGATTCTTGACAAAAACATTTTTTTTTTATATCTTTATGTTTGAAGCCTGAAATGTGGCGAAATGTTGAAAGGTTCAAGGGGGCCGAATACTTTCGCAAGGCACTGTATATCGCAATATATGTGATTCATATCGGTCGATGTCAATAATTGATTGTTTTCTTTTTTTACTTTTTTAAACCTAAATACATACTTTTGTCGTGTCGGCCAACACATATTAGCAGCCCTTGTTTACAGTCACGGGGAATGAGAACTCAGGCTGGAGGCATATGTTCACAATCACAGTGTCCCTCATTGTTAGTCCTGGTTTGTTTTCGAGTGTCTTGTGTCCCTGTGATGGCTCTGTCAGGCTCACATGCTTAATGCTTACCGAGGAAAAAGTTCATATATCTGGTCGCTGTGCCCACTGCCTCTGCCGCGCCCACTGCCTCTGCCCCTCTGCCGCGCCCACTGCCTCTGCCGCGCCCACTGCCTCTGCCACACCCACTGCCTCTGCCCCTCTGCCGCGGCCACTGCCTCTGCAGCGGCCACTGCCTCTGCAGCGGCCACTGCCTTTGCCGCGGCCACTGCCTCTGCCGCGCCCACTGCCTCTGCCGCGCCCACTGCCTCTGCCGCGACCACTGCCTCTGCCGCGCCCACTGCCTCTGCTGCACCCACTACCTCTGCCCCTCTGCCGCGCCCACTGCCTCTGCCACACCCACTGACTCTGCCCCTCTGCCGCGCCCACTGCCTCTGCAGCGCCCACTGCCTTTGCCGCGCCCACTGCCTCTGCCGCGCCTACTGCCTCTGCCGCGCCCACTGCCTCTGCCGCGCCCACTGCCCTCTGCCGCGCCCACTGCCTCTGCCGCGCCCACTGCCTCTGCTGCACCCACTACCTCTGCCCCTCTGCCGCGCCCACTGCCTCTGCCGCGCCCACTGCCTCTGCGCCCACTGCCTCTGCCGCGCCCACTGCCTCTGCTGCGCCCACTGCCTCTGCCGCGCCCACTGCCTCTGCTGCGCCCTCTGCCGCGCCCACTGCCTCTGCTGCACCCACTGCCTCTGCCCCTCTGCCGCGCCCACTGCCTCTGCCGCGCCCACTGCCTCTGCTGCACCCACTGCCTCTGCCCCTCTGCCGCGCCCACTGCCGCGCCCCACTGCCTCTGCCCCTCTGCCGCGCCCACTGCCCTCTGCCGCGCCTAATGCCTCTGCCGCGCCCACTGCCGCGCCCACTGCCGCGCCCACTGCCTCCGCCGTGCTCACTGCCTCCGCCGTGCCCACTGCCTCTGCCGCGCCCACTGCCTCTGCCGCGCCCACTGCCTCTGCCGCGCCCACTGCCTCTGCCCCTCTGCCGCGCCCACTGCCTCTGCAGCGGCCACTGCCTCTGCAGCGCCCACTGCCTCTGCTGCACCCACTACCTCTGCCCCTCTGCCGCGCCCACTGCCTCTGCCACACCCACTGACTCTGCCCCTCTGCCGCGCCCACTGCCTCTGCAGCGCCCACTGCCTTTGCCGCGCCCACTGCCTCTGCCGCGCCTACTGCCTCTGCCGCGCCCACTGCCTCTGCCGCGCCCACTGCCTCTGCTGCACCCACTGCCTCTCTGCTGCACCCACTACCTCTGCCCCTCTGCCGCGCCCACTGCCTCTGCCGCGCCCACTGCCTCTGCCGCGCCCACTGCCTCTGCCGCGCCCACTGCCTCTGCTGCACCCACTACCTCTGCCCCTCTGCCGCGCCCACTGCCTCTGCCACACCCACTGACTCTGCCCCTCTGCCGCGCCCACTGCCTCTGCGCGCCCACTGCCTTTGCCGCGCCCACTGCCTCTGCCGCGCCTACTGCCTCTGCCGCGCCCACTGCCTCTGCCGCGCCCACTGCCTCTGCCGCGCCCACTGCCTCTGCCGCGCCCACTGCCTCTGCTGCACCCACTACCTCTGCCCCTCTGCCGCGCCCACTGCCTCTGCCGCGCCCACTGCCTCTGCCGCGCCCACTGCCTCTGCCGCGCTCACTGCCTCTGCTGCGCCCACTGCCTCTGCCGCGCCCACTGCCTCTGCTGCACCCACTGCCTCTGCGAGCACGTGTGGTGTTTGTGTGCGATAATGCGTGTGTGGTGGGTGTGTGTGTGTGTGTGCGTGTGTGTGGTGTGTGAGTGTGTTTGTGTGCGAGCATTTGTGTGGTGTGTGTGCGTCTCCTCACTCACCCCTCTCCGTCTTCACCGTCGATAGGAAACAAGCCCAAGTGGCTTTCTCTGCCGCTGGAGGATTCGTCCAGAGAGTCTGCAGACGAGTCACATGACCCTGCGTCACATGACCCTGTGTCACATGACTCTGCGCCGGCGACGCACGCGTCGGTGACGCACAGCAGTAACCGCGCCAACGAGAGGAGTAAGTGTGTGCTTTATTCACATACTCAAAAACTCATCGTCTGTTCTCTTTACACTTTACTCCCGTACGGCTGTGGTCTGAGCGGAGCCTGCGGGGCCTCCGTGGTCTGAGCGGAGCCTGCGGGGCCTCCGTGGTCTGAGCGGAGACTGCAGGGCCTCTGTGGTCAGTGTGTGGATTGTGTTCAGGCTGGAGGAGAGAGCCACGAGACTTCAACGATGATCCAAACGCTCGCGGTGAGAACGGCGTCAGGGGCGGAGTCAGAGGACGAGGCCGAGGACGTGGGAGAGGGAGGGGCCGCGGGAGAGGTAGCGCTTTCATATTTCTTTCATCTCTCTCTCTGTGGAGGGAGAGAGCTCTGGTCTCTCTCTGGTCTCTCTCTGCTCTCTCTCTGGTCTCTCTGTCTCTAGTCTCTACACTCTTGGTCGTGTCCAGTTGAACATTCCTTCCATCTTTTTCTTCTGTGTTTTCAGGACGCTTTGAGGACTCTGACTCCGGCACCAATATGGTTTATTACTACGACGATGGGAACAAGGTGCAGATGTACACTGTGGACGAGAAGCTGCTCAAGGAGTACATCAAGAGACAGATGTGAGTGAAACACCACCCATGGTTAAAATGGAGTAAGAGATGATCAGGATGAGCAACACTGCCATCTAGTGTCAGATACTATCAGTGCCAACAATGACCCTACCACAGAAGAAGACACAGAGAATGGTCCCATAGCGGTATATTTTGTTTCATGTGGTTACCATTTCATATAGATTGGAAAAAACATACTTGAGTTTAATTTACTTCAGTTAAAAAAGGTAAAATCAGCACTTATGGACCAATACTAGCCTCGCCTTAGCCATCAGTAAACTCAGGTCCGTGATCATTTCCTACACGTACGTCTGGGTCTGGCTGCAGTTTGTGGCGAATTTGCTGGTTGTAGTTTGTCTGAGAATGTGATCGTGAAATAATCTGTTCTGGTTCAATCCAAAAATCAAGAAACTGAAGCCGGAGCAAGAGGAATGTTTTGTAAATGTCATTGAAGCAAAAATGTTGTGGCTCTTCTCCCCACGGGCTCAGTTAGTGACAAAGGAGATGGCTAAAGCTAGGCTAAATGCTAAAGCTAGGCTAAATGCTAAAGCTAGGCCAAATGCTTAATGCCTCACTCACTCGGGCTCATTACATACGTCACAGTAAACTCAGATCCAATGGTTTCAATCTGCAAAAGGAGTTAGCCCATCCCACCTGTTAACCTGTTTTGTTTTTGATTCATTATAATGAGGTATAACACGGCCTCATAGTGCTGATGTTTCTACTGCTACTGCTGATACTTGTACTTGTACTTCACAGAGAGTACTACTTCAGCCTTCATAATCTGGAGAGAGACTTCTTCCTCCGGAGGAAGATGGACGCTCAGGGGTTTCTGCCCATTTCACTGATCGCATCATTTCACCGCGTCCAGGCTCTGAGTACGGACGTCAAACTGATCATGGAGGTAGGAGGAGTACTGCTACTGTTACTACTGTTACTACTGCTGCTGCTACTGCTATTACTGCTACTGTTACTACTACTACTGCTACTGTTACTACTGCTACCACTATTATCACTACTACTACTGTTACTACTGCTTAGGGATGTAAAAAACTAATTTTCATGACCGACCACCGAGCCTCATTAACCGGTTGAAACCGGTTAACCGCGTAGTTTAAAATATTCCATGTTCTTTGAAATAACAGCCATTTCGAGCCGCGTGCATTCTGCGTTCTACTGGATCAGAGCCGAGACAGCGGCGCCAAAACCCACAACAGCTTCGGCACCTCTGCTGTTTTAATCTTCCCATTCTTCGGTGCTGTGGGTTAAAACCAAAATTTCTTAGCAGCAAACGAGGGCTCGTCCACATGGTCAGAGCAGCGAGTGATGAGCCGCGTCTCGCAGGTCTTCACTAAAGTGATGCCAAGGACCATCAACACAAACATGTTTCCTGTGGTTTGACTTTAGCTGCGTATTTGCGCGGATCCTTTGGGCTGCGTGACACAGAGCGCGACAGACCGGTATGTGTGTGTGTACAATACATGTATGTGTGTGTGTGTACATGAATGTATGTGTGTGTAAATATAAGCTCCAATGTAGTTCTGACCCGCACCAGTGTGCAACTTTGACGGTAACAGAGGGGAGAGATGATGCGTGTGGATGTTACGTATGGAGAGGGGGAAAGTATGTGTGTTGTGTGTGTGCGCGTGCATGCATATGTGGCGCGTGCGGCGTGAGAGTCGGCCCCGAGTTTACTGATACATTGGCGCACACAGCTAGAGACAGACCCGCTCGTCACACCGTGCAAATAGGGCTTAAAATAGCGTTATTAAAGTTGCACTAACTGACTTTGGGATTTTGAAGCCGTGGACTCGCTGGCCTCGCTCTTTCTCCTCCCCTCCCCGCACCCACGAAGCTATCGCCCCCCACACACACCCACTGTTGTTGACGAAGCTAGCGTCTCCCAATATGGATAGAATAATGTATCATACATTTTCACGGGGATGGCGTGACCATAGAACGATAGAACCGGGAAGCGCGGAGGAACGAGACTTTCTTTTGGATGGCTGTGTCGCTGTGTAAGCAGTAACCGGTGATGAAGACACGAAGCTTCAGGTTAGCTCCGTCGCTTGTTGTGCTAACTCTGCCGTCTGTACTAACAGAGACCTGTAGATTTCTCAAGAAAGTGGGGGCTAGTGGTCCGCTGTGATTGGTCACAATCTGCGACCCGAAACACATTCTCTTCCTTGTTTCATCAAAACTTGATCTAAAATATAATGTCACGCCAGCACAAACCTGCGATACTTTCTCTTCAAAAGGACGTTTATCCAAATGCACTGCATGGATATGGATTGTATTTTCATAATGAATACAAAAATAAAGTCAGTTAGTGCAGCTTTAAGAGACCCTCCCTCTCCTCTATTTCTTAACCGACAGTTTTGACCGGTTAACGCTGTGACGGTCAACCACCGGTTAAACGGTCACCAATTTACATCCCTACTACTGATACTACTACTATTAGTACTGCTACTAGTATTACTACTACTGCTACTACTGCTACTACTACTATTACTACTACTACTACTACTGCTACCACTACTGCTATTACCACTGCTGCTGCTAAAGCTTTTTCGACTGCCGCTGGTACTGATGCTGCTTCTGTGTGCAGGCCTTGCAGAGCAGTTCGGAGCTGGAGTTGGTCGAGCAGAAGGTTCGGTGTAAAACGGATCCGGAGCGTTGGCCCATCGCCATGCCGACCGTGGGATCCCCTCGCACCGACTTCAGCCAGTTGATCCACTGTGCCGAGTTTGTGCCGCGCCAAAGTGTGCCAGCCAAGACAGGTGAGCCAGAGTGTGCCACCGTGGTAATAGTCTCTCTCTGGTCTGTTTCTGGTCTTTCTTCCGGTCTATCTCTTTGTGTTCTCTCGCTGGCCTATTCCTGTTCTCTTCAGTCTTGCTCTCTGGTCTCTCGCTGTTCTCTCTCTCTGGTCTCTCTCTGGTCTCTCTCTGGTCTCTCTCTGGTCTCTCTCTCTGGTCTCTCTCTGGTCTCTCTCTCTCTGGTCTCTCTCTCTGGTCTCTCTCTCTCTGGTCTCTCTCTGGTCTCTCTCTCTCTGGTCTCTCTCTCTCTGGTCTCTCTCGTCTCTCCTAAGTCTCTTTCTGGCCTCTCTCTGGTCTCTCTCTGGTCTCTCTCCGGTCTCTCTCTGGTCTCTCTCTCTGATCTCTTTCTCTGGTCTCTCTCTCTGGTCTCTCTCTGGCCTCTCTGGTCTCTCTCTGGTCCTCTGGTCTCTTCATGTGTTTGCTGGTTTTACTCTGTCACTGTACAAAACAGGGCTCAGTTAAACAGAGTTACAAATGTCTGCTCTAAGATCATTGGCGAGCCAATCAGATCCCTTCCTGCCCTGTGTGATCAGCCATGAGAGTGACCTATAGGATTTTGGGAGACCCTGCTCATGTTCTCTTCCCTGTGTTTGAGTGGCTGCCTTCAAGGAGGAGGCTGCGCTCGGTGGGATGTAGGACGCAGAGGAGAAAATCCACTTTAGTTCCTATAGTGATTCAGCTGCTGAACTCAGACCCATCATTCCCCAGCAGTGTTAAAACGCTCCTGACATTAACTTATTCAGGATGTGTGTGTAAATGTATTTATCTGTTATTTTTTATTTGTTTTTATTTTTTTATTTTTTTGTTGAGATTTTTAGCATGTAGTGTGTACCTTGCAATTCTCCGTGCTTTTTAATTGCCCCTCGGGGATAAATAAAGTGATTGATTGATTGATCTCTCCGGTCTATCTCTCTCTGGTCTCTCTCTGGCCTCTCTCTGGTCTCTCTCTCTGGTCTCTCTCTGGTCTCTCTCTCTGGTCTCTCTCTGGCCTCTCTCTGGTCTCTCTCTCTGGTCTCTCTCTGGCCTCTCTCTGGTCTCTCTCTCTGGTCTCTCTCTGGTCTCTCTCTGGTCTCTCTCTGGCCTCTCTCTGGCCTCTCTCTGGTCTCTCTCTCTGGTCTCTCTCTCTGGTCTCTCTCTCTCTCTCTGGTCTCTCTCTGGTCTCTCTCTCTGGTCTCTCTCTGGTCTCTCTCTGGCCTCTCTCTGGTCTCTCTCTCTGGTCTCTCTCTCTGGCCTCTCTCTGGTCTCTCTCTCTGGTCTCTCTCTCTGGTCTCTCTCTCTGGTGTCTCTCTCTGGTCTCTCTCTGGCCTCTCTCTGGTCTCTCTCTCTGGTCTCTCTCTGGCCTCTCTCTGGTCTCTCTCTCTGGTCTCTCTCTGGTCTCTCTCTGGTCTCTCTCTGGCCTCTCTCTGGCCTCTCCCTGGTCTCTCTCTCTCTGGTCTCTCTCTCTGGTCTCTCTCTCTGGTCTCTCTCTGGTCTCTCTCTCTGGTCTCTCTCTGGTCTCTCTCTGGTCTCTCTCTGGCCTCTCTCTGGTCTCTCTCTCTGGTCTCTCTCTCTGGCCTCTCTCTGGTCTCTCTCTCTGGTCTCTCTCTCTGGTCTCTCTCTCTGGTGTCTCTCTCTGGTCTCTCTCTGGCCTCTCTCTGGTCTCTCTCTCTGGTGTCTCTCTCTGGTCTCTCTCTCTGGTGTCTCTCTCTGGTCTCTCTCTCTGGTGTCTCTCTCTGGTCTCTCTCTGGTCTCTCTCTGGTCTCTCTCTGGCCTCTCTCTGGTCTCTCTCTCTGGTCTCTCTCTCTGGCCTCTCTCTGGTCTCTCTCTCTGGTCTCTCTCTCTGGTCTCTCTCTCTCTGGCCTCTCTCTGGTCTCTCTCTCTGGTCTCTCTCTCTGGTCTCTCTCTGGTCTCTCTCTCTGGTCTCTCTCTCTGGTCTCTCTCTCTGGTCTCTCTCTCTGGTCTCTCTCTCTGGTCTCTCTCTGGTCTCTCTCTGGTCTCTCTCTCTGGTCTCTCTCTGTCTCTCTCTGGTCTCTCTCTCTGGTCTCTCTCTGGTCTCTCTCTGGTCTCTCTCTGGTCTCTCTCTCTGGTCTAGACTGGACATGACACGCCTGACTTCCTCCTGAGTCACGGTGAAGGTACCTTGATTGAAACACTCAGGGAATACAGTAGGAACAGGCATCAGCGGATTCAAAGCGACAGTAGAACGTGTTCTGCTCGTTTGGCAGAGCTTGGCCGACAGATGCAGTTTTGCCAGCGCTAGGTTTCCACGATGTGATGGCTTTAATACCGTTCCACATGCGCCGAGGGTCATCTTCCTCAAAATAACTCTTTAACCTGTCCCCGTAACTGCGCTTTGCAGATTTAATAGAACGTTTCAATGAGTAACAGGATAGCTTATAAGCAACTGTATCATTTGATTGAAACGCCAACGCACGCTCATGAAGTTTCAGTTTCACTTCCGTGTTCATCCAAGGGTTTTGACTAAAATGTTCTTTAATGACCTTCTGTGGGACACAGCCGTCAATACAGAAGCGTATGTATCCAGACACAGCGTCACAGAATTCATTGACGTCCTCTGACTGAAACACAGACCTCTCTTGGTCTGGTCTCTTGGTCTTGGTCCTGGTCTTGGTCTCTGGTCTCTGGTCTCTGGTCTCTGGTCTTGGTCTTGGTCTCTGGTCTTGGTCTTGGTCTTGGTCTTGGTCTCGGCCTCGGTCTCGGTCTCGGTCTCGGTCCTGGTGTTGGTCTTGGCCTCTGGTCTCGGTCTCTGGTCTCTGGTCTCTGGTCTCTGGTCTCTGGTCTTGGTCTCGGTCTCGGTCTCGGTCTCTTGGTCTTGGTCTTGGTCTCGGTCTCGGTCTCGGTCTCGGTCTCGGTCTCTGGTCTCTGGTCTCCTGGTCCTGGTCCTGGTCTTGGTCTTGGTCTTGGTCTTTGTCTTGGTCTTGGTCCTGGTCTTGGTCTCTGGTCTCTGGTCTCTGGTCTCTGGTCTCTGGTCTCTGGTCTAGGTCTCTGGTCTTGGTCTTGGTCTTGGTCTTGGTCTTGGTCTCGGTCTCGGTCCTGGTGTTGGTCTTGGCCTCTGGTCTCGGTCTCGGCCTCGGTCTCTGGTCTTGGTCTTGGTCTTGGTCTCTGGTCTCTGGTCTCTGGTCTCTGGTCTCTGGTCTTGGTCTTGGCCTCTGGTCTTGGTCTTGGTCTTGGTCTTGGTCTTGGTCTCGGTCTCGGTCTCGGTCTCGGTCTCGGTCTCGGTCTCTGGTCTCCTGGTCCTGGTCCTGGTCCTGGTCCTGGTCTTGGTCTTGGTCTTGGTCTTGGTCTTGGTCTTGGTCTTGGTCTTGGTCTTGGTCTTGGTCCTGGTCTCTGGTCTCTGGTCCCTGGTCCCTGGTCTCTGGTCTCTGGTCTTGGTCTTGGTCTTGGTCCTGGTGTTGGTCCTGGTCTCTGATCCCTGGTCTCTGGTCTCTGGTCTCTGGTCTCTGGTCTCTGGTCTTGGTCTCGGTCTCGGTCTCTGGTCTTGGTCTTGGTCTTGGTCTCTGGTCTCTGGTCTCTGGTCTCGGTCTCGGTCTCGGTCTCGGTCTCTGGTCTCCTGGTCTCCTGGTAATGGTCTTGGTCTTGGTCTTGGTCTTGGTCTTGGTCTTGGTCTTGGTCCTGGTGTTGGTCCTGGTCTCTGATCCCTGGTCTCTGGTCTCTGGTCTCTGGTCTTGGTCTTGGTCTCGGTCTCTGGTCTTGGTCTTGGTCTTGGTCTCTGGTCTCTGGTCTCTGGTCTCGGTCTCGGTCTCGGTCTCGGTCTCTGGTCTCCTGGTCTCCTGGTAATGGTCCTGGTCTTGGTCTTGGTCTTGGTCTTGGTCTCTGGTCTCTGGTCTCGGTCTCGGTCTCTGGTCTCCTGGTCTCCTGGTCCTGGTCTTGGTCTTGGTCTTGGTCTTGGTCTCGTGTCTCTGGTCTCGGTCTCGGTCTCGGTCTCGGTCTCTGGTCTCTGGTCTCCTGGTCCTGGTCCTGGTCCTGGTCTTGGGTTTGGTCTTGGTCTCTGGTCTCTGGTCTTGGTCTCGGTCTCGGTCTCGGTCTCTGGTCTCTGGTCTCCTGGTCCTGGTCTCGGTCTCGGTCTCGGTCTCTGGTCTCTGGTCTCCTGGTCCTGGTCTTGGTCTTGGTCTTGGTCTTGGTCTCTGGTCTCTGGTCTCGGTCTCGGTCTCGGTCTCGGTCTCGGTCTCTGGTCTCTGGTCTCCTGGTCCTGGTCCTGGTCTTGGTCCTGGTCTTGGTCTTGGTCTTGGTCCTGGTCTTGGTCTTGGTCTTGGTCTTGGTCTTGGTCTCGGTCTCGGTCCTGGTGTTGGTCTTGGCCTCTGGTCTCGGTCTCGGTCTCGGGTCTCTGGTCTCTGGTCTTGGTCTTGGTCTCTGGTCTCTGATCTCTGGTCTCTGGTCTTGGTCTTGGCCTCTGGTCTTGGTCTTGGTCTTGGTCTTGGTCTTGGTCTCTGGTCTCTGGTCTCGGTCTAAGTCTCGTTCTCGGTCTCGGTCACCTGGTCCTGGTGTTGGTCTTGGCCTCTGGTCTCGGTCTCGGTCTCGGGTCTCTGGTCTCTGGTCTCTGGTCTTGGTCTTGGTCTCTGGTCTCTGGTCTCTGGTCTCTGGTCTTGGTCTTGGTCTTGGCCTCTGGTCTTGGTCTTGGTCTTGGTCTTGGTCTTGGTCTCTGGCCTCTGGTCTTGGTCTTGGTCTTGGTCTTGGTCTTGGTCTCTGGTCTCTGGTCTCGGTCTCGGTCTCGGTCTCGGTCTCGGTCTCTGGTCTCTGGTCCCTGGTCCCTGGTCTCTGGTCTCTGGTCTTGGTCTCTGGTCTCTGGTCTCTGGTCTTGGTCTTGGTCTTGGTCTTGGTCCTGGTGTTGGTCCTGGTCTCTGATCCCTGGTCTCTGGTCTCTGGTCTCTGGTCTCGGTCTCGGTCTCGGTCTCTGGTCTTGGTCTTGGTCTTGGTCTCTGGTCTCTGGTCTCATGTCTCGGTCTCGGTCTCGGTCTCTGGTCTCC